GCTGTTGCCGCTTTGGTTTCCGTTAAAGCTGGCGTTATTGCCCTGGAAAACTTGGTCCTCCGCCGCTGGTGCCCTGGCTGTAAAAGTTGCCCTGGTTTCGGCCTGGCCATATCCGCCACTACCGCCGTTGGGCGGTGTAGACCACGTTGTGGGAGGCTAAGTTCAGGGCCGCGATGGCGGCGTATGTTGCCTCTATTTGGGCTTGTGTAGCCTGCGGGGATAAAGTGCCGGTTGTTGCGGTACGACTTGGGCTGGTGGCGTTTGTGGCCGTCCGGATGGTTGGGTATCCGCGGCCTGCCTTCCCGCTCCGGCTTTCCCATTGTGCTGCCGGACATAGTCCCGGAATTCTGCCGGTGACTTCGGTATCCGGATATCCAGCGCGGCGTAGTTCTGGCTCTTTGACGTTCTCCCTCAGGAAGTGGAGGTCATTGTGTCGTCCAAGCCAGCGCGCGTCTGGAGAGTCAGCATGGCGTCATAGTACTGCTCAGGGTTTCGGTCAGGTGCTGGTAATACCGGTGGGTAATTTCTCCCATGGCAGTGGCCTGCTGATTATCATCGCCATATCGAGTGGCAAATTTTTGGAGCCACTCTTCTACTGGCCAGCCGTCCTCGTCTTCGCGATTGGCTTGGCCAGTGTACCTCTTTACAGGGTCCGATAGGGCCATGTAAATGCGGCTCATAAAGTCCGGATCTGGTTTGTTCAGATCAGACGACTGCTTACAGATCCGTCGGACCTGTGCAAGCCATCCTTTCACCATTGTTTTGTTGCCATCGAATTTTGGCAACTCGGTGCGGACTTGAGCTCTCGCGTTGGCTTTTCCATCTCTTGGGCCATTTCCTTTATTTGCTCTCTGGTTGAGAGAGCTGGACTGGCCGGTGGTGATGGGGCAGGTGTTGGCTGCTGTGGTATCAGCGGCACCTGTTGAGGTTGGGCCCACATTGGTTGGCCCGGTGCGACTTGGATAGTTCCGTTGGACGCCATCCATGCGTATGCTCCATTCGGGAGCTGGATCAGCATGGGCGCATTTTGGCCCTGGCCTGGTTGGGCTGCTGGTCCTGGTGGCATGGCCGCTGGTGGCGGTATGCCTGATGGTTGGAGCACATTTTGGCCCGTGGGCGTGGTTTGGCCCATCTGTGGCTGAGCTTGGCCCGTTGGGGCTGCCGCCGTGATAGGAGGGCCAAATAGGCTTAGTTGGCCTACTAATGGTGGTTGCACCGTTGGTGTACCACTTTGGTCTCCTATCTGTCCTTGCGTAGCTGGTGGCCCGAACATAAGGCTCGACTGGCTGGTCCGGTTTGGATCCATGCCGCTGGTGTGAGCCTGGCTTATGGCCGGTTGTGGACTAAAGTCCATGTTCGGGAATATCGATGGGTACAAGGACGGGTACAATGGCTTTGATCCGAAGTAGCTGGTTGTTGCCTGGCTCGGGTCAAAGCCTAGCCCGCTTGACGTAGACGGGTGAGTCTGCGTTGCGGGCGTCACTATTGTCGTTGGACCAATAGTGGCTGTTGTGGTAACCGGGACTGGTGGTGGCGGCAGTGTTACTGTTGCCGTTGATGTCCACGGTCCACCGGGCTGGGAGGCGCAGGTATGGTTGGCCTTTGGGATCTCAACCAGTGGTCCTTCCACAGCCATGTTCACATGGTAATGCTGCTGTTGATACACTGGCTCTCGGTAGAAGCGTTGGCCTTGCCGCAGAGCCTCGTCGACTTTTCTTGTCGGCGTTGTGTATCGAGTCCGGAAAGGTATGGTAGGACGGTGGTTCAGCGGACAACTCGGAGTTGATGTCTACGAGGTGTGATTTCTCCGCGTCTAAGCAGGCGTTTTCCGTGCTTAGCCTTTCCAGTTCCTCGTTCATTTCGGTTATGCGTTGGGTGGCCGCCTGGTAGTCTTTGACCAGGCCGGCATTATTGGCCTCCAAAGTGATGATCCGGTCATGTTGGCCCTGGATCACCTGTTTGGCTTGGTTGAAGGCCTGCTCCAATTGGACGAAGTTCTGATGTCCAATGGCGCTGTTTTGCTCAAGTTGTGCCCGAATGGTTGCTTCGGTGTTGAGCTGGCTCTGGAGGGCAACGATCTGTTGCTGGAGTTGCACGTTCTGTGCCTCCTTCTGCTGAACCGTTTGGCTCATCAGTCCTCCTTGTTGGATAGTTTTCATGAGATTCTGGTGGCTCTCATAAAGGAGGTTGTAGCCGTTCCGCAGGCGGTTAATTTCGTCCTGCAGGTTGGCCATGTCTTCTGAGACGCTCGTTTTCCCTCTGTAGGCGGTCCGCCTCAGAGTCGGTGTCGTCAATGGTGGTCCGGGCAGCCAAGTCATCCTGGCTTTGGCCAGCTCAGTCCTCGTAGAGGCGAACTTCTAGGCCCGCCACAGCCGTTTCTAGGCTGTGGATTGTCCTGTTGAGCTGGTCTCGCTCAGCGTTAGGACATGGTGACAACTTGAGCTGAGTTAGCTCAAGTTGGGTCTGGGCCAGTATGGCCGAGACGTTAGCCTCTGCGTCCGATTGGACCGCGAGGTTTTATGTCGGCAGATCTCATCCTGCATCCAACGTTCGGATAGCAGGGCCGCTTCTGCCTTGTCCGCCAGCTGTTTAGTCAGGTCCCGTACTGTGGTCCTGAGTTGGTCGACTTCGTCGATTTCTTCGGGCCGGGTTGCCTGGTTCAGCTTTGGCGGGGTGACGCTGGCGCGGGTTGTGTCCCAGGAAGGCCGGTTTAGGTCCATCCTGGCTGTGGCACTGCTAAGTTGTGCCAGGTCCACAATTGGCTCTCCGTCCGGTTTGGACGGGCCAGACGCGCCGATGACGTCATTGGTTGGCGATGGCGTTGCAGGGGTTGAGCCATCGACTTCAAACATGATGGGCGACTGACTCACGGGCTGTTGGCCCTGGTCATGTGTGCCTTTGGACCAGCCTTTTTGGCTTGGCCCTTGGCCTTGCGTCCACCTTTGGCCACCGTTGGTGCCTCAGGTTGGATCTGGTCCGAGCCCGGTAGGGTTGGACTTGTTTTCAGATCCTGGACGTCAAGGTTGGACCGGGCCAAGTTATTTGGCCCTGGTCCATCGGTGCGTGTCTTATCCTCACTTGTGGCCGCTGTTAGCGCCTCAAGTTGGACTTGGCCCGAGCCAGGTATGGCCGGTTGGTGCGCCAAGTCCCGAGGGACACTGTTGGCCTGGGCCGTCCTATCGGCGCCAGGTTGGCTGTCCAGAGGCTGGTTGGCCCCGGACAGTTCGTCGGATGCCTCCTGGAATGTGTCGTCCCGGGTGGCGTCCAGACTTTCGTCACTGGTTTCCAGGTCAGCCGGCAGGATTTGTTTGTCCCGCCTGGCTTTGGCCTCGACCGAACTCGTTGAGCCGGCCGAGTTTGGCTCGTCCGGGTCAGAACTGGTTGGCCTGGCGCTACGAAGCCCGTAAGGCCCCGTTGGTTGGCGCGTGGCGTAGTTCTTCCCGCGAGGCCGGGTGTATTCGTTTGGCTGGCGCCCGTCCATAGGACTAAGCAATCTCCGTTGGAGTTGCTCATGGCTGGTGTAAGGCATCACCTTGGCCAAGGCGCTTTGAGTTTGGCCCATGGTATTGGGACTTAAAAAGTTTCTTTGGTCTTGGTCCGGACCGGAACGGTGGGTTGGCTGTCGCTGGTTGGTGCTGGTCAGGTGTGCTAGAGCTTAGGATCAGCGTTAGCTCCCTATGGCCCTATGTTACGCTACTGACCAGTGTGACGTCAGTTACAAAGTGGTCTTGCAAAAAGCTCTACGTCACGAGTAGCGTGCCGTGAGCAAAAAATGCAAAAAAGTATGATTCACTACGGCTGTTATAACACGGGGAAGTTTCCCCACGCGTTCTGATTGGCCGAAATTTTATGGAAAATCACCACGCTGACGTCACGCGACTTTTCGCAAAATTTTCCGGCTGGACAAAATGGCGGTTGTTTTTCGCCGATAATTCGGTAAAAATCAAGGAAAATTTTCTCGAGAGTTCTGTTTTATTTTTTTAGTACAGAATTCCACGAGGAATCCGAAAATGCTATTTTTAGGCAAATCGGATAAACGGTTCAAAAGTTATGTAGGGTTTTATACCGGGTTCTTCCGAAAACCTCGAATTTTTACGAAAGTTTTACGAAAGTCCTACGCGTCACAGCAGGTCTTACCGGCGGTTTGATCGTGCCAAACTGCTGCTCCGTCGTTCCCCTTCACCCTCTTCTACCGTGAGGGCCGCAGCGCACCCGATAGGGCGTATTGGTGTAACAGGACCGTACCGAGCGCAGTTTTTGCGCCGGGAGCCAAAGCTGCGGGAGGCCTACTTTTAGGCGCTGACCCGTATCATGCAACCCGGTAGGGCGCTTAATTGGTCAACAGCGACGTACCGAACGCAGTTTTTGCGCCGGGAGCCAAAGCTGCGGGGGACCTACTTTTAGGCGCCGACCCGTATGAATAATCCGTCGCGCTGCAGACTTCCAGTGAAGTCTGTATGATGCAGGAGATGATGGTCGCGGGTTTGCTGGCCTACTTATAGGCAATCAGCGTAGTTCGACCGTGTTGCCTTCACTGGGGATCAGAGGTCTCGTCGGAAAGAAAACCGAACGATCTGCTACCATGTCAGATCAGACACAGAAGCAGGAAGAAATGGGGCAAATATGGCCTTTATTGTGATAACAATAAAGCAACAACACAAAACCAACAGAAAACCCAATGCGGGAAAAGCTGGAAAAAGTGCCTGCAGTGCGCTGGTGAGGAATCGTGATTAATGATTCCGCGTGCTGCGGGTATGCAACAGCTGATGCGGCAAAGCATGGAATCGCCCGTAGGCGCAGGGCTCCACCCCCAAGAGTGCAGGGAAATGCGCTGATTGGTCAGCGTAGACAAAGTATACGCTGAGTAAGCAGCGTAATAGCGCGGCACAAATGGAGTAGCCATGTGCGGGCGGGCGACAGAGCAAAGCCACGAGAGGTGTCTACCGCCTCGAGTGAGCGGTCTCTGACAGAAACTTAATAATTTTTTATTAATTTCGTGTACAAGGTGTATAATAACAATAATTATCACGTAGTCAATTTTTTAAACGTTTTCGTCATGTGGAAGAACCGTGTCTCCGGTGTCCGGTAGGCGAATCCATTTTGTGAAAATGTCCGGAATACGAAAAACATCGAAGTAGTGCCGATTTAGCTTTACTACAGGTCTGTTGAATACCTGGATAAAATATAGCTGCAGCTAACAGCAAATACGTTTCCGGTAAGGTGAGACCAATGGAGTTCAAGCGTGCCATGGATGACTCAACAAAATGCAAATAATCCTGGTCCAACCCCAGGGAATCCATGACAGACCGGCTGCAATGGACATTGTCCGGACCGGGAAGAATAAAGTAGTGTTCACCTTTGTAGAAGTACTTAGAAAGATGTAGCTGCAACAACGACGAGGAGAGCGTTAAACCCAGAATCGACAAAGACTTATTATCCAAAACTAACCAGGTAAGACATCAAGAGCTTCTCCGCTATTAAAATTCTCTGATCTCCGTCCGACAGATCGCGGAAACCAGGCAATAACGTAGCAAAACGAACTAAACGAACAATCGTGTCCTCCCTGTTGGCTGTCAACAAACGAATCAGCCGTAATGGAGTGGCTTGGGGTTGATGCTACAAAAGTCTGAACTTTCATAAAGAATGCAAAATACTAATTTATAAACAATGTGCTCGTTCAAAACACTGTGTACAAAAATACAGATACTTACGCTAATATTAATGAGCATGTTGGCGCCTTACCGGTACAAGTCCATCCCGTAGTGCGGATATCATAAGATGGGAAAATTTAGCAATCTGGTCGCCGTATGCCGTCTCGTACGCTGCAGTAACACAAGCGATTGTGTTCTCAAAGGTGGTATTTCTCGCTCGGACAGTTTCCCAGTATTTATCGATTATGGACGGGCTATTAAAGGGACGGGAAAAACAGCTCGACATGGCCTCCTTAAGGATCTCCATGGATGCGTTTCCAAAGGTGGAACGCCCTGTAACCGTTTTGTAATATTACAACAGCAGAATCGAAGCACCACTGGCTTTTGTAGCAGAAATATTTTGCTTGCCATAAATTTGCGAATTTACAAAAAAATAAACCTCCTGGTTCGTAGTTTATAGCAGCAAACATGAAAGATTTCATATCCGTATTAAATCTCGCAATTAAAAATTAAAATTTAATAAAAAAACACTAAAAAATTATCCGTTAATAAAAAAGCTAATCAGCCAGCCGGCAGCCGTTCATCAAAAATAGCAAAAACTGCGCGAATAACCGGAAAGCGTGCCTGTGTTTCGTAGTGACTCGTACTGCTGCTTGTTGAGATATGCATATTCAGCGTTAATACGCACCAGGAAAACGCACAATTTGATCCCCCTTCCGGACGATGGCGCTTCATTCTCCAGAGATCGCAAAGTGGCACCGAATCGGCCAGCCGGCAAAGCAAACGGATCGGCAGATTCGGCGCTTATCGCCGATGATAACGAAATGTCTCCAGAAATGGATGACGGTGAATCCGCCCGCGGGAGTGGCGAATGGCCGCTCACTGTCACATCGTGGGGGTCTGCAAAGCAATTACCAGTAATTTTTGTGCGTGAATAAAATAAGGACTAGCGAGAATCTTAAAAAGCGAACTGGCTTGTGTTAACTGTTATCATGCTGCTCAAGCGTACTCGTACTGAAGTTGAGAATGCGAAGACAAACGTCGAATACCAGGAATGGCTCTTACCGGAATGCGTGCTTGATTGCTGCAGTTCAGCTGCGGAGGATGCGAAACGTATCACTGAAAAATTTAAAGAAGAGTTATTTCAATGAAAAATAACTAATTAACTGTAAATCATTATTTGGCCAAACAAACATTTAAAACTTAAAAGTACTCATGCAGACTTGCACTCATGCAGTTCGCATGCGCTCACCAGACTGAGTTCGGGCTGCTGGAACAGGACGACACGAATTATCCTTGCTTGACAACTTCATTGGGAGTCATGGATCCGATTTCTTACTAAATATTCCGAACAACACCAGAACAGAAAAACAGTTCCAAAGGGAAAAATCCTGAATCGTCATAAAATAAACAGTTTACACTTTACCGAACAACATTCTTACACGCGTACGTACTACGTAGCCGCCGGTTTCTGGCGGACGGTTTAACCGATGTTGATTCAAAATTCGCACTGTGAGTGTGCATTGACTCAATTTGACTGCAGTCTCAGTCCATTCATTCGACTGCCAGAGCGTGACAATGGATCAGCTGTTTTTGCCTGTTGTTTTGTGTTTTCTGTTACTGATGATTGTATCCATAGAAAATATCGTACGATATTAATTATTAGTAAGACCACCGGGATGCACCATGATTGGCGGTATAACTCCATTAACCGTTACACCAGCTGACGAGGAACTGGCCCAGGCATCTATCGACATTATTGAAATACTCTTCAAGCCTAATTTCCATGCAGTCGGAGCAGCTCTGCGGACGAAATCCGGAAAGTTGTACACAGCTGTACATCTGGAAGCGGGTATCGGGAGAATCGCGGTATGCGCGGAAGCCATCGTTCTGGGCAAAGCTATCTCCGAGGGCGAAACGGAATTCGATGCGATTGTGGCTGCACTACACCAGGACGATGGAAAAGTCAACGTGTGCTCTCCGTGCGGAATGTGCCGCGAATTACTGACGGATTATCAGAAGGATATCGACGTGATTCTGTTGGAGAATGGCAAACTGCTCAAATGCAAGATGATGGATTTACTGCCTTTGAAATATTCCGGCGTAGGAACGTAACCATTGCTGTTTAAAACATTAATTGTTTTCCGCACTGCATGATTGATGGATTTCCGCATCATTTTACGTACGAATTTCAGGTCCACGCTTTGCTTCGATTTTTGCAGATCGAACAGCGAGTCGCCGAGTATATGTACCATTGTTTCAATAATAATTGAGTTTTCATTTTGTAATTTTTTTCTGAATTGTTTTGCGCTTTTATTTTGTATGGATGGTTATGTGCTAATAAGTAATTCTGTGATTTTTAAGGAACATTTTACGCAAGTGACCATTTTACACAAGTTTTACTTACTTGCCTTTGTTTTATTGAGTTCTTCTTTCATCACGCGAAATAAATTTCACATGATGAATCATTGCTTCTTAATTATTGTAACAAAAACATTTTGCACTAAAGTGACTAAACCGCTGTGCATTCTAAGGCTAATCAATAAAACACCACGAAAAATAGGAATATATCAATATATCAACAGAAAGGCTTTTATGAGCTCTGTGCTTCTTCCATCTCAATAACCACTTTAAAGGGATGCTTCCACTCTTCATTCATGCGATCAGTCTTCAGAGGCTGTCGGAATAGTTGTGCGTTTTGATATGCGATTCCTTGGACGCCGGACAATTCGGCCCGTATGACAAAATCATCCCATCCTACCGCTCGCGGGACGGATTTCAAGGTTTGAGAATCGAGGAGCACAGTGTAATCATCACGCGAACATACAGTAACCACCACGTCCCCATCGCGATACACTTTATACGGCACGCGCAGTTCGAGATTCTTGACTCTAAGTCCTGCAAAAAATTAAATTCAAAACGTAAAAATGTAGCCTTTAAGTCACATTGCTCTTCAGAACATAAAAAGGTAAAAACATGCAAAATAAAAATAAGTACAGAAAAACAATCCTACGAAAAAAACTAGTAACACTGTAACAGACTAATTTTTCAAGTGGCTGAAGTTTGAACACTTGAAGAAAATATCAGCTCACCAGCTTTTCGCAGATTAAATCTCCATTCTATAACACCCTTCAGAAAGCTGCCCTGTTTTCCAGGATCTGCGCTTTTCCATTCCTGACGATACTGCGGTGCACTTTCATCTAGATCGATATCTTTTCGTGCCAAGTAAGCCATTCCCCAGTCGTGCTCCACCTTTCTATCCACATTGCAGCATCTCCATACACCGTTTTTCCATTCCGATTTGGACTTCTTGTTACCGCGCACCCTGCGCACATAGGCATCGTCCACTACATTGTACAGCACTTCCATGCGTTTCTGGCTGATTTCTTCGTCTTTTGGGACAAACTCATATCCGCCACGGGCGCCACCCTCGATCCCAGACACGGCTCGTTTATACAGCGCGGAGTACGGATTACAGCACAGCGGCGGGCCAAACTCTTCGGGGGGTATGCCTGGCACGGCAATGGCGTTAAAGATGGGGAAATGATCAGCAGGAAAAATGAACGACATGATTTCTAGTTTTCCACGACGTCCACACGCAATAAACTGATAGGGAGATGAGTGAACTGCGAAAACGTTCAAACTCCTACGTTAAACTGTTTATCATAAACATTCGCAAACACTACTCTACAGGTAACTCTACACACTGAAGATGACAAGTTCACTGCAACTGCGAGCGAAACTAGAAATCAGACACATCTTACATACACATTAGGGCTAGTTCACTTGGGTGTGAATTTGTCAAAAAGATCAGAATCATCAGATCATAAAAATCTGTTCAAATAATCATGACAACGTCAGATGTGTAGAAACTAGAAAAGTTGAAATCACAAGTAAACTGTCAACAATAATACCAGTCACCCAGTGCTCGTATTTTGAGCTTTGCAAAATCATTTTTGCAGCCGCAACCAGCCGCTCGGATACGGCGGTCTTCATAACTACGTATTCAGACTTCCGCATTATTTTCGCATGCATTTCCGGTCCAAGTTCTGGCAGATCAAAGTTAGCAACTGCAAGCAGCAAGCTGCAATTTTTTAATTTCTTCCACATTATCTCGATACTTTGCATTTTGTGAATTCTACCCACAGACAGATAGGCTAAACGAATGCAGATTAGGTGTTATCTTCTGGAGAATGCGCCATTATCCCGAAATCGGTTAGCAAGTCCATCGGCCGCGCTGTAATGGCTACGACAGCATCCACCGAAGCAACGACGGCCAGCACGCTGGTGCTGAGCACGATCTCCTCCGCTCTCTCGTCCACTACCAGCGACCAAATGGACGGGAACACGACGGCCAGTGTTTTCGAGAATCCCTTCGAGAACATGCCCATTGATTCCAATTTCGCATGGCTGCTGTGTGCGCTGAGTATCGTGTTCATCTGGATGATCTACGGCTCGTGCTTTCATTCGCGCGTGGTGGGCGCTGTGATTGGGTTTATTCTGAATCAGTATTTGAAGCGCAGAGGCCTTGGCGAATTGAGTATTGGTAAGTTTTCGAAAGGTAGAGAATCTCTGTCTCTGGCGTGCGATTATTTCTAACGGCTTAGTGAAGCTAATTGGATCGTATTAGATTTGGTTCGTTTAAAAGTTTTGCAACGATATTCCAATGTTTTGATTTTTGAATTAACTTTTGATGATCATTCGCGTACTTTCCAGTTTCCTGCTGCCTTTCGTTTTCACTGTTACTAATGTTGAATTTAAGTTTATTTGCGTTTTTCGTACGGGATGATAATATTTATCATGAACCGTTGACTGGACTGGCGGCTAATAATCTTTTGATAGTTTGGTAAATGCCAAATGGCAGGGGATTTGTTGTGGTTGCTGTATTTTGCTTATAGACAGTCGATTGCAGGTTCATTGAAAGTGGGAGTGGTTTCCGGCAGATTGGCCTTCAGGAATGTGCGGTATATTAATGAGGATTTCAGCATTTTGGTGTATGATGGATACATTTGGTTCCGCTACTGGATGCCATATAAAGTTAAACAACTGCCTGGTATGTTTAACAAAAACGAGCAGTGTGGATGCGGGAATCGTTTGCGGAGATAAGAAATAACGTTCTTAATGCGTATTGTGACTACTGTTGCTACTCGTGTTGTATGGTGCTACTGTTTGTTTTTGCGCACAGGATTTTAATGTTTAAAAATGGTATTATTTTGAGGGCACACGATGTGTCTGTCTTAGAATTTAGGATGGATTCCCATCGGTTGTTCATACATTTGTATGGCTTGGAAGTGTATTATTACAATCGCACTGAGCCGGTGGCGGAGATCATCCAGATACGCAAAGAATACGAAAGGGAACTCTACGAACGATACTACGGGCATGCAATGCCGGAGAATGTGGCAGAAAAAACCAAGTATGCTGGCCGTAAGGGAGTTAGGGAATTGATTATTTAAAAAAAGTTTGAAGTAGTTTTTGCAGAGAGGAGAGAATAACTTTGGCATTACGACTAAGATGCGCAAAAAAACGAATTAAACCGGATGTTTAGCCACTTAGTTTTCTTTTCCGTTGTTCTACAAAGTTGATGAAACATATTTCGGTGCATATGTCATTGGTTTTATTTTTGTTGCACCGCGACTGGCTTTCATACCACAAACGTGTTTGCAGGTGTGAAGCACCAAAAGTATCCAACGCTGAGAAGATTAACGGCTGGGCTAATCTGCGAAACCTTTTCGCCGTTGTGGATATTAAGTTGAACATGGTTAGTTTTTGCTTCGGCTGGTTGTGGTGTGTTGGATTTTCGCAATATCTGCTCTTTGGTTTCATTAGTTTCGCGTTGTTTTGGGAAATTTTCGTTCTGCGTACTCCTTGGTGGTTGGCGGATCGTCAGCTTCCCTCTGCATGACGTATGAAGCAGCTACCCTGGAAATTGATCCTTTTGCTACTGTGATAACCGGAAGTATGAAGAATGTGGAAGCGGCTTTTCAGAGTAATCCCGATTATCCTGGTGAAGTGCCTACGTAAGTTACGTTAAACGTCCTGCCTACGTAAATATTTTCTGCAATGTATCAAGTATTAACAGTGTATTTTTTTTCTGCTTTCATGACAAGGTTTTTCGTTAACCTGATTGCTGCTTTTGATGGTATTTTACGTATTATTTTTACTTCTGCGGTATCTACACCTTGTTGATCCTGTCGTAAGCAGTTTACGGTATAAAGTTTGGTTTGGTTGATTTGTTAACACAAGTTAGCACGAGTAGTGTAGTGGCAATAGTCGGGGAAATCTCTCGGAATTGTTAAACTTTCTGAAAGCATTAATTTGTGGAAAAGTTGGATCTTGTTTTTTTTCTGCTAATGATAAATGGTTTTGATCCCTTGGCATCAGAATTATTTTTTAAGTGATAACGATTAGCGTTTCTTTGGTTTCGGTTTCATTGTACCTAATGGTTTCTTGCAGATGCCCGTACGACCGGTCAGATCGAAAAGGAAAATTGAAGTTTTTCTCGACAGAAGCCGTACAGATTAACCGGTATCATGTGGATAATCCCACAGACATTATTACCGTATTGCTTGAAAACCGACCGGATATGTCCGAGCAGCTGATGAAGTGGTCCACTGAATTGACTCTTGTTGGGCGAACCGATATCGTGTATGGCGGTTGGATCGATGCGAGGAGGTGAAACATGTACTTAAAATAAATACAACATGTTTTTTCTTTTGATTTATATATTATCACCTTTTTTCGAAAACAAAACAATAATTTTTCACCTTTTTTAACAAAACGATTTTGCGAAGCGCAGTAATACAAGTAATTACATTGATATATGTACAGCGCGGTTACGATTTTTTTATTTTGTTACCAGTTTATAGAAAACGGAAAGTAGTCCGGTGTTTGATTTGTGCTTCTTGTGATTGTTCTGAATTTCGTTATTTTTTAGAGCGGAAATGCATCGGGCTCTGTTCCCGCCGATTCGCTCGGAACTTCCGGTGACCAACACGGTTGCTAAACGCACATACAAAGGATTCGATCTGCAGATCGTCACGAAAGCCAGTGTTTATTGCACATTGTACCTCGTCAATGACCAGGACCAGGTGCAAAAGTTCATTGTTAGCTGTGATCCCGGAACGGAATTCCAGTTTACCATTCCCTATGTGTACCGTGAAGATGGCTTCGAGACGCATGTTAACTTGCGCGCCAAACATCTGCGTGGAGTGACGTCACTGACTGCCAAAAATCTCCTGGAAGCTGATGAAATGAACATGAATATGGTGCTGCGGTATTCTCGCGTGCATCATGGGCCACAGTACTGGAACTTGGATTTTGCTTGGACGAACGCCTCGGTAAGAAAGGTTGCTCCTGTAGTTGGTGACCTTTTCATGTATTTGTGATAGCAGCAGATCTCCATCTATTTTGCGTAAAGCGTATGAGACAGAAACAAGGTACGAGATAAATTTGACCGGGATTAAGACCGGAATTAATGCGAATAATGATTATGTGCGAGAATATTTATTTATTTTGAAAAAAGGTGTGCAGAAAATTTATGAATTTGCCGCATGCCTATGTACCCTGTACGCAGCCAAACTATTATCTGGTGAATTACCTACTTGTTGCCGTACAGTAAGCGTCGACCAACAGCAGGATGAAAAGCTCATGGTCAGTTTAAACTTTTAATTCACCCGTTGGATCTTGCAACATTTGCATATAACTGACTAGTGTAGCATGTGGTAGTACGTGGGCCCGGGATGATATTCAGGCTTACCGTTTACCTCAAATTTTACCCGTTCAATTACGCACCAATACGTGATAACAGGAAAATAATATTGGAAAAGTAATTTTTTCTTTACAGGTGTTTTTTCTATACGAGCATAAACACATGATCAACGGCGTAATTCACGATTGGACTTCCGGATCGGACCGACCGGATTTGCTCAAATTCATCCCATTCTACGTGACCATCAATATGAATTTCAACGGATTCGATCTCATCACGTATACCAACCAGTTCAACTGGATTGACTGTACGAAAACCGGTCTGGAAAACTACTACACCGTATTTGGTGGACCGCAGCTGAATCTAGCCTTTACTCTGAATATGTTGGAGTTTATGGTGGCCTTATCAGAATTTCCTTTCAAATTATCCGCATCCCATGTGGATGTGCGCCTATTCTTTCCGGAATGTCATACGCAGTATTATACCATAACGTCTTTGTACCAGAAAGCAAATGTGGAGACGTTATCGGGAGAGAAGATGTCGGGGAAAGCGGAAATACCCAGAGCCTTTCGGGAGGTGATGCTGCCGGGGACTGCTTGGTGTCACACGTGGAGCGTGGAGGATTTCAGTCTGGGACTGAATTACTGTTTTCATAATACTCCCTATGCCGCTCCTGCAGAAGTTTCACGGTATGTGCGTCTTGAACATGGATTACTTTTAAACTGGGATAGCATAGTCCAAGTTGCTGTTTCTGTTATCGTTCGAACAAGATTACCGAAATTTTGAATAAAATATATCACTCTAAATGTCAGATGACCCCATATTTTTATAAGGAATGTTTTGCAGTTTTCCGATAACAACTGTTTCTTGTTCAATTACAACTTACGGTTTTCAGTGAGCCAAGAAAAGACGATAAAGAGCCGGATGTGATGGAACTGGAAATGTCGATCGGATCTTGCCAAATGCTGGTGACCGGTTCGTTCATTAAGTGCCTGTACAACGCCAAAGAGAATTATTTCGGTGCATCCCAAGAACCGAACTCCATGGAGACCAGCGTCACACACCGCCTGGAAGCCTTACTCCGGAAATCCGTAGCCATCTTCCAAAACAACCTTCCGACGGAACGCTCCCGTCCTTTGGATGTTAACGTCGTCGGCAACTTCAACGATACTACCGCGCATCTGCTGATTCCTTCGGAAGGTGCCGACCCGCCGTGTCCGCGTGTGTTCGCCAAGAAAGTCAGTCTGGAAGTGCTGAAGCAGTACGAGGAGACCACGTTGCAAGTGGTGGTGCATCCCGTCGTCATGGACATTGCCGACTGGCAGCCGCCGGATGCATACGCCGATCCCATGCGCAGTGGACAGGCTTTGGTGTCTTTCGTTCAGGTTCGCGGACACGCCATGTTTTCTGATTACGGAGTGCCTCCCGGTTGAAGAAACTTGTGAATATGCGTGGTTGTTGGATATTCAAGTTGGAGATGCTGTCATCCGAGCATCACTGCCACAGGTAATACATGTGAACGTCTTTCCGTAAACGCCTTTAAGATAACACTCGGTCGCATTACTGTATGCACGAAATAATTACGGCTACCTGTATTTTATTTCATTCGCAATTTTTGAAGCTTACTGACGCCTGAACTGCAGATGCTGCTGTGCACCGAGATGTTATACAATTAAACTTGCCAATTTAAATAATTATAATATATTTAAATGTGGTAAGGTACTTCGTGCAATGTTTTGTATGGACACTGTTGAATAGTATGGAGTATCGTAGTGTGACGTACATGGGACCTTCGATAAAGTTAACGTGTTTTCTTGACGTAATCCTGATCATGGCATAATTTGTTAGTGCGGCTTCCTTTCAAGGCAGCAGCTGAAATCGTAATAGTTTGATTTTTTATAGCAGCAGTACAGTGAGTTATTTCCGATTTTTGCAGCTGGTTGTTATTTCCAAGTGCCTGGAAGCGTTAGCATTGACTGTTGATGACACGGAGGACGATTATCAAAATCCGGAAGTTCTCCATACTTGTATTCATGGGCTGATGCAGCCACTGTGTCCTCAGTCCAATACGTCCACTTTATGCCCACAATTCGAGGAGATCAAGTACAGGATGACTAGATTCTCCATCGACTCTTTCCAGTTGTATCTCGTGGACAATGACTCGTTTGTTCTTCTTCAGGTAATATTGTACTGAAGGTTCACATGTTCCTGATTTTCCGTTAATTTTTCGGTGTATGGTTTGATTACGGACTTTTTGTAATCGATTCGTTTTTGTTGATCGACTTCGTTTTCCCTTTTTCGTATGTAATGTATGAGTACAATTTTAGGTGGAGCCGGTATGGTTATCGACGTGCAATCTCCGTTCTCCAGAGCACGAAGGCGGTCTATCTGTGATCGTTCCCAGTATTGCCGTTCGACAATTCATCTGGTCACACGTTACACCACTCGCTGATCAGGATGTCTGGATGGAAGCGACTAGTGTCAAACTCGGTGTCCTGCAGATTGATCTTGCATCCCAATTAGCCGACAGCTCCAACAACGAGCGCCAGATACAATTTCTTCGCGAACACGACAGTAATTCCCATCGCCTGAATTTCCTGTGGGATGCACCGGCCGGAAAACCCACACGCTGCGCATGCGTCGGTGGATCGGAATTTTTCGGGCGGGATTTCACCGCAGCGACGTGGAAAGGTCTGATCGCGGTCGTCGACATGACCAGTTTCGCCAATGAGCCCGGATTAGAAATTGGGCAGAGGATTTTTGACGTGGCCGATATCTATTCTCCCCTGGATATTGTCTCGCTGGAAACGCTGTTAGCTAAATTCGCTAGCAGAGAGCAGCCGCGCTCCCGAGTGAGCAGTTTCGCATCGCCACGAGTTCTCGTTGAGAATACGTCGATTAGTCCGACGAAAGAGCGGAGAACCGCTTGGATACCTGATCGCCGCCGACCATCTGTCGGATCCATGGATAGCTATTACTCCGCCGCGGAAAATCACCGAGAAGACGATGATTCCAACGAAAAGGATGTGATGAAAGATATGGATAAGGTGTCCGTCGCAGCGCTGTCGCAGGTGACCATTTCCACCATTTCCATGGCGCCGGATCAGGCACCGGTGCCTATAACTGTATCCAACTTCCCGGTGAATCTGCACGCACAGTTTTCCAAGAAGACCCATGAATCGCCGCTGTTAATGGCGGGGTATGTGCCACAAATTCCGTTATGGCAGCGGAGTGTGATCAATGTGACGATTGGAGGGAGTTCGACTAGTTCAGGCGATGCGTCGCCAAAGTTCTCCTTTTACTTGCCGAATTTGGAGAAAGTTAAGGGTGGACTGGATGTATCAACGGCGTTCCGCCCGAAGCAGGGAGGGTATGGAAAACTAGGAAAACTGAAAGTGCCAAGGCACTACAGGAGTCAGTCGTCGCAGTTGTCTGCCGGATCTCGTTTTGTTGCGTTCGGTATGTAAAGGTTATGCTCGAATCGGGTATAATTACTCTAATCAGAATGTGCTTTTTGTTTATATAATCATAACGAATTTATGGATATGCAGAACTAAAGTTCGTTATTCAGATTTCGAACTTTTCTGTAATAGTGCCTCTGTTGGCGTTATTTTCTGATAGTTTTAAGCACAAACATTAATGCTTGCGGTACTTTTATTCTCTAAAAAGATTACTGAAATCTTTTGTTTCCGTTGAGCCAGCTCTCTTTAACGTTGCATCCTTAATTCAGTTGGTTTTATTCTGCAGTTTTATCCACTTTATTGAGTCGTTTTTGATTCAGTTTTCTGTTTTTTATTGCAACAGGGTCGGACAAGGATTTGTCGAATGTGAAAGGACCTGCCAAAGTGACCATCAATATTGTTGGCAACACTGATCTGATGGTTACGCCTATTTCGTGCGATGCTTTGCTACCGTAAGCGTATCTTATTAAATTTAACGGGCACTTTAATTTTATACGCTGTAAATATGTTTCTGTAGGATGATTCATTCCCTGGATCAGCACATTTCCGAACTGCGTCCGGTGTCCTTCTTAAACGGAATGTACAACGCGTGTGTATCGAAAGCAAAAGCATTACATCGATTTGACATGGACAAGATCATGGTGGCGAAAATCTTCGAAAACCTCCATCAAAAGCCCAACGAAACACCGGTTATAGCCGAAGCCCGGCGATTTCGTGCACTTCTGTCGCGTGATGCGGACAAGCCCAGCGGCATGCAGAGCGCCGCCGAGTCCACCAGTACACCCAGGCCCGATTTGTTAACGGTTCCTATGAATCCCGTGAAAGCAGCGCCATCGCCGACGGCGGGTGGCTTTTGTTCGGAGATCAACCTTGGGTGGAGCGGAAGTTTGTGCATGAACAGTTCAACATAAATATGGACCAGGTAAATCATTCGTACTGTTTTTTCTTACCTTTTTTAAGTAAGTACACCTATGCCGACTGTGCATACTTATTTAAGTTGCCGACAGATAATTTTAACAAAAACGTGAGATAAATAAACCAAAAATTTAGTAAAACAGCGAAATTGACAGCCTTCGTTCCACGTTAAAATCGGTGTTGATTGATTTCGCTGTTTGGTAAAGGTTCATAAACGGCCATCTGCTGTTTTTTTGTTACGTTTCCCGCAGAACTTCTGAGAAAGTATTTATTTCAGATAAATTTGGTCACTTTACAATGCGGCATTGTTGAGGAGGTGGTGGAGCCTAAAGCGCTGGAGAATCCCCGCGATTTAATCTGCGTCTCGGTCTTCGCTGGCAGCCTGCGTTCCCTGTCAGCAGTGTATGTGCGGCGCCGCCAGGTGACGTATTCCGCCAAGGTGTATGTGGATCGTCGTGTCAGTCGCCCGCCGGTTCCACATGACCGCAAAACACCGGTCGAACCGCTATCGCCGCTGAGTGGCATCTTTGACCTGCCGGATATTGTGGGAGCGGAATCCAAAACCGACAAGGTGACGGATAGTCTGGTGTCCATGTCGGTGCAGACGGCACATTTCCAGCTGCGGCGATTGCGCCATTCGGAGATCTGGAGAAAGGCCAGAATTACGTGTATCGGCGAGAATAAGTCCGGGACATGGTTTGATTATAATCCTAGAGCATCACCTGTGGATGAGAAATCACCCTATCAGAAAATTTTCTCAGACCTAGTCGGTAAGCGAAATTAATCTCAGATTTTATCGTGTTTCTTTAATAAAAGCTATCAGGGAAGAGCGAATAATAATCAAGGGTACGAAGATACTTGCAAGTTGCAACTAGGCTTGCTATCGAGCGTTTCTACAAACCGTTATATTGTGCTGGTATTTTCAAATCTCGCATGGTGGAGCGTGATCGTAGAGAGATGGCGTGCTGGCTGAATGAATTCTTCTACATGGTTACACGCGGCAATACAAACAGTGCCTCATAATTTCGTTAAAACCTCATGGCGGGTTTTTTCTTTACATTAGCAGTGCTATCGGTAATTTATTAAAATAAATAGACTAACAACACTCGGTAGTTCCACTTTCCACTCGGTGGTTCCACTTTCGGATGCAGTTCTTTTGTTTTGTCAGGAACACCAGTTACATTAGTGTACAGTCTCATCGAATATTCGTAGTGTTCACAGTCAGTCTGATTTGCTGAAACGGTGTTTTACTGTTTATTAATAATTGTTTATTGTTACTGTAAAATTTAAAATGCGTTTTTAACGTGACTGACATGAAAATGTGTTGCTTTATTGTTATTGACATCGTTTTGCTGCTTTTCAGGAACGGATCAGACCGGGTTTATCGTGTTGGAGATGGGTGTCGATGACGTGAGGATTGAAGGTGGCGGCCGCACGGAAAGCGACGAACATCTTGATCATAATGTCGTGGAAGCGGCTCACGAAGCCAAGAAGATTCCAGAAGAGCCGGTGGTTCGACCGCCATCAAAAATGGACGCGGCAAAAGACGGCGAGACGGATAGCCGTCATTCCGGTGGTTCCGCCCATACTTTCATTGCCCATCCAAGCGATGAGGAGCCGGAGGAAGAGAATTTTTCTCCGGACATCGTTTTCAAACTGTCAGCGACGATTGGCGGATGCTGGTTGAATTGTCCTACTCCGTCCAAGAAATTGTCGGTTGAACACGTCAGTGTTCCTGACACCCAGTTGCGAGGGTTTACCAGGTTTGTGAAGATGTGATCGTAGAGAAGTGACTCAGCTAAGGGTACCTTGAAGTCATCTAATATGAAGTTGGGTTTCTAACTTTCTCGTTACGCTCAATGGAGTTCAGTGTTACAAACTTTTTTTTGGTAAAATACGGTAAGACCGTTAATACGTATGTAGATAATTCATAATTTTGTGTATTGGACCGGTTAGATACTTATCTTAGAGTAGTCAGCGGCTATTTGCTTATATATCTCATGTGTTACTGGTACGAGTAAACCAATACTGTAGCAGTGACCTCGAAAAAGTGTTATTCCACCTTTATGTAAATCTCGCCAGCAAACGTAGAGGGAATAACCTTCTCTCAGTTTGGATTCTATTGTTCGATTCTGAAAATGTATTCTGTTACGTTAGTTTCTCTTACATCGGCAGATGGGATTGGCATTTCCTGAGCACTGCTAACCCAATGGTGGACGCCTGGTTGCACCCGTTAGACCGCACCAACGTCGCGCTGAAATCCATGACCGCCAATCGACACCGTAACGAAATCATCCTGTCATCGTACTTCCTCATCGCCTCCGTTAACGACCACATCCTATCCAAATCGTCCAAACCGAAACTGGCGCGTCACACGCTGAAAAGCCGCGTACTGCAGGAAGACTGCTGTTCGCGTCTGTCGCGTATTCTTCAGCGCCACGGGCTGAGCTTAAGCCGTGATGACATGGAGAGAGAATTCAAGAAGGAGCTAATCCCTCCCATCAACATCCTGGAGAAAGGCATCTCCGTTCTCTTCAAGCAGCTGCGCTTCACACCGTTCGCCCGCGTTTTAATGGAACCGCAGTATCTCGTGCAGAAGGTGAAACCGGTGTTTAAGTCCCGCGATCCGGCCACCCTGGACAGCAGTGTGACGCGGCTGGTGGATGATCTGGATGTGACGATGGATGGCACAGGAGAGGATGAGATGTTTGTCGGGGGAGATCAGCCGCGACAGCATCCAGAGTCACCATATCCGCCATTGGAGCAGGATCTAAATAAATGGATCGATGCCGGCAACCGAGTGACCAATGTGAAACCGGTTGTCTCGAAACCGGTGGCTCCGCAGAAAGCGAAAGATGACCAGGAAGACAGTGATTCTCCGTATGAAGACGTGGAGTTTGGTGCTGACGGGACGGCATCTCAGGTATTTTGTATTTTCTCGTATTTCCTTGAGGAAATACCTGGAGTATGGAAATTTTGTATTGGTTTAGAGTGTTACAGCATACTAAGTCTTTTGACTGTGTTTTGCTTAAATTTAACTGTAAGTAAAATCTGTGTACGCTTCACAGTACCGTTAAACAGGATTGAACGTAGTGAATTGGCCGTACTTAGGAATAGATCGGACCAATTAAGACTGTGTCAATGCTGGATACACCTCTCTTGGTTAAAATTTGTAGTTTTAAATTAGAACGATTGGTTAAAATTTTTAGTGAAATAGCTTGCTGCATTTTCGAAGTCTTGAAGCTGTGATAATTAACTGACGTTCGGATTTCAGCTAAATTTATTTTTATGGACTCGTAATTGTCCCAATTTTATTCAAGGTGAGCGTGGAAAATATTTTCGGACCCTTACTGGAACATCTGGAAATGAAAAAGAAATCCACAGTTTCCGTTCTGAAGAAATTCGTTGGCTTTCACGCTAGTTTAACCGGACGATTAGACACCGTGAACATAAGTCTTGTTGAATCAGTGGAATTCGACGCCGGTGGGATACTGTTATCATCGAAAGATTCATTTGGAAAAATCACCGCTTTCCGCAGCATGCTGCTCACGGCCACTTCCGAGATTCTCCTGGACATTCCGCTAAAAGCGCTGGATCTGTTTATTCCGGACTACCGCGAACGCTTTTTGCTGACACACCGCACCAACCGGATCTCCGTTGTAACTTACAAATTCGACGTCGCAGAAGTGGCCCAAGCGGTCAGTATGCCGCTGTTGCGGTTGCTGGCGCAGATTGGCTCCGTTATTACCAGCATGCAGCGGGTGCGTGCCAATCTCAAAAAGAACTGGCCGGATGTGGATAAGAAAGGCCACCGAAAGACCGATTCAACGTCAACCAGTGGCTCGGGTAACGCAGATAAACTTTTTCTTGTTTTACTATTGTTGTAATTTGTCAGTTTCGGTTTTAGTTGCTCTCATGATTTTGAATCCTTAAAGCTGAATGAGTAACTGATTTAAGTAAAAGTTCGAATAAGGGAAAAAATGAAACTAAAGTTATTTTAAACATTGCTACAATAACTGCACTTGCTCGACTGGTGCTTGTTTCGGAGCTGTGAGCCGTTTTACTACCTTCTTCGATAGTATCTGCATTAACGGAGTTGTTGCGTTTGTACGGCAGCAAGGTCCCTCAGATGGCCGTAGGAAAGCATCGTTGTACGCTAGCGCAACTACTTACTCTTATTTAGTTTTTCTGATGTAACTTGGCATGTATTTTTGCTTTTTGACATTTTCCCAATGAGTGCAAAGTTTCTTGTTTTTTCGTGCAGGAACGTCCCGATCTGATTCACCAGCTCAACCACGCGGTCGGGTCAATGACAATTACGCCGACTTCATCGTGCCCGAATCATCCAGGCACTGGAAAGACCTGATGATGTTGATGGATCTGTACGAGAAGCCGGCGGAGCATCGGATTATCGATGAAACCAAATCCAGGAACCGGCGCATATCCAGTTACGGGCCGAACCGGCTGAAAGGGACACGATTCTCCTTCCGCCGGACGAAACGGAATAGCACGAGTGATGTCGTGTCGTCGTCGGTGCACCAGTCAGAAGAGGCACCGGAATCACCGGCCCAGGAGAGGAAGGTTATCGACGGTGAGGTGGACAGCGAAGCGGAGAGTGAGATTGACAATGTGGAGACGCCGGGGCCGGCCACAGCGGCGCACACGGTGGTCGAAGCAGCGGCTGAGCGACGAATCAGGAAAACTATTCGTAAGTGGTTCACACGAATTGAAGTTTTTTATTTGCAAGTTTTTGTTTAAAACGCTGCTCGATCGAATTTTCCAGTTCAACAACTGGACCGTGGTTAGCTCTGACGTTAAGCACGTGATTTTTAAAACCCAGTAATTACTAATACCACGTAATTGTTTTCGTATCCAAACACTGTCTGGTAGATGCTATTCTCGGTTTGTGGAGGCTGTCGTAGACAAATGGTTTATGCTTATTGCTTTTTGAATGGAGCCATATCACAAGACCATTTTCTCACCGTTACGCAGAGTCATAAGCGAAATCAGTAACACGTGACATTTTCGTAGTTGATAAAGTTTTTAATTTGCAGTCAGGATAACGGTAATAATTTTATTTTGCAATACTGCGGAGGTTCGCCGTTTTTTTGGGAACTAAAGTAATCTGTTTTGCATTTTTATGACTTTAGGATTTTGTAATGGAAATATTGGAATTATATTGGAATTTTGTGTTATTATTTTGTAATGGAAATTACGTTTCCTACCTTTCAAAATAATTATGAAATTAAAGATATTGTTATTTTCCGAATTATTTAGCAAAAAACCTCACTCAGGATTTCAAAACTTTCGTCGGTGTTAGACTATTAGTGAACCAGAAGGGCATTGTTGCAGGTTATGGTACTACTTTCGCTGTATGTGGCACGGCATCCATCCGCGGCATGACATTCGAGGCTTCACTACGCGGTCTGACCTTCCAAGCCGTGTTATCCGCATTTTCCTTCAATCACAACCACGCCTCGCGGCAGTCCCGCTACAACACCCTGGAAGAATGCTACTACCAGATGCGAACGGGGCAGTTATCCATACAGCTGGTGCAGAAAATGGGACACAAGCCGCAGTTATATCTCGGCGTGGGGCTGGGTTCATCGCAACTGGTCTATTCCACTTCGGTGCGGAATAAATCGCAGCTGAATCAGCGGACGTTATGCATCAGGATGGGCGAACTGCATTTCTCCGTTCCCCATCATCCTATCACGCTGCACGCCATGATTGTCAGAGGAACGGAGGATCTTACCGACGCTATGGAGGATTTAAAAGCTACCGCTGGAATTAAACTGTACAAATTTTACTCATTGATAATTTAAGTTATTCATTCAGCTGACCGTACGATTTTGCACAGAGATTCGGAAGAGGGCAAATCCGATACCGGCAGCACCAGTGCCAGTGAAACCACCGTCCCTCTGTCCAAATCGGCCACCAGTGTGAAATCATCGCATCATCACCATAAACAAGTCGGTCAGTTTCCCATCAAAGCCACGGTGTATGTTAAGAAACTCATTATCACCGCGGCGCCGCTACCATCTTTGGAAGCCAGTTACGAGGTATTTATATTCATCCAATAATTCTTAGTAATACCGTTTCATAAGGATCGAATGCATTGATTGGATTTTCATCCTTATACGTTAGATTTCGAAAATTATGGCGCACGGCTCTATCGGTAACATCACCCTGATGCACTTCGATATCGGCCCGCAAGATCTGGTCTTCAAGTCCAAAAACGAGGACATCGAATCTTCGGCGAACGTCCAGTTGCCTGCTGTGTATGTCAAGTGTTCATACGAAGTTCTGCCTCCCGTGAAAGTCCGCTTTGAGGACGAACAACTAACGGAATTCAAAGACGCGCACGCTTTGTACATCACGGCGCGTGTTGGTTCACCGGACTACACTTTTGGCACGGATGCCCTGAAATACACGGTCCTCTTCCAGAAAGTCTTCATGAAAGAGATCGAGGACGTTCTGGACGCCTTATCACAACCCATCAGCCAGCAGCAATTCCGTCTATCCCTACCGAAAAAGAAATTCGCTCTGCCGTTCTTCCATCAGGTCAACCTCCAACAGGACGGCATCCGCATCACCGGCACCACGCCCACATCGAGCGCGGTGCGGCTGGAGATCGACAAGACCGCCATGTACATCTCCAACATTCCCAAGAGCGCGCAGCCGCAGAGTGTCACGGATCTGCAGCATTCTACGGTGGTGTCGGTGCAACTGGATGTGGGGATTTGTCTCGGGCAGTTGGTGAAAGGCGAACAGCAGCAGGTGTATGAGGAGGCCGAGATGGATTTTCAGCCCTGTGCGCATTTCCGCACCCGGATGACTTTTACGAATTATGGGGAAGGACCGTTGGAGGCGCTGTTGCAGGGGTATGATGAGCGGATCCGGAGGAAGCGGATTGTGGCCCATCTCAGTCAGCCTCGTATTTATTTTCAACCGCGAGCGGTGGATATGGCGGTCATTTTCTACATCAACTATAAGAACGCTTACGATTACTGGTATGGAGAAATTACAGTTTGGCGGAGAATTTTTTGTATTGCCTCATATTAAACTGTAACTGCATAAGTCTGCAAAAAGGATGTTGTTAAATAATCTCACAATATTCCAAAATTATATTAGTATTAGATTGCCACATACTGTAGCAGCTTATGATAAACTGCTTTAAGCCAGTGAAGCCACTATACTACGATTGAACCGCATTACACCAAGCTAATGATACGGTAAGTACATCGTGGCATCTGATAATTCTTTTTTATTAGGTACGAACAACGACACGGGCCAGTAATCTCTCAGTCCGGTTCGCTCACCCGCATCAAGAAAACATCTTCCGCCCATTTACCGCATGTCGCTCAGCGCGCCATCCAGTCCATCCAAGAGAGTATCTACGTTGTGGAATTATTCATTTCCCAACTATATGTGTGCATGCCGCTGCCCTCGGGCCAGATGAAAAGCGGGTCGAGTGAGCGGGATTCCGACATGGCGCTACTGATCTCCTTGGATCGCACCAAAGTCCGCGCGGTCCTGGCCGATTCCATCATTACGTCGGGGAGTTTTGATCTGTTCCGCTTGTGCTTCACGGAAGATCACGGTCCACAGTATGATTATTCCGGACGACTGGATGATGGGTTTACCAACTGCTGTTTCGTGCCGAAAGGCTACGTGGAGGTCACGTCCAGAACGACCAAAAAAGAGACCACGGAAAGCGGACTCCCAAAGTGGGATCTGTACTTCAAATGGGATATGAATGGTAAAATAATTACGAATTTAATGGGTAGATATAAGTCATCATTTAATTAGTTTCATCCAAAATTTGTGAATCGCATAAAGATCAAATCTTGGCAATCGACAAATACCAACGAACGGCAGAGATGCAATCCCGTTTACAAGACATTAAAACTGGTTATAAAAATATTTTCATTGAAATCTTGGCGTCGCTTTAATGGGTACTTTTTCTGTGCGGAAATTTTTGGGAAATTGTATTGTTCTAATTTCCGTTGAACTACGATACGCTACTGTTTACGACATAGCTGGCTGGATGGATGTACTGTATTAACAAGTATCCGTAGCAAATTGATCCGTTTTACAGGTATTGAAATGCACATGGATCCGGCGATCGGTAAAATCATCTCGAATTTAACCGACGCGGTGACATCCTTTACCGGGGAAGAGTCGGAAAGCAACACCGATCCTTTACCTCCGTTATCGAGCAGCGAAGACGTCTTCGGCCCCAAACACCCGAAACACCGCACCAAACTGATGGAGAAGCAGATGCAGATGCACGCCAAAATCTTCAACGAAATGCAGCAGAGCGAGGGTGCATCCAGCACAGATATCCAAAATGAAGCGGAGAAGCTGAAGCGCATTGAACAGGGCATTGTGCATGAACTGCGGCGGGATATCGTCAATCGTATCCGGCAGAAGAGTATCAGTTCACGCGGCTCCGTCGCCGATTACCGGGCGCATCGCCGCACCAGCTCCACACCGCAGAGCGATTTGTCACCCACGACACCGGATGCTGAAGCAGCGCATTCGAGAACGTTTTCCGCGGATATGGCTGCGAGAAAGACACCCAGCAACATTCCTTTGTAAGTGCTGAGAAAGTTTTGCAGACAGTTCGGTTGTGAATGCGAGATACTCTTTAAAAGGGTAATAAATGATATTTTAAAAAATCTTTTAATTTTATTAATCGAAAAAGAAAACCGTCGCGCTAAGTAATATGACTACTAGTATAATTTTCTCTTAGCAAGCTTAATTACAAAAGTAAATGACTGCTACAACGTTACATATACTTGAAGCTATTGGAAATTGGTGATGCAAACTGTGCTGAAATCCAAGTTTTCCCTTAAAAATTAATGTGAACTGTTTATAAAAGTTGTTCCGTCAGTTGTTTTGGTAAACAAGTTGGTAAGGATAGATTCGTTATCAAAAGACTGCATTTTCTTCAAAACTGATTAAAAAATGTAAAAACTACTACTACTACTGGACATAGATCTACTCTACAAAAGTATGTTTTTGCATTATTTGCGTTTTGTCTACGATATCTACTAAAAGTTTGATTTTCTACATTGAGCGTTAGCTTGGTTAGACTGAATTGTTATTTTATGTACGTAATAGAAGTCCACGGCTCTTGCCATCAAGACGGAAAATCTCCCAGGAGCCGCTGAAGGAAGAATTGTCTCCGCGGAGCTCCAATGCGCCGGAAGCCGAACAGGCGTTCGATTTCGACTTCACCATCCTCATCAACATCGAAAGCGGCCACTGTACGTTCTATTGCGGACCGGACAAGAAGAAGGCATCGCAGAGATCAGGTGATAATTCTCTGGGTGGAAGTTCCCCAGCACGACGCGGAAGCGATTTCAATCGGCGCAACAATCTGACACCCGTTTGCACTTTATACATACCAGGTTCGTAATTCACTTGCCCAATATTTTCTGCCAAGGAATAACAACGTTTTGCCAATCGCTCATGAAAAATCTTTTTCGGAAAAATCACTTTTGAATTAGCTTAACTGGAATTTTTGTGCCGGAAAGGTGTTAACCTGGAGATGCAGTACGAATCGGATGCCAGCACCGGTATGAAGGGAACGGAAGGCAAGATCATCGCTAAGGGAGCACGTTCACTACGTCCCATGCTGAGCGGTTCGAGTTTGGAAGTCAACAGTGAGACCAAAGTGGGCCGCAATGCAGGAGCGTTGCCGCGCAAGAAAGGCAATCTCTTTGCCACCTTCAGCTTGGAGAGTTTACCAGCGGAGACAGTTCTGACCCCACAGCTGTTGGATTTTCTGGAGCAAGCGCTGGAGCCGATTCCCGTCATGGCGCAGCCTGTTCTGAAGACTAAGGAACCTCCGCCCGTTGAGGAATCGGATTCGGAATTACAAGTTGCTTCAGGTCGGTTGCGTTTTTTTGCGAGCAGAATAATGGCATTAATTGTTCACTGTTACCAGAGTTGAGGCTTTTATGTTTGGGAAGCTTGCTGCCTCTTCCAGTGCGCAGTGGAATGCTACAGTAATCAACTTGGTCAACGTATTTTAAGAAAAACATAATTTTTTAATTATGAGTTTTTGAACTAAATACTTTCATAGCTCATTTAACGGAAGATAATGGGTGACAGGAAATAGTTAAATAATGTTACTGGACGAATGCGCCACTCTTCTACGTTAACCCTATGACCGGATGTTTTGTTGCATTAATCTATTTTTGCATCGGGAATAGACTTTTGGGGTGCGTAGAACTGCATACAATTTCATTGACCGCAGTGTCTATTCCGTTCTTTATTCCGTTTACCGTGGTTACGCTGAGCATGCCTCATTGTGTTTATGGTTCCATTGTAGACGAATCGTGGGGTTTCGAGTCAGCCATGGAATCGTTCCCCGTGGACATCTTCGTGCTGTTCATGATGAACTCCACCAAGATTCGCTGCAGCTGCCTCCCGGTATCCAAAGTGGAGGGCGTGCTGACCCTGCCTTCGTTGAGCATGATGGTGTCCACGCGCAAGTACAATCAGCTGGTCGACTTGGATAAAGTGCGCATTAAACCCGAGAGCGTGCTGAGTTCCGGTCGGCCGGTGCTGGAGACGTTGGACGAGATGCTGCACCAGATGGGTCCTGAGTTTCGGCTGCCGGATTTCGTCGATCGATTCGAAGAGCACGCTGGTCTGGGTTTATACGGAAATTTGTCTGGATTCTCCCTTGTGATTTTCCATCCGTACGGAACGGTGGCGGAATCGGCTTATTACGATGCACCCGGCGAACGAAACGGTAACCATATGGTTAAATTAATGATAAATCTGACCGCATCAACGAAATCATGTGTCGTCTTATTATCGTGATTTTCTTTTAACAAAAAAATAAATACGATACCTTTTGATAGAAAACAAAGCGGGATTTTTGACTAAGAATATTACATACTGAAACGGCAATTTGCAGTAAAAACCTCGGCGCACGGTGTTCCGGATAAGCGCGAATTAGTCCGCTTGGAATTGGACCGTTTGCACGTGGAAATCGTCCGGTCCAAGTCCCTCGTCGACGATTTTGCCATGACCCCGGAAAAAGACGCGTTCTACAGTGCCAACAGCATCGAATTTTCTGGTAAGTGGTGAATTTTCAGGAGAATATAACAAACGCTATTCTATTGCTGTGAAAAAAATTTTCCTGATACATTGTTTTTCTAGCAAGTATTTCCGTTGGCAAGACCACCTTCTGGTATGATTTGCGGCGGCTGGGTGAGATCTTGGCGTTCCCAAAAGCATGGTATCGGCGATCCATCGCCCGGCGATTTTTTCTCGGCGAAGAAGCGGCTGATGCTGCCAGTAGTAAGCCGGAACATTTTCAAAACATTGGGTTTATTTGCATCGTTTTGTCTTCTTAATCAGCGACTTCGTCCATCTCTGTGGATCCAAATGCCAAGGACAGTGAAGAACCATACGAACTGAATAAACCGCCCCGCAAGAGCAAAGGTCAGACTATGAGAAATTTTTGCAAGTTTTGAACCGTCAGCATCATGTCTGGTATTTGTTGGAACTCATCTAGCTGACGTATGTTGCCTAAATTTACATCCTACCTGGTGATTGTGCGTTTCACGACTAGACACGTTTTGAAAAGTAGTTTGAAAAAGAGAAGGTATACAAACTAAAATTGAATTTAAGACCATAATTTTTCTGTACACAAATGTATCGCATCTCGTTGGGCACTACCCTGAAGATAAAGAGACGCAGCCGTTTAACTACGCTTTTGCTGTCGGTAGATTGTTTTATGTTGACCTTGCTGAAACTGCATGCAATGATATTGTAATGCATGAACTACAGTAACTACAAGCAATCGTACGAGGATTGCTCTTCAATCGTGTTCAACACTGTGCACTTAAATTATTTTTGCGATCCTGGTTTTGAATGGCATTCTCTTCCATCGCAGAAAGCGGCGCATCGAGTGTCGGTGGGGAAGAAACAGTACTTCCTTGGAAGACGTTGGTGCTCGTTGGAATCAAAGTTTCGGCGCTGGATTTCAACGTCAACATGGGCAATGTCATGGGAAATACTGTGTAAGTGGTAGACATAACGGTGATTAGTGCAATGTTTGGATTATTAGTATTGAATAAGAACGGTGATTCTATTGTTCCAGGTTGTTGGTGGAGGACATCAATTGTGTGGGACGATTTTCCGCCGCCAGTGATGGGCATTCGGATATTTTTGCGGCTGTAGTGGCGACCAATCTGGATTTAAACAGTCGCGGTGGTGTAGTCGGCGGTGGCTCACACTGGAAGAAGTCGCAGTTATACGGTAGGGTGCCGATGGGCCGTATTTTACGTGCAGTCAAAACAAAATGAGTAGTGAATTTGGTAGAATAATGGCATCTTCTTGATCCGCAATGCAGCTGTGGGTGTCGTCATTGCAAATTTATTGCTATGGGCCCTTTCAGGGTTCACCATTCATTCATGATACTTATTAGGTTAATGTTTATATTGTAGATTTTGTGTTTTAAACATTATTAGCATGTGTTTTTCATTTTTCAGCGCATATTCGTAACGAGGTGGGCGCTCCACCGATGCACGCATTCGGCTGTCTGATGAGTTCGGCGGAGAGCAAATTGGAGTACATGGGAGCGATCAGCGCCCTGGCGCGGATGAGTAAAATGAATGTCCGTGTCCGGGATACATGGGCGCTCCAGACGCAGGATTACCGCAGGTAAATAAATATTTACGACAGCGCGAATGGGTGATATTTTTTTACTGTACTGCTGTAGTCAACGAATAATTCTACGTAATAAGTTAGCGATTAATTATTATAATTAGGAAAAGCTAATAAATCTAGCTATTAAATGAGGACGAATGAGCTAATAAATCTAGCTACTAATTGAGAACGAATTGCTCTCGATTTTTAAGCTGGACTAAACTTGTTATCCTTCTTGATTCAGGTTTCTCTCGTATATATGTTAGGATAAGATTATGCAGTAGTACTTACTATCGGTACATACATGCTTGGAAAACGCTTGAAGTACATCGTAATTGTAATTATCGTTTTCAGTGGGCCGAAATTATCAGCGGCGGTGAACTGCAGCTGGGATCAGATGCAGATGATCATCTGCAGCGCCTCCACTTCTCACGTTGTTAAGTCCATCGTCCGTGTTACGGAATTCTTTGAAGAGCAGCTGAAAAGCAGTCGCCAATTCATCTCCAAACTGAACTTTGCCGGACCGGTGCCGCAGCGACGCCGCAGCTCCTTGTCCAAGTCGGCCACCAAAGAAGCCGGTATGCAATAATTCATATGGCCCGTGACTCTATAGGGGCTAATTTGTATGCGTTTGCAGTGGCGTCTCTGGATTCACGGTTTCATCGGCATTGGCAGCGACCGTTGGAGTTTCTGCGGGGATACAGACTGAAGAATGTCCCACTGGCGCCGTTTCCCATGCTGGGTGGATTGCTAAAGGGCGATGTGCAGATGAACGGGCGGAATATTTCCTTGGCGTGTTTTTATGGAAATAGTTTCCGTGGTAAATCCTGGGCGAGGTTCAGTATAAAGGAACCGCGTTTGGCCATTACCAGCGAGGCCATCGAGAGTTTCCGCAACGGTAGGCACTGTCTGCAACCGTTGAGTACAAAATCTAGTTACCGTGTTGTATTGCAAAATAATAATTATTATTTTGTAATGGTTCCATAATTTAGTGATCTTCTCATATAGCTTTGACACGCAATTCGATTTTGTAGATTGTTATTTATTAATCAATGAATAAGCGATTATGATATATGCGAATGCAATGAATGCGAGAATATGTAATATAGAATTTTTGTTGTTTATTATTTATGTTTATAAGGGGATTTGTGTGAATTTTCATTTAAGCAGTTACAGAGGTTTGTGTTGTAGGAGAGAAGTTGGTGGATGTTGTACAAGTGATGGCATTTAATCTGGGAAAGGATGATGCCGCCCCCTTTGCCGCCACCGTGGCCCGGGTGACCTGCAATAATCCTCCGCCGCTGCTGAATCTCCCGGATTGGTTTGAGTTCATGTTTATGAACAGCGATATCGACGGTACTGAATAAAACGAAAACTTCCTGCAGCACATTGCTTCTTATTAGAGATTAATGGACTATTTCAAGAATTGTTTTTGCAGAAATCGGTCGCTTTCCCACGACGCACTCACAGAAACTGAACACTTTCGAGGATATGAAGCTGAATATGACGATTGAAACGATTCTGGCGCTGCCGTTGATCGTCATCGGACTGCGGTCGGAGCACGTCCAGACGGAGACGATTCCCGATGAATCGACGCATCCGCCGGTATCATGCAATTTCACCTGTGATTTCGGTGCACCCATCTCCATTGATATGGGAGATTCACAGGCATTCTACTTCCTGCACCAGTTGATCAATTCCTACATCGCCAACACAGACGGTGAGCAGAGAACATGGATACTTTAATAGATATTTTCTCTTATTGTTCTTCATCTCTGGGAATGGTATTGCATGCTGTGTCTGTTGTTGTAATGTTCTCCTGCCAGTAGATTACAGCATTGGAAGTGTAATGGGATTAGTGGAGTGCACAGGCGTTCATAGCGAATACACTTATTCGAGGAATGTGAACTGGCGTTTCTAACTAAAAACCTCGGTTAAAATTCTTCGTTCTTTTTTAAAACGATATAAAGTATGAGCAATTTTTTGGAGAGTGTTCTTTGAATAATAAGAAGTAAGGTATCGTATCCTAGTGGGTAATTTCACGAACAAAGTTTGCCAGTATCAGAAATTTCTACATGGACTTAGGATGAACCCGGCAAATGCAGATCGTAATAGTGACGTTCGCATGATTGCAGCGGAATCACAAACCGGAAGCAAACGCGAAGTGCCTAATCCAACGGAAGTCCTCAAGGAAGACGCACGCCGCTTCCAGGTCAATGAATGGTATCTGCAGCCGAGTTTCAAGTAAGCAGAGCGGCACATCTACCGCGTTGTGTACCACCAGCTTCGAAGAAAAGTGTCTGTTTTGTTGTGGATGAAACTGAATTGTGTTAATTCTGGGGCAGATTACTGCAGCGTATCGGACGGGACATTGAGACGATCGGCGTGGAGCGCGTGATGAACCGACTGGGATTCGCCCAGGCCCAGACGACCATTCCTAAATGGATCCAGCGCGGCCTGGTCGATCCCGTCGACAAGGGACTGGCCGCGCTCATGCTCTTGCTGATGAAAAACTCCAAACATGACCGCGTATGAATCTGAAGCGGTGGTTGTGGGAAAGATGGAGCGAAATCATTCCGTTTTGCGGTGTTTGTTTGATATTTTATTGTGTTCACTATTCACCTTTTGCTCATTGGCAGTCTCTTCGGGTTTTAATTGTTCAGTCATTGTTTTTGATCTCCTTATGAGTTTTATAGTTAAATATTTCCTGCTCTGGCAATGGTGTCTTTTTTGGCAGGCTGCGATATCTGTTGGCAGGAATCGGTACTTGTTAAATTAAAAATGAATAGTATGCCTTTAATTTTGAATATTTGACAGTCTGATTCTGACTAATTCGACCTTATAACTTATGTCGTATCGCTATGCTTTCGCTGTGGTATTATATGTACTGTACTTCCATTAGAATCTTCCTGCTGCCGAAACGGGTTCCGCTGAAAAGCAATCTTTTCAAAATCTACTTTAAATACGTTAATCTACGTTAAATACAATAATAGTACGTATAATTGCACGTATAATAATCTACGTTATACTTTTCGCGATCGGTACGAGTACAGAACTTAATACCGAGCGGAAAGAAGCAGAACGGTGCATAGTGCATGCTCTAAGAAAACGGCAGTTACTTCGTTTCCGGGTTCAGTTTCTACTTTCTGTTTCCAGATGCATTTGTTAACATGCCAGCTTTTTATCAGCATTTAGCTGATTTTGTTAATTTTTTATTTTTGTCTGCTTTTCTTGGTTTTGTCTTACGTTGCAGCTGTTGATTTGATCTTGTTGTAGCGTACAGATATACCACTACATCTATTTTCCACCGGATACTGGTGTTTCCCGGGAAGTTGTGACTGTTCACCGCTGGCGTCTTGTTCTGCCTTGGTGCTTGATTGGTGTTCGGTCGCGGAACGGCATTGTAGGTTTGGATTGTTCGCTGTTGGCAGTTATGAGTAGAGAAGAACTGTCTGTACAAACATGGCCCCCGAAGGAGCGAATATCCCGAAAGAGACCATTAGACAACGGCGCATCGCATCCTGTGTCGGCTGGATCCGACATTCCACAGCTTCGGGTACAGTCTGGTAAGTGCGTCGTCAAGTGCTAGTTAAAAGTTTCGACAGCACAACTGACAGTCACGCTGTCGTGGACGGTGGAATAGTTGACAGCTTCAATCAAAGACTTGAATTATTCCACGAATGCGCGATTGTCAGTTTCGTTTCAAGACATGAAATACGATACTTCGAAAGTATATATTTATATACTCGTATAATGTCAGTATATATACTCGCATACGGCATACTGACTCGTATATTGTCAGTGCCGCGCCGCCGGCGAACAAACGGCATCAATCCCATCGGGTTCAACCGTTCAATACCTTTTTCTTTATTAATTTTTATACTGAATGTCCGCGTTTGTTTTCTAGTGATACGTTTTGCCGGCTCCCGTACTGAATCGCAGTATGCTAACCCGTACCCACAATCGAGTAAGTGATAAGGAAGTAGGATGATTCTTTTCACTCCGGTAAATTTTTCGCTGCAGTCACTGAAAAATAAAAAAATTACAGTAGCCTTGCGCCTCCGCTGTTGCATGTTCTGATGCTGATATTTCATTGCTGCAGACGCGCGTTCTTCGACTTGTGCCAGCGTCCCGTCGCCCGTGGCTGATTCCCCTTCGGAATGCTCCACGGATTCGGAAAATCGGCTAATTAATTTGCAAATAGGACGATTCCGTTCCCCAGCCGCTTGGTGGCACGCTCGGATCACCTTGTTCGCTGTTCCGGTAAGTGGAGGTAAACAAAATAAAATATGAAGAAGATGAACATGCACCGATCAATATTGCCGTTACTGCGCCGCATCCAGCACCCATAAATGACAGCGTGCTGCTTCTAACAAGAGCACGTGCATTATAATGTGCAATTAAACCTGAATATGAAATCCTGCTTTTCCAAATCTTTATTAGACGTAGCATGATACCTGACATCACCCGTTGCGGTTATTTAAAAATTGCAAGTTCCATAATGTTTTTTTTCGTTTGGTTGTTTTCTACCACTTTTGAAGATTTTCAGCAGCTTAACAGCATCGTGCCTTGAACTCTGTAGAGATTTGTCAATTGATTCGCTTAAATTGAAATTCGTCGTAGAAGCTTCTGGTTTGGCGCGTGATTCCGTGGAGATCCTTGAGTCGACCCTGTCCAGCCATTTCGTGCATTCCCTGCACTCTCCCTCCACCATCGACAAGTACTGGGAGGTGGTCCAAGCGCGGAATACGGCCCTGGAGAATATAATCGCTGGGGTCACGGCGGCGTACGAAGCCGCCTATGGCGACCAGATTGCGGCATTTTCCACCTTTATGATTTCGGCGCTGCGTGACGGTCTTGTGCCGGTTAGTTGCATGGGTTGTTTTAACGACCCCGCATTATAAAAATGCTACTGAATATGTTTAATTTGAATCTGGTTTCAAATTACTCGTACTTCATATCATCGATAGTAAGACCAAATGAAAATGGAAGGAATTTCATATTCCAAATTTTTTGTGTATATCCACAAAAAAACTTCTGTTTTCGCCCGCTCTGAAAGATACATACATTTTTAAGTTTTTATTTGTAAGTTTATTTGTTTAAACGACCCAAAAAACTGTCTGGAAGTGCGCGGAAAATTTTAACGAAATTCACACAAGATTAGCGCACTTGGAGACGATGGTTTTTGATATTGTGTGTGAAATCAGTCTCATATCTGTACAGTATTGGAATTTTGTAAATCTTTACAAATGTGCGGTGTTTAGCATCAGCCGCAAGCCACACCGTCGCGCTGGCTCAAGCTGCTCGCGGCGTTTCTGAAAAACACAGCGGATCGTTTGGCTGTGTTTGTCTCGTTGCTGTTTGGTTTCCGCAACCTATCCGAGGATGACCAGCGGACTTTATTGGTGGAGAAGCGACTGATCAGTTATCTGGTTGGCTTCTCATCCCTGTGTCAGCGTTTCGATTTTTTATCGTAATTCGAATGCGTTTTTTACAGATACATTATGCTTCATACGTGCGCAAAGGGGAATATTATACTTTTTTTCCTGGGACGGAGAGTCTGCATCTGTGCAAATATGTCATAGAGTCGCTGGGGATGGATCCGGATTATGTGCGTTTTAGTGATTCATGTTACGCGTCAGTTAACAGCATCGGCTTGACGTTAGTGGAGCTCTAACTGTTGCTAGCCGCTGCTTTTTTTTATCCAGGTAAACTGTGGCTTTTCTCTCATTTTTAATTGCCTTTGGTCTTTTGATATTACTTGCAGTTGCGGTTAATTATTAAATTATTCAGTTATTGCGTTTTCATGCAATATGTGCAGATCGGTTTATAATGAAAGTTCTATTACGCCTCTGTGCGTTTAAACTTTTGGATTTATATTTCATAGGTAACTCCCTAACCGAATTTTGCGCCCACAAACGGTTCTCAGGCCAGTGTTTACAAATCATTGGACTTTAGAATGCTATTAAAGCAATGCAAAAAAAGTGTTTGGGAGTGCGCGAAAGCGGAAGGTTTCTCACTGTTACGGAGATGTACCCAAATTTTGTACCATGTACCGGCACACTTCCTTTTACCGGCCTTGCGTAAAACTTGTAAATGCCGGAAAGAAAGATTTAAAGCTTTGTCTTCCTGAAATTGTGGCTACCACATATGCTTTTATGTAGCTTGAATAAAATATTTCCGGCAGTACGTTTTGCTATGGCAAAGGTTTAACTTCCATTTCTTTGTACATGTATGCTATATCTTAAAATGAATGATACCTTTTGTAGTTATCAATGATGTTCATTTTTGCAGAAGTCACAAAAGCATCGAATAAGACGTTGATGGGATACTTGCACGTGCTGTACATGGACGCGTTAAATTATTCCATTGGGAAACGTGCAGCGGTCGCCGAACGCGGAGTGATCTGCGCGAAAGTGCAAAAGATTGTCAGCCAATTTGCCCTGATCGACACGGTCTCTGTGAACTACGTTGAGAATATGGAATTTAATACTATTATGCTTCGCTCGCAGTCACTTGGCTTCGGGGAATCGTTCGTAAGGTGAGCTTCCGCCTCAGACGCCATGGCAACGTATAGTAGGCCTCAAAGAGTTTAAAAGCCTTAATTATTTTGACTTATACGTACGTAAGAGAAAATGTGTACGAGTGAGAAGTTCGGGATCATTTTTATAGTACGAGAATAATACGAATAAATTGTGATAGATTGTTTTCGTGAGTTTCTAGAAGAACTACTCAGGACTGTGATCAGCGCCCTCGCAAGCCGGATGCGGACATGCAGCGCCTAACCCAGCCGACGTCCACAAGCCCAACCGAAATAACCCGCCGCTTCGAGGGCAGTGAATGGTACAGTACCTGTAATCCACTTTAAAATACTTGATTTCAGTGCTTTCGGCTTTCCAGATCAGACTGGTTTTGTACTGCTCATTTCGTGAATGCAGAATGTGCCGGCGTCGGTCTGTGGGTAATGAGCGAGTGATGCCAACTTTTAACAGAACTGCCGCAGCGCATCGGACGGGACATATTGAGGCGATCGGCGTGGAGCGCGTGATGCACCGGTTGGGATTCGCCCAGGCCCGGACGACCATTCCCAAGTGGATCCAGCGCGGTCGGGTCGATCCCGTCGACAAGGGACTGGCCGCGCTCACGCTGCTCCTCATGAAGACCCCAAACACAACCGTGTCTGAACATGTCGAGCGGCGATTGTAGGAAGGACAGGACAGAATTATTCCGTGTTTGCTTGATATTTTATTGTGTTCACTATGTACCTTTTGCTCATCGGGAGTCTTTTCGGGTTTTAGCTGTTCAGTCATGTTTTTGATCTCCTTTTGAGTTTTATAATTATTTATTTTGTCGTGGCAGTCGTCGGTCGCTCTTGGCGCGGCTTTTGATTCCTCATCTCCTGTACCTGATTGCCTAAACTTAAAATATACAATTACCGTACATATTGAAATGCATGAATGCATAACATAATATGAGTCACAGAAATGAATGACAAAAGTCGATGAGATGGCATAAGATGTCAAAACTTAGAACCATTTTTTTGTCAACCGATTTATGTTAGTCGGCGACACAGCATATGTACAGGTATTCTAGAAATACTGCAACAATAAAAACTTCCAGAACACCGGATCGGAAGCAGCAGTGCAGCACCGTACACTAAGCACGACAGAAATTCAATTAAACCTTAAGCTGTGGAAACTCGGATTTCCATTAAAGAAACATTTTCTGGGCAAAAAAGGGAAGTCCCCAAAATTAATACATCGACCAAAATGAACGCTGATAATTTTTCATGGTTCCATCAGATTTTCCGATACTTCTATGATGAGTTCTATCTAACTTCTATAGCATGAATTCGAATTTTACATCACCTAGCACCGAGGGTGGCTGCCTAGCGCTGCAATTTGACCGTTCACGAAATCACGCACGAGTCATAATTTCGTCATTTTTGTGTCTTCCAAGTTCCAACTTCCAGACTTCTTCCTTTATCCTTATCGTCTTTTACGTACGCTCCGCTGCCATTTGCTAGTTGTCAGGGTGGCCTTGGCCCTTGTGGTTTTCAATTTTGTTTCGGAATCTCTCTTTTCCGGGAAAACGTTACTGCTCGCCATTGGCGTACTGTTTGTCCGTTTGTGTTTGTTGTTGTGGCTTCATCGCTTTCGTCTTTATCAGTGTATCATCTTTATGGTTCGGAACGGCGTTGCTGTGTAAAACTGCGATTTCGCTGTTGGGAATTATGAGTTGGGAAAAGCCGTCTGTACGAGCGTTTCCGTCGCAGGAGCGACTATCGCGGAAGAGATTACTAGACAGCGACACGTCGCACCGTGTGTCAGCATGGTCGGGCATTCCACAGCTTCGCACACAGTCTGGTTAGTGCGCCGTCAACTGCAGTCATCTGTTCGTATGCATCGCTGCCAGCACATGCAGTAACTGCAGATCATGAACGATCCGCTCTTGATAAACTACGCCATCATTCGCACTTACTCGAATCATAATCAAATTCACTGTTCTGTGCTGGTTGATAGTCCTTGTTTCGTTTTGCAGTGATTCGCTTTGCACCGTCCCAAATCCACACACAGTGTACAAACCAGTACGCACAATCAGGTAAATTAATGGGGCAATTATTTCGGATTCTCTCCGACTAAGTTTCGTGTCCAGTCGCTGATTAATGGCATTCGCTGATAATTGTAAATTGCAAATTCTTGCTACAGAATCGAGTCCCCGAACATCGGAGAGTGTCCCCTCATCCCGCTCTGATTCCCCTCCGACATCGTCCACGAGTACGGACATTCAACCCTTTAGTCTGCGGAGTGGAAGATTCAGTTCCCCCAGCAATCTGGGGCCACGCTCGGGGAAGCTCATGCGTTTGTCCGGTTAGTGCGGAAAACCCTGCTGCATTCACTATCACTAGTAAAAGTGGAATCCACTCAATCCACTACCCCCCCCCCACCCCATCTACCGTAGGCATCCGCGCCCGTATTGATTTGATAAATCATTACACTCAGCGAATTTTTTCTTCCGTGATTTAATTTTTTTCTATTCACGCTGAGCGAAGCAGTAGGTGGCTCGGAGTATTTAACAGAATTTACAACTGATTTTCCTGACATTGAAATTGTTTTGCTGTAGACCCTGCCGGTTTGGCGCGTGATTCCATGGAGATCCTTGGGTCGAGCCTGCCGAGCCATTTCGTCCATTCCCTGCACTCCCCGTTCTCCGTCGACAAGTACTGGGAGGTGGTCAGAGCACGGAACAGTGTGCTGGAGAAGGTGATCGCGGGAGTGACGGCGGCGTACGAAGCCGCTTACGGCGACCAGATTGCGGCGCTCTCCGCGTTTATGATTTCGGCGCTGCGGGACGGGCTCGTGCCGGTCAGTTCCAACTGCATCCCGCTTCAGTAGCTTGCCTACTTAAAACGTTTGTGGCGTTGCCTTATCTCGTTATTCGCAGTGCTCTACATGTGCTTAACAAAATATGTGACTATAAGGTGAAATGAGGCTGCGCATGACTCTGTTGTGAACATTTTCATGACAAAAGTTAAACGCGAGGCCAGCCGATTTTTTTTTATCGCTGCTGCAATAAAATATCATTACATAACGTGTGGGCAATCCTTTATTTCGAAATTGGTATTTGTTTTCGTATAGCATCAGCCGCAGGCTACACCGTCACGTTGGCTCAAGCTACTCGCTGCTTTTATCCAGAACACAGTGGAGCGTTTGGCTACCTTTGCCTCGCTGCTGACTGGCTTCCACGATCTCTCCCACGACGATCAGCGGACGTTATTAGTGGAAAAACACCTCATCAGCTATGTGGTGAGCGTTGCATCTTTTTTTCAGCATTTTGATTTTCTGGTTGTAATTGGAATGCATTTTGCAGATGCACTATGCTAGTTACTTCCACAAAGGGGAATATTATTATATGTTTCCTGGTGCGGACGGCCTGCATTTGTCCAAATATGTCCTGGACTCGCTGGAGATTGATCCGGATTATGTGCGTTTTGTTGATTCGTTCTATGCGTCAATTAACAGTATTGGCTTGACTTTACCGGAGCTTTATCTGCTGTTAGCCGCGGCTATATTTTATCCAGGTAAAATGCAAGGGAATGATATGTTTGTGCTGCTGATTATTTATTCGTCTGGTCGGATTCGTTTTATTGGAGTACTTTAATATTTTGCAGAAATCACAAAAGCGTCGAATAAGACGTTGATGGGATACCTGCACGTGCTGTACATGGACGCGTTAAATTATTCCATTGGGAAACGCCTGAATGTCGCCGATCGCGCGGTGGTCTGTGCAAAAGTACAGCGGATTGTCGCCCGATTCCCGCTGATCGACGCCATCTCGGTGAATTACGTGCAGAACCTCAATGTCAGCAGCGTTCCACTGCGTTCACGCACACTGGGCTTTAGAGATTCCTTTCCAAAATGAACGGCTGCCGCCGATGCCATCGCTAGTCCGCCGTTTGCCAAGGTGACTTTTCTTCAGTCTGCTATGGTGTAGATTGTTTACGATAATCTGGATAATGATCTCGGTGGAGAATTTATTTTTTAATATGTTGTTGTAATTTTCCCTGTTGTTGAATAGTTTTGCACAGTACTTTGTTTGCGCACAGTACAAGTCTCGGCCTCGAAATATTAAAGTTGGTGACTCAAGATGCTAAAAGTCTTAACTCATTAAAAATTGAAATGCAGGTTATACAGCTGATAAGCAGCTGAAATATGGTTACTGTATGTATGCTTGCGGTGTAGTTTCACTTGGGCATAATCTGCATGTTTGACAATTCAGTTATGTTTTTTCCCGTAAGTCTTCTTTCTTTTTCCTCCTGGCTAATTTTTGTATTTTTTTTAATTGTTCTTGTATTTTTGCTAAAATATTGTATCGATTTTTGATCAGTTGTTTGTAAAAATTAATGATTTCTGCAAAGTGTACGTAAATGGTTATAAAACCAAGATACTTTAGTGAAGAGACTGAAGACCATTTTCTTGTTCTATACTCGTATCTAATATCTGTATTCTGTATCCTATTCGTACTGCTAAATATGTAAGTAAATAAATTTATTGGTACATTCCAGCCGTAAGGGGCTATCTTGTCGCAATATTTGCGGCAAAACACTGAGACTACATATTTCGGGCTGTAGCTAGGGGAATACTGTACCGAAATAGATGTCGCCATGTTTAATACCTTTTCTTTTTTTCTAGAGGAGAGTTCCTCTTCTCTTTCTGTAATCACTGACACTGTATATACGTGTACATGTGGCGGTACCTGTAAGAAATTACTGTAGTGCATTGCCGTTTATAAGTCCATGTGAACGAATACTACTACTGTATATCCGTTTCAGATGCCGAAAATGTGTACAATAAAATATCATTCCTCACTGGTCAGGTGAAAAGTGCAAGCAAGTTAGCAATAATTTTTTGTGAAACAACACAAAACAAACAAAAGAACGTTTTTATATTCATATATATAAAGCTATGTTATATATAAAGAAAAGGTGAAATGTATAAACGTGAGGGCTCCCATACCGGATTACAATACAGCGTGCATGTGAATGGGAGAGTGGGAGATTGAACAAGGATGTACTTTCCTGATTTTAATCCTATAAAATTCTTTTTCTAATGTTTCAAACCCAATGTTTTTCTACAGACGCCCGTCCTTTGGCGCCAAAGACGACCCCGCCCCCACGTCCCAAAATATGTGCCGCCGCCGTTTAACCGATCAATAATTAATGCGAAACATATAAGTACATCAGCGAAGCCGTAAATTATATATATAGATCTGTCTCTGCTAAACAACGCCAATAAACGTGCAGCATGATTAGGCAATTTTACGCATAAAGCGCGGCACCGGAAATTCCTGCGCGCTGATGCCTTTTAATAGATCTACGTAATGCTGCGTATATTAATTTTTTTACAATATATTTTGTATTTGCGCTGTATTCTTCCCTCCTGTAGAATTAAGCTTTTCTCGTATGGTACTGATGCCCTATATCTAGCTGTAAGCATCATGTTACTTAAATTTGCGGATTTTTCTGATGATTTGCTTGATGTTGATGTATGTCGTAGATCCTTCCGGTTTCCGGTGCACTCTCCGTTCGGCATCGAATGTACTGGGAGATGGTCACAGTGTAGAAGGTAATCACGGATCGGAGGTCACGGCGGCGTACGGAGCAGATTACGACATTTCCCAGCTTCATCATTTCGGCGCTAGGGCCTCGTGCCGGTTAGTCATTTTACCAGTTTCATGACGTAGCGCAGTCACAGATACGTCGTAATTTGTAGTAATAACAAAATCGTCGAATAAGACGTTGATGTATTAACTGCATGTGCTGTATCTGTACATGGACACACCGTATATTGCTCCATTGGAAAAGCGCGTGAATGCCGCCGATCGCGATGTGATCTGTGCGAAAATGGTGAAGATTGTCGCCCGATTCCCGCTGGTAGACACCATCTCGCCGAGATATTTACGCGCAGAATCTTAACGGCTGTAGTATTCCGCTGTGTTCACGTCCACGTGAATTTGACGGTTCGCTTCGAAAGTGAACGGCTACCGCACATGATATAACCCCTATAACCCTATAGTCCGCTTTTTGTGGAGGTGACCTTTCTATATATACAGTCTGCTGTGCTGTACATGTTTCACTGTGGATAACGATCTTAATGAAGAAAATTCCTGCTTTAAAATTAATTGAATTCTAAACCTTTTCCTCTACATCGAATTTTTCTGGTTATTGAATATACTGTACTGTATTTTAGTGATGATCAGGTTATTGAAACTAACGAGTAACCTGAGACCTGAACTACCGCTGCAGTTGTGTTTGTGGGCAGTTACGTTTTACTTGGGCTAGTCTGCTTGTAGCCGTGTGTATCAATGTATCATGTCAATATAACTGTGCGTTAGAATTTAAATACAAGACGGTATCACTCAAGTATCACGAGAAAATGCGTTTCGCATTTCTTTATAATTCCAAAGTTACAAACATTGAAAACACAAGCTTCTGTTTTGCGGTTAATTATTATAAAATATGCAAATTATGATTAGTACCATCACTACCATGTACCGAGCGCATTCCTTTGAGTTTTTATCCGGAAAGATTTTCTTCAAGCATTCACGCACAAGCGTATTTTACTGGGGAGTGCTTGAAGGAGAAATGTAGTATGTCAAATGCTTACCAGAAAAAGCAAATTACAAATTATTAATAATGTTCTGTTGTGCAGAAATCACCAAAGTGTCGGATAAAGCGTCCATGGGATGCTTGCACGTGCTGCACATGGACGCGTTAACGTTGTATTATTCCGTAGGAAAGCATGTGAATGTCGCCGAACGCGAAGTGGTCTACGCGACAGTGCAGAAGTTCGTCGGCCGATTTCCGCTGATCAACTCCATCTCGGTGAGCTACCTGCAGAGTATGCAGTTGAGTGCTGTTCCGGTGCGTTCGCGCTCCATTGGCTTTCGTGATTGGTTCTCAGGGTGAGTTGCTGCCACAGGCGCCATTCCGAGGTTGCTACCTGGGGTTCTGACATTTCGTCAGTCTGTTCCGAATATTTTACAATATTTTGTGTCTTAATTAAGACACAAATATATATTAGTGGTGATCTGGTGTTAGTTTCTAGCTGTTAAATGTTTATCCGAATAATAACACCAGTATAATTTTATGAATATTATTGTCGATATCAGAAATTTTTACGTGAATTTCGTCTTTATTCTAATTCATAAACCTTTTCAGTGGAATCACAAAGCGGTAGGAAACGCGAGGTGCTTGACTCATCGGGAAGATGTGGAGGAAGACGCACGTCGGTTCCAGACCAGTGAATGGTACGTATCTTTAACCGAAAATGACTGCGCAAAATGCGTAGATATTGTTGTGGATTAAGCCATTGTTCGAGCGGCAAATGTGGAAAAAAAACGGGCGAAATCATTCCGTCTTCATTTGAGGTTCTTACTGTATCCGTTAGGCAGCTCTTGCTCATCTGCCTTCCAACGAACCCGGATATTAGATTACGTGGAACACAAATTTAGATATAATAACATGTGTTTTTTATTTAACAAAATAAATGAGTTAACCGTAAGAGAGAAACCTGTCTACTGCTGATGTAAATTAACAATTGGCCAATTCGGAAAACACTCACGCTCTGTGAGCCATGGTTTGCACAAATATGCTAGGTTGCTAAAAAAACAACAAGGAAGATACTGGTTACAAACTACAGGCGTAGGGGCCAAAAATGAACATGAAACAGTGTCGCCACCATGGATGGCGGCAGGCTACTATCCGTGTCCCGCGTGTATTAAAGACCGGCGCAACGAGCGGTCGGTAGCAGGGCGGATGCCGGTTAGGATTAAAATTCGGGGGCTGCGCGGGCGGGGTCTGTGGAATCCTCGGTGTTGACGTGGGCACTGGTCGCTTGGTGGTGGTGGTCATCTCGTTCGTTGCCGCAGACGAGGTGTCGGTTATCCCGAGTGTCGTGGTAGTAGCGGGAGTGGTAGGTGTTGGGGGCGGAGCAATGTTTTGTGGCAGCGCTGTGATGAAATAATTCTCCACGCCGCAGTGATTTGATCCCCGCAGGAACTTCATTACGCCGTCCATACCCCATTGTTTACCCCAGGAATTGGCTATCAGCCAATAGTCCGTGCCGCGTTCCGTGCCCCAGCCGATCAGCTTCATCGCGTGGCCGCCTTTGTAATCACCGGTTACATGCCGATAAACACCTGCAGAAGAAACTGTTATTCCAGTTGTACGTTTAGTTGGTCTTTATACAAACAACATATACCGCTAATCGAAGCAATACTTCTTTAGAAGCCGAAATTTCCAAAATTTGCGTCCCGCTGAAGTTTTTAAACCGACGAATGGCGCCATGGTTATACATGCATAATTAAATAAAATATACACTTTCATTAGTTCAGCAAAGTAAAATCTTCAGGATTTCCGAAAAAGGCTGATAAGCAGTCACAGCGAGCCCCATACAAACGATGTACAGTAGTACGAAAAAAATAATTATTTTTTTGTACACGCATATAAATAAGCTCCCTGGATTTACTGTACTTATGTATACTCTTACGAGCTTCGCGTACCAGAAGAATACGATTCCAAGTCAGCGTAAGCATCAATACCAATGGTCACCGGGCCGTTGGTCATCAGTTCTCTCTGTGCTTCTTCGATGACCTTATCGATGGCAGCTGCACCGTTGTACCTTTCAAACTTAATTCCCATACCGTACCATTTTGAACCTAGGTTGAACCGAAAATTATACGTAGATTGTGAACAGAATCATGTCGTGGCGCGTGCTTGTCTTCAGGCACGAATTGTTTTACCTAATCGTTTATCATCCCGATACGTCTTCGCGTAGACTCTGTTGGAGCAGGACTTGGTGCAGCTGGACGTTGTTACCGTCTGAGTATCCTGCTGTGTGTATGCCTGGTAGGGCATACAGCCCAGTCCACTGCGGTACTCCCCGCCTGTGACCAAGCCCTGGCTGGCGAACATTTCGTACGGTGTCTCCAGTTGTCCTCCTTGTGAACTGAAGTATCCGGTAAACCATTTTATATACTTCTGTGTACATCTTTACTTGGGAGTCTTGGAATATATAATAGTGCGCATTATTTAACGATTTGACCTTACCATACTCTGTAACCAACATTCCCGCTACAGACCAAAGCATCTTGGGCGGATATGGATATGTTTCGGTATGATGGGTCGGAATCGCCTAAAGCGATGCATAATCGGTCCGAAAGTACTGCTGCGGCTGATACGGCCTAAAATTTACAACCAGGAGTACAATTATACGTACCTCTGCACAATATGTACAGAGTTCAATCAAATCTGCAATTTCAACCAAATCCGACAAAATAATAATGATATTTATTTCGCTCGCCTTTTACAGAATTATATATCACAAAAACACTTGTTTTAATTAAGAAGTTTTAGTTAGTACCAGTACACTTAAAGCAGTAGTTGCAGCGCGGTCTATGATTATTTTTAAGAAAAAATAGGCTTATATTACATTCTACAAAATGAAGGAAAAAAATATAAAGATTGTAAGTATGAGCGGTATGGAGAAAAGTTAAAGAAAGACAGTAGCCTATGACAATTGAGTACAACTGTACATACCCAACAAGACGGACAGACGCCTTGGGCACGAATGTTCTGGAAGGTGGCGCAGTTGGGCCACTGTGTTCTGGCATCGAATGAATCCGGAATCGGGGCTTTGCTATCATGAGTGGTCAACCGGCGTGGGAAACTTTTCAGCTTGTTCTCGGGGGTGAAAACAAGACCGTAACTGTATACCGGCCGGTTCTCGTGTGACTGAACGTTGTAGTCTTTTGCCGTCCAAGTGGCTTCCCTCGAATGGCGCTTGAAATAATTGTTCACGGTTCTGTATAAAAAGTAAGCCAATGTTTGATTCGCTGTTTTTATTTAGCACCACTTGACTGCAGTAATGCACAATTAATCAGCAATTTAATGCTACAGTAGCAATGATCCTATGTACCCTTACTGGACCAGGTTATCTGAATCAGCGCGGACACACGGAACAAAGGTCACCAAGTATGCGGTGAAAAAGTTTGAAAACAGTAGTTTGTAATGATTCCTTGCCATGTTCACAGAGTAGCGAAATGGTAGAAGTCACTTGGATAAATAAAATTGAACCGCTGAAATAAGTGTTTCTGTTTCTTAATTGCTTAAGCGAATGATGTTGATGAGTTTTTTTAATTAAGAAATTCAATTGACCGGTTGCCCGCAATTTTCCTCCATTGCGGCATTCAAAGCTGTTGTGCTGGCGCCGCAGAGGTATTTACTCATTGATGAACTTGGTGGTTTACCCTTATTACTTACTGCACAATCAACAGAATTTCACACAACAAACAACGTGACAACACATCGCGCAACGGATCTCGTGATTGGCACACCGCTGCTCACGGAAGACGATGTATCGGACAATTAACGACAAGTCAGACCTTCTCTTGCTGAGGTCGCTAATTCTGTGCTAATGACTGGAAGGTGAAACCAATTCGGATCAGGTACAAGTACACAGATCCAAAGATAACCTGTAATACGCGCGATACAGGCATACCGTTTGCTGCCATATCTTAGCTTTTTATTTGACAATACATCTTTCATACCGACACGTCGGTGTTTATTTCCGCATGGCACCCCACATTTTTCTGCAACTGATGATGATACTTTCCGGTACATACTCGTACATTGTTATTATCGGAGTATTGTGCAGTAGCATTTTACCCGTGACAAGGCAAAAACCAACTAATTGAGCCGGTTGTTGTTGGAGTGATAGTTGAATTATAAGTACTTCTCTTTTTGTAGGCGAATGCATGTACTTACAAACAGCTCGAACGACTCATTCGGTACAACCATGTACAGCTCTGTACTTACAATTATTATAACTTATAAGTGTTATTATTGAGTGCATTGCAATGGCGAATTACATTGTTTTGTAGAGTGGTTGGCTATTGTGTATTGTGTAATGGCACTATTGCTAGAGTCAGAAACGAATGTTAAATTCTTCAACTGATGCTTGGAAATTTGAACAGAAATGACTGGTGGAATGTCAAATTTTTTTTGTGCCTCCACGAAAAGAAGTAGGGGAGGGAATCTGTTTCCTGTTTAATGCAAATGGCAATGGCGCAGCGCTCTAAAAATTTTAACAGCTATTGACGACGTAATAATAATCAAATACTGCAGATATGACTGATTTAAGAAAATTCAGTATTTAATTCACCGTACAAAGTACATGCCATAAAGTACAAAGTACGTAGCTTCTGAAACTGAAAATGAATTTCTATATAGATATGTAGGATTTAAATATCTGCACTCTGCAGCACGCCTATTAAACATGCATCTGTATCGTATTGCATGAATGGTGTAGCACTTGCACATTCTGTAATTGCATATACGTTGAGAGAAACCGGCTCCCAAATGAACTACTTGTATACACGAATGCCCTACAATGCTTGTGCAAGCACTACCCGGTAGCTTCCCGAATAACAAGCAGTCACCGGAACCAAAAACCACGCTCCGCACCCAGGGCTTACGGCCTGCGTAACACCACGGCAAAGTTATGAATGTACAGCAAGTATTTCATGTTAAACTGTCTGCTTTATCCCTGTCGGCTGCGGTCTGCATGCTAACAAGAGAGTTCCCAAAACTAAATGCAGTGATTGCAGCCGCAGCGTCGTTAATAGTTGCTTACGCTCGTTTTGCTGGCCGCTTAAAACTGCCTAGTTTCGGAAATCTTAGGCTGTGCGAGTATTACTATGACAGCAGTGGTACCATTTGGAGCTCACTATTTTAAACGACTGTAGTAATTCAGAGTAACTCCATAATTTGCGTGGAATTGTTCGCTATGGAAAAGCTCTTGTCTGAAATATACAAACCGTCGATGCGTAAAGACACCGGCGTATTGCGCTTCCAACAGTAGACGTGTTATCACACCCAACAATCAGATTCGTGAGCCCGTGCTGGCTGTGTAATTGTCATATTTTATTGTTAAAATCTGTGCTGCGTTAAGCATGCCGGAGACCCACTCTTTTGAGAACGTACGCACTGCGAATTTCACAACTGTAGCACAAATGACGTTTATGTTTTTCTTGTTACTGATTAGAAAAGACAGTTTTTCATTACACTGCAGGTAGATTATATCCCGCTATTTTGGCTTTTTTGGTAAAACGGCACCAATATTCATGCAGCTTGCTCTAGTTTTTAAAAACATTCTAACGTTTTTTTTCGCCAAATTTGGCGATGTCGAAGTGTAAAGCGCATTTTGCGTATTCCGGTTTAATTCGTCATACACAACGGCTTTAACTGGCAACAAGGACCGCATGCAAAAAGTTTCATAGAAGAGGTGCAGTTAATGGAAATCAGATCGGACCACTGGATCCGTCGAGTCATGCAACAAGATCAGGATATATGCGTATAGGCACACCATTTCAAATTATGCACTCGTTTTGCTTAAGAAAATCATTTGTGGATTTTGTGACTACGTATACAGATCGCTTTAGTTTTATGATAACTGAAAGCTTGAAAATTTTCCTATAGTACTTCATTTATTTTGTGTATTGTAGTAAGCAAGGCTTCGCGTTTTCCGAGGTCAGACTCGTTTTTCGGTGAGTACTAAACCGTTGCAAATCAGTAATTTAGTACTAAATCAGTATTTTGATACTGACACGTCGTAAAATAATTCGCTACTTGAAATAAGCCGCTGGAAACTGGTTATGGATTTCGCGACAAGGTTTGAAGGTCGCTCCTTTGCCGCTGGAGATGTCGTGGAAATCTGTGACCCGTGGGTGTGGTCGCTCCACATCGATGCGTATAAAACTCGTTGCGCCTACTGTTTTCAGGTGAAAGAGGTCGATATATATGTGCATGCAAATATATATGTACATATCTCTCGGAAATTATATATAATCGTAAAATCTTGATCCTAAAATGAGATTCGAGTTTTAGAAAGCAGACTGGGAGCTACAGCAACGTCTGGTGTTACGGAATTGTTCGGGTTGTCAAGTGCACCGCTACTGTAGCACCCAGTGCCAGGTAAAAAGACCGAAACCGGCCACATCCTCCGCATTTCCGATCTCGTATATACATTATACAGTACGTATATTTTTTCCATATCTCTCTAAAATAATAAATAATAGCAAAATCTTGATCCTAAAAAGAGAGCGGAGTTTTAGAAAGCAGACTGGAAGCTAGAGCATCGCCTGGAGTGTGATATGATAAAGGGGCGTCATGGTAGCCGACTGGAAGTGATCTACCGACGCGCGACTGGTGGTAATGCAACCGCGGCTGTTACTACAGCTTTTGATCTCGTTGCCAAGATGGCGATTAGAATCAAGGTAAGGATAGTATATAAACACCGGATATAATAATTAAAAATCTTGTGCATGCACGATGCATGACTTGCTTATAATGTTGTGCTGTTTATATATAGCGACCGACACTGGTAGTAACCATAACTTTTACTTAGGGAAATAAAAGTGTGGAGTTCCCTGGCCTGGGAAAGAAATTACCCGGCGAGCTCTTACGTCTATTTCCACAAGACCCCGCCTGTCCTCTCTTACTAGACAGTCCCCATTCAATGTACATAGTTCATAGTTTGTGATGATTCTTGTTCCGTACCAGGTTTACTGTTTCAAATAATATTACGGCACGTCAGTTGGTGTTGTATATAAGGGGAAAACCATTTTAGTCGAACCACTTCACGGCAATGCTGCCGTTACCCGGCTGGCATGTGACGGTACGGCAGTACATATGCAGTGCGCCATGTTTAGCCACAACGTCAAACTTCTGCCGGGTGACGGCTGCAGAACAGAGAACTGGTTTGAGTAAAGTGATTTTTCACCTTATATACTGGTACAAAATATTGATAGGCCAATACACTGGACACAGTCATCCGAGGCGGCAGCTGAAATTGGAGTGTCTGCCGCAGAGTTTTTCCATTACGGCGAGACTGTCCGCTACAACGCTCTTCCCCTTATCGATGCGGGGCCTCGGCCGGCATCCATTGGTGTGGCGCTGTTTCCGCGAGCGCCACATCGCCTGATGACCCCGGCTTGCTGGGATATTAATGTTGTCATGCATTTCCGCGGACGACGCCTGTTTGTACTGGCAACACAGGACATTTCCAACTGCACAGGACTGCAGGACGTAAGTGACTGTTCGATGAACCAAGAAAAATATTTTATTAAGAAACTTTGATTTTTACCCTGAGAATACCGTAATAACAGAAGTATGTCCAGTAAACGTTAAGCGCCTATCGCCATAATATTGACAATCTACTCATGGTTAATCTAGTTAAAAATATATCTGGTTAAAAATTTCTACATTTTCGTGTTTGCTCTTTTTGCTGCTGAGATACAATGAACTTCTTCGACTCCGAGAACCATTCTCTATGACGAGAGTGGCGTGTGCGGCCGCATTCGAGCAAGTATATGGACGTGAATGCAACTGTCGGAAATGCACACAAGGATATGTAAGAATGAAAAAGGCAATATTACAAAGGAAAGTGCCCTGCAGGCCTTGCTTATATATTGGTGGAAGTCAGTAGTTCTTTATGCAGCTCCCTCGTCATTTACCCGCTTGCGCCACGACTGCGCAAGCGTCTGTGCAGCGTGTGGCCATCCCGATGGCTGGACGATTGAGTTAGAGTACGGCGCTGTACAATACGCTTTTGACTTCCACCTAAATATAACCGGCACCGCGCTACCGAAGCGAAGAACAAGGACTCTTCGGTTTGGCGGATGCTAACAATTCGGCGCGGTAATAAAATTTAAAATGATTATTTACGGGACCGGAGCTGTACGTGCAACTTAAATAGGTACTTCGCAGGAGACCGCTAGTTCCCCCTCATACAGTAAGGGAAACCGTTGTTTCCCCCTGCTTAGCTGCCGCTTAGTCGCTTACAGTTGACTACCCTTAATGTACGTATAAGGGAACCAGAGGTCCCCTGCGAAGTATCGTAGTTACCTGATCTGTTGCAATATGATCAATAGGAGGCCGAAATTAATCCGCTGAAGTGCGTAACAGTGGGATGCAGCAGTCGCATTCCCAGTGACAGCCGTGCATCGCAACCCTGCAGGGAATGTGGAGCTATCAACACTGACCGGCTGCTGCAGTTCCGCCGCTTCACGGAGCATCTCGAAATGATCCGTAACAGTGAAGACAGCGGAAATGGGGAATCACTAGAAACTGCCTTCTTCAAAAAACTGGATGCGGCCGACATACTGCACGGAGACGCGTATTTACGCTTTCTGTGTGGATGGAACGTAATGGAGAAGCATTTCAAAGAAAGCCGTTTCGATGACGGCTGGAAACTTGTGCCGGAGCTGATTGTCTGCTTGCGGTAAGTTCGCTGGTCTCTCTTTCAAAGGTCACAAATGCCGCAGTGCGCTCTGCTTTCCAGAAATATATGTCCTCGGTACCATATGTTGCGGGCTTTTCATCTGTCGTCGGCGGCCGGATCCGCCGCTTCGGCTCTGCCGCACCACGTGGAGACTGGGCTGTCGTGTTTTTCGAAACCAGCCCAGCGACAAATGAAAGCAATGTCAGTGGGAGTGCTGAAAATGGTTGCCGAATACGGCAAGGAAGCCGAGCAGATATTTCGTGCAGTTGGAGGTGATGAGTCCAAAGAGGCTCGTTACGGCCAGAAAATTCTGAGCCTCATTGATGAGGCAGCCCGCAGCATTAAAAAGATCTTCCGTAATAATAAGATCTAGTAAAAGGCTCGCTGTTCTGCTTGTTCTTGCGGCCTGATCGTAGATGTAAATTTTGAAATCGCACCAAATCTGTTTGTTAAAGTTTCCGTGGTAGTATGTTGCGGCCGCTATAATTCGTGTTGGTATCTTGAAAGGGCTGGGCTAGGCTCGCACAGACACTCGCAAAAAATCTGAGGGAATCGAACCCACAACCTCCATACTCTAAGGCCGAGAGAGGCACCACTAAGCTATCGGCAAAGCATACAAATCTAATGAAATACTATATTCTATCGAACGATCCTATAGAGAGCGGATGCCGCTCTGACAATCTGATTGTTTTCTTCGATAGCTGATACTTTTCCGCGTCAAAAAATAGAAGACAGTAATTTTATTTGTTAGTATTGACGGAAGCGCTGCTTCTATTGTTATAAAAGTGATTTTTGTAGTTTACAACGGCGGCTTAACAGTCATGTGTACTAATATCAGGTACTGCACAATCAAGATGGAAAACATAACCGAAATCACTATTATCCCAACTTTGTTTTTTTCAGGGTAAAGTTCCAGAACCCCAGCCGCAGTGCCTTTAATAATATAAAGGCTAATACGCTGAAACTCTTCGAAAGAACCGTAGCGATTGAAATCTGATTGTACCGTTACTAAAACCTGAACTGATTTTTGCTTTGGTTGAACTGGCAACATAGGACATTCCCAACTCCACGGGGTCGCAGGATTTAAGCGACTATCCAATAAAACATCTTCTGAAAGTGAATATGAATGGTACAATGTCTGTAGCAAGCCTATTAAACATGCATCTGCATCCTACTACATGTCTGTATTGTACTTGTACATGGTTGCACGTACGATCGTTGTGAAAACCGGCTCCCAGATGAACTGCATAAATACCGTACAATGCTTATGCAAGCGCTACCCGGCAGCTTCCAGAAAAATAAGCAGTCACCGGAACCAAGAATCACGCTTCACACCCAGCGCTTACGGCGTTTGTAACACCGCGGCAAAGTTATAAATGTACAGCAAGTATTTCATGTTAAACTGTCTGCTTTTAAGCGTTTTCCTTGCCGGCTGCGGCCTGCATGCTAACACTAGCGAGTTCCCAAAAATAAATGCACTGTCACAGCCGCAGCATGGTTACCGGTACTTACTCTCGCTTCTCAGGCCGTTTAAAACTGCCAAGTTTCGGAAATTAAATGTAGGCACCACGAGTATTACAGCGTTGGTACCGTTTGGAGCTCACTCTTCTAAGCAAGTGTAGTAATTAATAGTAATTCCATAATTTGCGTGCAAATATTCGCTGTGGAATAGCTCTTGCTTGAAACATATGGACAGATACGTTAAACTTTAAAGACACCGGCATATTGCGCCGCCAACAGTGGACGTGTTATCGCACCAAACCATCAGGTTTCCAGATAGTTGGGATCGTATTCGATGCCGAACAGATCTTGGTTCTAGGAATTTATTCATCACCATGGCATTAGTTTGATCGCCTACTAATCTGCTGGGAAAGTTCAAATCAACCAAGCGTTATCGGTGCACACGTTTTCTTCGCACTTGCTGAAAATTGAAAATATGGACGTTAAAGTAAATCTTTATTCCGGCAACGCTGGCTCCAGTAGTACCGGTAGACAAGACGATCCTCCATCATATAAAGAAGTGACTGGCGTTGCCGACGCCGAACCGGAAGTGCGCATCCCTTTGCTCGTCCAAAAAGACCAGCCATCGGCCATCACGGTGGTGCAACCATCGGCGCCGTCATTGGGAGCAGTGGTGGAGGATGTCGAAGAAGAAGAGGAGGGCAAAATGGTTCTTGTTCGTTTCTTCATTGTTGTTGCTATTGCCGTTGGTATTGGCTTGTGCGTCTGGGAAGTCAGCTACCAGAACAGTTTGGGCTCGCATGCCTCCCGTATGGCACGCAAGCAGATTGGACTGCGGGCCGGATTCGGAGGGTTCCTGTTGGTGTTTGCCGTACTGGCATATTTCGTGGATGCCTTTACTAATCGGGTATACAAGCTCATTTCAGCCGGGACAGACGAATACACGAATGAATCACCGGCAGATCGTTTGCAGAAAATTAATCGAGGTAAGGAAAAACAATCCACGATGTGCGTATAAAAACACTACGAGTACAGACTCTGTACATATAAAATTGCCCAAAGTATGTAACTATATTCGTACATCTACATATGTATGCTTGTATTGGTCTGTACACATAAAATCTGATGTACCATTGCCGTTGCTCTAGTGTGCGAGAGGAAGGAATGAATGAATGTTAATTCATTCCTCTCGCACACCTAGAGCAACGGCAATGGATGTGCATATATTGTATTATGTACAATGTTACATTGTACATAATATAATATCCAAATGAAAACTTATGAAATATACTACATATAAAGAAGCACAATTTTCATTCAAAGATTCTATACTGTGAAGTCTAAAAGATGTAAATTTCAAAAAGCATGACTTCGATCCAGTTCCCGTGGCGCATTCGATTATTATCCAAAGATCATATTATTTTGACCGATGAAGGCGGGAAACTCTTTAACAAGAATCAGTAGTACGCAAGCATGGTTGCGCACCAAAATTATCTTAATGCAGGATAATTATATACTTGCAGGAAGACCAAAGGTCACATGGTATATAAAGTGCTTCCGCCATGAACGCAATACTACGGTCATCACGGAAGCGGATGGGTCACTGCACACGCAGCAGAACGACGATATTATAACCAGTTGGACTGGGACAGAAGAATTCCACTTTACCAGTTGGTCGTACCGAGCGGCTGAAGATCCGAAGGAAATGCCCGGATGGATTACCCGAATAAATTTCGAAAAAGCTTTTATCTTCGCCAATGAAGAATCGCAGATGGCCTACCAGGCAGAAAAGCAGGCGTTCATCGATGCCAACCGCCATCGAGATGCGGAATTCAACATCACCGAAATTTTTGAGATTGACGGTTTCCAAAAAGAATTCTCCGCCGCATCGTCGTCTGCTTTTTGTGTGTACCTTATGGCGGCATTCACATGTCTGCTGTATCCGCTGATGTGCTGTGTGAATTCGATGGAAAAGCGTCTGACCATTACTCGTGTTGCTGTGCTGGCCCTATAGTCAGCAGACGTGTTTCATCGGCATGTTTCATCAGCCTTTCTTATGAGCGCGTACGGCCTGTGAGCTTTATGTATATTTATGCCACTGTAGCCCGAATGAAATGTACTCGTATTTCTGCCTTTGATAATGGGTTTGGATGGGCTCCTTAACTGCATGGGATTGCAGTATAATTCACATTTTCGACATTCGAGAGTTACCGTTATACTGTATATCGATGTTCAAGTATGTATAACGCATTTTGTGTATTGCACTTCGTCAAAAGGTACAAGTATTGTATCCAGCTCTAATGAAAGCATTCTTCAAGCCTTCGAGGCGTGCAACAGGATCAGGATGTGACACCAGATAAACCGATTGCACCGGACCTTTTCAAGAAAAGGTCCTGTGCAATCGGTTTGTCTAATCAGATCATTTGTGACTGTGCAGGCAGGTTGCTTTAGAATGTCATTAAAACCCCATCGTTTTTCGCTAAATACAATACTGGGCCGTAGTCTACGTCGATTTGACGCGTGAAATCTTCGGAGTTTGGATCCGCTTTTCCAGTGTACTGTAATAAATTGATAATCCAACCGTTGCCAGTAAATGTGCCATCATATCACTAATTACCTTTCACTGGAGTAATAATTTTTGTCAGCTTTTCAGTCGAACGCCTCGGGCTATCAGCGTGGATAAATACTCCAAAAAAACATCGTAAACCACAGTATCTACTCGAAACAAGCAGTTGGGATTTGCTATGGATCCTGCCCCAGTATTAAATTTTTATGGTCGTTCCTTTTCCGCTGGAGACGTCCTGATAATCTGTGATCCGTGGGTGTGGTCGCTGGATATCAGTGCTCATAAAAATCGTTGCGCCAACTGCTTTCAGTTAAAAGAGGGATTGCGCACTTGTTCGGGATGCAAATTGCACCGTTACTGTAGCACCGCGTGCCAGGTAAAATTTTTTATCCCAAAAAGCGCGTCGCATTTTTCTGCATTTCTGGCCATGCGATAATTGGTCTAAAATTAATTGTATCATTATTATCATATCATACGGGTAAAAAAGATTTGAGAATCTTAAGATGGGAGTTTATTTTCAGAAAGCAGACTGGAAGCTGGAGCAAAACCTGGAATGTGGTATGCTAAAGGGTCTTGGTAGCCGCACGGAAGTGGTTCGCCTCCGTTCTTCTGGTAATCTAATGATCTCTACAACCTTTGACCTCATTGCGAAGATTGCGAGCAAAGTGAAGGTACCGGAAATGCGTACTACGTTTTTACAAAAACAAATATGCAATGAAATGTAAGTACAAAGTAGTAAATAATCAGTATAATATTATAAACATAGGTACCGGCCGCTGTTTTGCAGCACAGTTGAATCTGTATAATCCGCCGGCTTTCGCATCAGATTTACATTTAATTACTGCCGACCTCTTGTTGTCTGTCTCTTACTGCCGACAGCGAATCACACTAAAACAATTAGTTCTTTTTCCTAGACAAATAAAAGCGTGGAGATCCCTGGATTGGGAAGCAGATTACCCGTCGAAATTTTAAAGATATTCCCAAAAAACCCTGCTGTCTCCCACAGTTTCCCGCCAATTTTCCTTCCAGGGTAAGCAGTATGATTTCGTGAATGTGCAAAAATGATCGCTCGATTTTAGGATGTTTTTGCAAAAGAATTGCTTATCAAAGCATCGAAGTACTCGTATACATCAAATTTGTTTATGCATAAATAGGCAACTGGATTGGTTTAAGACGGCATCCGAAATCGGGATATCTAGTGCGGATTTTCTGGAATACTCCCATATGTACTATCCGTTATAACGCCGTTCCAATTTTCGATGTACGCTCTGACCCGGATCCCATTGGTTTTGCGCTCTTTCCACAAGTGCCATATCGTTTGATGACCCCGGCTTGCTGGGATATCAATGTTGTACTGAATTTTCGTGGACGACGCTTGGCTGTACTGGCAACACAGTACATTCCCAACTACACAGGGTTGCGGGATGTAAGCGACTATCCCATAAAAATCTTACATTTAGATTTATTAATATTCATTTTCCAATATCTGAAACGGGAGTGCAACATATGTTACTTACAAAGTATAGTCCGATTTTGGTCGCGCTCCAATTAGTAAGCAATAAAACCACAACTTATGTAAAGAGTTTCTACATTGTTTGGTTTATCGTCTCTTTGCAGCTGCGATACAACGAACTGATTCGAGAACCATTTTCTATGACGAGAGCTTTGTGCGATAGGGCATTCAAAGAAACATATGGACATCCTTGCAACTGTCGTAAATGCACAAAAGAATATGTAAGATCCAGAAGAATATCACCGGGGTGCGATAATACGTCTCATGAAACAAATCTTCCGTCATAAAGATTAACCGGCAATATAGGGGGAAAAAGCAGTCTACTCGAACCATTCCCCTGTACTGCTGCCGTCAACCGGCTGGAGTTTTACGTTGTGGCTAAACATGGTGCTTATGTACCGCGCCTGATTTAGCCGCATGTACGCCTGATTTAGCCACCGTCACACTCCAGTCGGGTGGCGGCGGCCGTGCCGTGAATTGGTTCGACTGACATGGTTTTCCCCCCTATATAAGAAAAATAATATACTGTAAATGTATAATGTATATTGTATTCCAAAGCCTGATCTGATGCATGTAAAACAGTAAAGGTGAAACACTGGAAAAAGCATGGAAAAAGGCAGTTGATAAAAGAAAAGCCGTAGCAGTTCTGTTTCTTGGTCTGCCACAATACGCTGCTGATAAAACTCCGAGACATCGGAGTAAAATCATCAGCATTGTCGTGGTTTCACTACTCCTTGACTGGCCGGCTGCAGCGAGTCCGAAAGGACAGTGGACCGCGTCCAGTCCAGTCTCGTTTACCTTAACGATTTTTTGAAAACCCATTCGGTGAAGTGCAACCAGAAAGCTTTGCGGACACATCGGTTATGTTACCGCATAACAAGGCGGAAGCAGCAACTAAGCTAGTGCACTCCCGGAATTGTAGAGGGTTGAACGCCACCTGTCATTAATGCATTTTCGCGCAGTAGTGAAAAGATACGACCAGCAATCGTGCTGAATGGTCACCAGCTCGAACCAGAAACATCCGTTAAGCACTTGGGAGTGGTAATTGACCAGCACTTGAAATGGACCGAACAGTTTAATAAAGTTCAAAAAAGTGTTAGTCATGGAACTGCTCTCATAAATCGTGCGAAAGACGGTCTGTGCGACTCTCAACGCATTGGACTTTTCTACGCGTTCGTCCAGTCTCGTCTGGACTATTGTTCTACAGTGTGGAGCAGCGCGTCTGTGTCCCTGCGCGAGAAGCTTGCGGTTGCACACCGTAACGCTGTTCGAGCAATTGCATACTACCCGAAAACGCCAGTGAATCTGCTGATGAATCGCTTTGGAATTCTCCCACTGTTCACGCGATGGCGGCACCAGGAGGCCATCTGGCTGTATAAGATTAAACATCCGGAGCCGTACAACGTACCAGCGTACCTTACCGATATGATCGACCTTGGACCGAAACGGAACCCATACAGCTTGCGCAACGCCGACCAAGTGACCATCAAAAAGAGTGCGGCAACGAAGTGTGGGGAGACGACGCTATCCTGGAGACTGGGAAAACTTCTGGATAAAGTTAACGAATGCGGCAGTAATATTCTTGATTTACCTACACTTAGCTGTTTTAGAACCGCTCTGTACACAACTAAATTCTGTTAATCTGTTTTAATGAATCGCTTTTTGGTGTATGATGTATCGCTGTTTTGGTGTATGTGTATGGAGTCTTCAGGTCAGTTTCCCACTCATTGATGTTTTCTAATTAGCGTCTCGCCAGCCAGGTTTAAAATCCCAGGCTAGATGTCATCCTAGCCGGATATGGGCTACCTGCACTGACTCAAATTAAATTAAATTAAATTAAATTAATTAAATTAAATTAAATTAAATTAAAATTAAATTAACTGATGAATGTTCTGTTACATGCTTGATATTCTGTAGGTGGCAGAAATCAATCCGCTGAAATGCGTAACAAAAGGATGCCGCGGCCGGATTCCCAGTGACAGCCGTGCTTCACAGCCCTGTAAGGAGTGCGGTGCCATCAACACTGACCGCCTGCTGCAGTACCGCCGTTTTACGGAACATCTGGAAATCATCCGTAATAGCGAAGACAGCAGCGATGGGGAATCGCTAGAGACTGCCTTCTTCAAAAAATTGGATGCGGCTGACATCGTGCATGAGAACGCGCATTTACGCTTTCTTTGTGGATGGAACGTAATGGAAGAGTATTTTGCGAAAAACCGCTTCGAAGATGGCTGGAAGCTTGTGCAGGAGCTAGTTGTGTGTTTGCGGTAATTGCGCTGCAATCTTTTATAAAGGTCACAAATGCCGCAGTGCGCTCTGCTTTTTCAGAGACATCTATCCCCAATACCATGCGAAGCGTGCTTTTCGCTTGTCAACGGTCGTGCTCTCCACCGTTACGTCTCTGCAGCACCGCGTGGTGACGGCGCTACCTAATCTGTCTAAACCAGCCAAGCGCCAACTGAAAGTAATGTCAGCGGATGTGGTGGCTACGATTGCCGCGTATGGTGAAGAAGCTGCGCATCTGTTTCGTACAGTCTGGGGTGACGAGTCCAGCGAGGCCGGTTGTGGCCGAGAATTAGTTAACCGGATTAAAGATGCCAAACGCATCATCGAAAAGGCTTTTCGCGATCATAACATTAATTAGAAGTTCGATTCATTGGCGTTTTTTGTAAACTGACAACCTTAACCTAACGGCGGATGTTAAATTGATATGGCAGTTGATAATTCTTTAAAATGCAAATTCCGAAATTAGCTCACTAAATCTGATTTTGTAAGGTTTCCGTCGTAAGCCCTTTGGTGCGTTGCATGCATCTTCGTTTTGATACTAAAGAGTGTCTGACTGTTATTTTATAGTAGCCTTTAAGCTCTGCTGATTGCAGCACCCCTTTTTGTTACAGAACGTGTTGGGTTCGTAGGGGTACTGTCTTTTTCGAAATACGCAAACCACGCGTTGAAAATCTCGTTCTTATTATGTACTCACCGTCAGTTTATACTTGCATGTAAACTTATTAAAGGTCTGATTACATATGCGTAAGCCCGACTTTGTAATTGATTAAAATAATGACTAAATGATTCTAAGAAGGCTGTGCATACTTGAAGTACCAGCACATACTCCTAACAACAAGCACTGTATCCCGAAACAATTCTAGTGACTTGGCCGTTGCATCCCAGATATCATCAGTTTCGTGTAACAGAATTTCCACAAAAGCAACCTTATTTAAACGACGGTAAATTAATAAATTATAATCAGTCACTTGTCATCGAATCGTTGCAGTGCTAGTTCTGGGGATTCTAATAATTAAAAAGCTGGGGACAGTTTTTTGTTACCTATCCTTACAATCCGGTCCGAGACTCCGACGTGCACGAGCGGTGTTGCCGAACAGGAGAACCTTGTTTAATATAATCCTGTTCGACATCTGCGCATACGCAGTGTGAACTTCTTGCCTTTAACACAAGGAGTTCTTTCAGTTCGTCAGTTCAGTTTTTTCCAGTTAGTCAGGTTTAAATATGCATAACAACTGCCTGTCAGCACGAAGCGTACAAACGGTATTATACGAAAGTACAGTAAAAATAGTATGACATTGTTGTAACTCGTAAGTAGCTGTGATATGCAGATCCGTGTGGAGCAGGATTGCAGTGACAATGATCGACGCACACGCTGCGACACGCATAACAAAATAGTGGTACAAATCTATTGGCTCTGTAGTTTGTACAAATACACGCATAACGCTACAATACACGCATAATACTCTTACAAAAAGTGAAATTGGGTTGCTTGGTAAAATCATGCTTCTAAACAGACCGCATGGTCAGTAAAAGCTCCAAGCTTTTCATTATTTAACGCTCTGCAGTCTACGTTTTGGGCGACCGCTTTAATCACATGTCGGACTTGCGTCTTGAGCACTTCTGTAGTGACCAAACCGTTGCCACCGGCATTTGCCAATATTTTGCCCTGTGTTACGTTAGATTTTTGTCAACATTAGAATTTGTCACTGTTTGGATTAGTAAATTTGGTAATAAACATCGTTTCTTACATTAGCTGATCGAAACACGCAGTGCGAAATCGATTATGGATCTCACGCCAAGAGTTGATGGTCGTTCCTTCTCCGCTGGAGAAGTCGTGGCAGTCTGTGATCCCTGGGTGTGTGGTCGCTCGATAGCGGTTCTTATAAAATTCGTTGCGCCTATTGCTTCCAGATAAAAGAGGGTTTACGAACTTGTTCGAGATGCAAGTTGCACCGCTACTGCGGCATCGCGTGCCAGGTAAAAGTTCTCCTGACAGAAAACGTGCCGTATACTTCCAACTGATCGTGCGATAATCGCTCTGAATAACAATATTTTTATGATAGCAAATATACTGAGACTTGCGAATTCTAAAACGAGGTATGATTTTCAGACAGCAGACTGGAAGCTAGAGCATTACCTGGAGTGCAATATGCTAAAAGATCTTGGTAGTAATATGGAAGTGGTATGCCGGCGTTCGTCTGGTGGTAATACCAAATCCTCTGTCTCTTCAGCTGGTGACCTCATTGCGAAGATTGCGAACAAAATTAAGGTAGAGCGCGATACCGGATAGATACATTATAAGCCTAACGTAAAATTACGAGTTACGGAAGTGTCTGCGATTTTTGTAAGAAGTGTTACTGTACTTTAAGGCGCTGAACATACATATGCAGTACAAAAGGGCAAGCTCTGGCCCGTTATGTTAATCATTTTATCATCTTCAACTGATTAGTTTCCATGCTCCTTAATAACTCATATTGAAATAATTAATAACTTTGCCTAGGCGAACAAAGGCGTGGATATCCCCGGACTCGAAAAAAAATTACCAACCGAAATTGTAAACTCATTTCCAAAAGACCCCGTAACCTCTAATTCCCCGCAAAATCACCATTCAATGTAGGCCAGATTTTGCGATGATGCTCATACCAGGTTTTCATATTAAAACCATAATACTGTACACAGTGCTGGTATGTTCAATATAGGCCACCGGGTTGGTCCGACGTGGCTGCCGAACTCGGGATATCTGACATGGAGTTGCTGCAATACGCCGAAATTGTCCGTTACAACGCTGCTCCAATTTCTACTATGGGACCTGACCCGGCACCCATTGGCTTGGCGCTCTTTCCGCAAGCACCACAACGTCTGATGACCCCGGTGTGCTGGGATATCAATGTCGTCATGAATTACCAGGGACGACGCTTGATTATACTAGCCACACAGGACATTCCCAACTGCACCGGGCTGCAGGATGTGAGTGACCATTTAGCTATCCATCAAAACATTATCCCACTAACAAAATTAGGCCTACTGGATTATACGTACTGTATGCAAGACGACTGGTACATTTTTATCGTTAATTTTTTATACATAGCATGAGTATGAGTACATATACCTACGTATATACACAATAACTTTCTGGCTCATGACAAGATCGTTTCCTTAATTAACCCTATCGGTAAGTAACTAACAAAGTCATAAATTTATTTAGCATGCCTTTATTTTTTTGACGAATTTTTGCAGCTGCGATACAACGAACTTTTCCGAGAACCATTTTCAATGACGAGAACCTCGTGTAATAGTTTCTTCAAAGAACTATATGGATCTGCCTGCAACTGCCGCAAGTGCACACACGAATATGTAAGATCTGACAAGAAGTGCATAAAAGATCTAAGTGCACAAAAGAATATATAAGATCTGAGAATATTCGTAAGAACATTAATCGGCGGCGTATCATACCAAGTTTCTTCGGTAAAGATCAATATTGTATACAAGAAAAAAGGTTTCCGAAGTGTGGTATACTGTTTTGTGTAGAAAATCATTATCAATCTGTTAGGTGTTTGATAGGATGCAGAAATCAATCCGCTGAAGTGCGCAACAAGTGGTTGCAGTAACCGCATTCCCAGTGATAGGCGAGCATCGCAACCTTGCCAAGAATGCGGTGTCATCAACACTGACCGACTGCTCCAGTTTCGCCGCTTCACGGAGCACCTGGAAAGCATTCGTAACAGTGCTGGCAGCAGCAGCAATCGCCTCCAAAAACTCGAGATTGCATTCTTCAAAAAACTGGATGCGGCGGACATCTTGCAAGGGGACGCGCATTTACGCTTCCTCTGCGGATGGGATGTAGCGGACGAATACTTTGCGGAAAACCGTTTCGATGATGGCTGGAAGGTTGTGCAAGGACTGGTGGCTTGCTTACGGTAGGCGCAAGCTTAAGCATAATAAAGGTCACAAACGCCGGAATACCTTTCTGTATTTCAGGAATATATATCCCCAGTATCATTTCATGCGCGCTGGTCGCTTGTCAAGAGCGGCTATAGCCACTGCTTCGGCTCTGCAGCAGCGCGTGCTGACTGCACTGAATAAGTTGTCCAAACCAGCCAAGCGTCAGCTGAAAGCATTGTCAGCGGAGGTTATGGATGAGGTTACCGCATACGGCAAGGAAGCCGAACATATATTTCGTACAATCTGCGCTGATGACTCCACAGAGATCGAATTAGGCCGGAGAGTGGTTCAGCGGATTGAAGATACCGGACGCAGCATCGAGCAGGTTTTTCGGAATAATAAAATCTGCTAAACAGGTTTTCTGTTCGAGATCTGCATGCCATTGCAGCCCTGATCCTTAATATGGCAGATCTTTTATGTACTAAAAGGCTCAAATTCAAAATCTTTCTTAACCAAATCTGTTTTTGCAACGTTTTTTGTTGTATGAAATTTGGTATGTTGCGCTTACACCATACAGCTATACACATTCTGGTATTTGTTTGTTTTCCTCAGTCAGTGCCACTTTTCTTAGCCGAACGTAGCGGAAATCGTTTTGCTCTACTGATTGCAGCGCTGCTCAGCTTCTCATATTTCGTATATTTTCATAAAAGTTATTGGATTCTTAGATATATATGTGTTTGTATTGTTAAAAAACCTATTCATTAATATACGCAACCGGCAAAATGACTCCAAGATGGTAACTGATGCTGGGACTGTTTATGCTTTAAGTTGTCCTAGGTAAGCATACACACTAAAACATATTTTACGCTGAAGCCCTTGGCTCTGCAAGGTTTGATTACGCTATAATTAATTAAACAATGGACATCAGGAGTGATCAGGTAAAGGAACTAGAACGTACACTGCAGTAGCTGGCTAATAACGCAGAAACTGTGCCAATGCCTTTTCAGGGAATACCCTATACGCAGCTGGGATGAATCAAAATTTTCAACAATGCATTACCCAATTAGACAAATATGAATCTAACGTCTAAATAGTTTTTTGAAAGCTTCTCGCCACTCTGCCGATGCCAGCGGATAAATCAGCGGGTTAAGCAGGCCATCCAGATAAAAGATCAGAGTGCAAGGCGCCAGCATTTGATATCCAGTAAAAGACTGGAACATTATCAGTAAGTAGGCCACATTGAGTGGGGTCCAGCATAATACTGCTCCGATTACTAAAGCTGTCAAAATCGCGAAATGCCGGCGGGGATTAATGGGTCTCCCTGGAATTCGTTGCCGGGCACGGCTTCGTTCCTCCAAACCGGTCCCGTCGACGCTTTTCGTTGTCAGCATAGAATCATTGGTGATGCCACTCCGGGTATTTCCGGCTGATTTCTGAGTGTACGAAACGAATTCTGGCGCACTGCCGTCTAAAATAAAGAGAGATTTAGAAAATAGTTGCATCAAGTATGCAGTTGGAAGAATTATGCTCTGCTAAACAAGAAAGAAATAGGCAATACAGCAGTAGCGGCTACCGGATTCTTAAATTTTACGACATGCAAAATATTTTTGCTTGTAATAATGATCACATAGTCAGCAAGATTCTGCAAGAATATGAGCATCACTAGTAATCCATAAATAAAGCGACGGCATATTTTTTATTATAATATCTTTGCATAATTTTGTCTACGTAAGAAACCGTAATATCATATAATATTATCATGTACAGTTACCTTGGCCGGTGCGAACTCTATTCCTCAGTTTTCCATTGACCTTTAGGAAAATAACTGGATACATGACCAGGATAAGTAATTCCGGTACAAAGTAAAGTGCCACATCTGCCGAATGTGCCCACAAATTCAATTCTGGATAATCCGGCACGCAGATAAAAGCCCCTGTTCCATCGGCATAATAGCGTAAATGAATGCCGAATCCCGGCAGTACCCACACATTAATGTACACAACGATACCCACGACACACGACACGGCAACTGTCCGGTTATGATACAGACGATAGTGATTAGCCAGTGTGACGGCCCACAGTCGGTTAGCACAGATAAGAACGTGCATATGAAAGCAGAAGGACACCAGCGCCCAGCTCAAATACAGAGCCAGGATACACAGTGACCGACCGAACGGCCAACGAATACCCAATAAGGTCACGGTGCTGTGGATGCACAAAGTGAAGGTCTGAAGCAGATCGCCACAGGCCAGACTGATGACATAGACGGCGAATGGTGTCCGAATGCTGGAGAAACGGATGTATACCGCGATGAGAAGGATGTTGGCGATCAGGGTGGCCAGTGTCAGCGGGATCATGACCCATCCGGCGTACGAAGTATCCGGGGGGTGGGGATGGAAATTAGCCGACAGGTTAAGAAAACTTGTGTTATTCATTCTAACGCTGTATAAGCGCTGTACCGTTCATTAGAACGAAATTTAGTGAAATCTGTAACACCGGAATTGTGAAGGATGTGTAAATATCTGAAGTGGAAATATAAGTAATACAAGTGACATGGACAACGTAGAACTGACTCGAGCAAAGCAAACTGGATTTATAATAAAAGCGGCACGTCGGGAAATGGTGACGGATGAATACGTCGAGAATATGGAAAGTGAAATGAGAGCGAGGTTAGTGCGGTATTCTTATAGACCTCGAAAGGTCAGGAGCATTTCGAGCGAAATCTTTAGTTATAATCTGATTTTTGTATGTGTCGAACTGCATCCTTTCATTCGACGTTTCATTTACCCCATTAATCTTTGTCGCCTATTAGAGCGTGTGTTCCTTAATGGATGGGAAGAGTGTCAGCCGCTTCCGTCCTAAGGTGATCACAATATCCTTCCCAGAACACGATCCGATACCCACCGAGTTCCAATGATTCCGACTGAGTGTGCCATTATTCTGTACGTAAAAGTAGATTAATTACGGCAATGACGTGCAATTATGGGAGACGCATCATGGCCAATGATTACTCAAAAATTTCTACAGTAATTGGTGCTATTCTCGTACTAATTAGTATGAAATTGTTAATTACCTTATTAGATTTGTCTGTTGCATATCTTAAAGTTGTCTATTTTTACCTTGGTCATAATTGGAGCTGACTGTCGACACATGCAAAACTAAAGTTGATGGAACTGATACGGTACGTACTACAAGAAAGAGTACAAGTACATAATGATTACCACTGCTAGATAAAGCTGCAGCACTTCTGTGCGGAACAAAGTCCGTGGAGCACCGGCAAATAAAGTCCACCTTATGTGATCTGCTGATCAACGTATCTTCAAGCCTTATAACTGTTTCGCATTTTCCCTTTAACGTGCAAAATTAAATGTTTACTATGGTGTGTAATATAATATATGTGTAGCGTGCTTCCAGTTGTCCATAAAAAATTCTCGAACTCCTGGGACAACCAGCGCTGTTAATACTAATTTGCTCATTTGACTCTGTATTCTGCTGGCAGTTTTTCAGCGATGGAGCTTAAAACGGCTGCGATTTTCCGGGTAATCTCTACACATGCCTTTAACAGCAAACAACCTTAGCACTAATGTAATGCGAAATTGGAATTTTTGCAGCTCGTTGTGGTAATCGTGGGATGCCAGGTTTGTTCAGCAACTTTAACGATTCCGGCTGGACCCTTAGTTGGTCGTAAGTACAATAACAGTACAGGAACAGCACGGCCATTTTCATAAAAATTAACCATCCAAGCCATCAATTACAAAGCGCAATTCACAATTACTACATTTAACTTTTATCACTGCATAGCGTGTACAGTGTACGCTGTACGACTGTGTGTTTGCGAATTAGGCAAGTGCAGCGAGCACGCCGCGAATCGACAACCCTCGGAACCGTTCACCCCCAAATGCAACCCAGATGGAACGTACGCTCCCACACAGTTCAATACCAAATCCGGTCTGAAATTCTGCGTCTCCAAGGAAGGGATCATGTTGGTAGCACCGCAGCGATCGTTGTCAGATTGTGATTGCCCACGAAAACGTTTCGAGAAATTCCAAAACGGAAGTATGAGATGATTAAACGTGCACTTGCATGTTGGTCAGAATGTACAGTGCAGTATTTCGTTGGCAGCATTTGAAGGATTCATTTTTCGGTGTGATACGGATTTCACTTACTCCGTCCAACAGTACAATCCCGAAACGAAAGAAACCCTGTGCCTTATGAAAGATGGAGAAGTGATCAATGAGTATCGCGGAGAACAGATCAAGGCCTGCAAATGTCCGCGCCAGTGGTACGAAGCCAAAATCAGTCCGTGTAAGTACTTCTGTGATTGATGCCTGGATTTCAAATGTCTTTTTTCGTATAAAAAATGCTTTAGGACATAATAAAACTACAAAGACGTATTTAGCTTTTTGCTTTTTGTAATTAATAAAATAAAGAGCCTTGTAACAAATGGAAAGCGATGAAATTCGCCTGGTGACTTTTAACGAAATGCAATGTCTCATTATGATCAGTTTGTATAGCTGATAGTGTAATGCGTTTTGCAGTACCGAATCGCTATGGACCGCAGTGTAACACCGATGGCACTTTCAAGCCACAGCAGTGTCACAAGGGAAAATGCTGGTGCGCCAATGGAGAAGGCGAACAAATCTCATCTCAAATGGTCCCCGAGTCTGACGCCGGTACCCTGGACTGCCAGCCAATATAATACGCTGGTCACGATTCGGCGCGCGGGATTGTACAAGTTATGCGGGAAACGGTATCTCTGGTAACTTTTACAATTTATTGTTAGTGAATAGTTTATCGCCGTGGTGTCCAGCGCAGAAAACGAAAGCGGTGAAAGTATTAAGGACATGACAGTCCAGGACGATGGATGTCCATTACACAGTCACAGTCGCATTAATTGTTCACTCAGAATTTAATCTTGTGGACGGATGAAGAATAAAACTGAGACAATTATTCCCCGACTATCTTGCGTTGTCAATTCTAATTAATAAAAACAAACTCACTTTATCTAAATTATCTGATTATTTCAATACTCCGGCTCATTCTGCTTTTGGATGTTTTGCGCGGATTAAAAGATTTACGAATACAACATAAACATAATTTCTACACATAAAAACATGTGTTTCATAGTTTTAACTTTCAAGCATTTTATAGTATCATTTCCAACTTGATCACTCATTTTTTGCACCATCATTTTCCACTTTAACAAAAGAATCATCAGCGTCATTTATGTCAATCTGTCCACAGTTTCGAGCAATGACAGCATCTGAAGACTTGTACAAATCATAATCAGAGACTTAAGACAAAAATAATTACGCCAGCAAATCCAGTTGCGGCATCCTACAATCTAACAAGAAACTAAGAAATCGCTTAAGCGTTGTACAAAACAAAATCACATAGATACTCATATAAAACAACGCCAGTTAAAACAACAAAAGAAAATAATTCACACAATAAAAACACATACCTAATACATGTCACTAGAGTAACCCCACCAGGTTGCAGTTAATATAATACAATATAGATAGTCATACAGACGCCGTTACATTCCTTGCCATTAAAGTCAGATTCACAGTTCCAAATCATTATATCAATCCATTCCAAATCATTATCAACTGCGCAAAGCGCACATCACAGACGGGGCCATTTCTAGCGAACATCATCATCATCATCCATGGTAAACGGTGCCCGCACTGGATTCAATGGCACATGGCCAGCGGCGCGCAACTGTCGTCTGAAAAGAAACCAGCCCATCTCAAAATTCTGGTACCATGTTAAAGGCTTTGACTAAGTAACGATTAACGAACTTTGAATGCCAATGGATAAGTAATTCCAGCTTTAGTACCTTTTACTAACACGCACATCAGTGCAAAGGTAGTAAAATATTCGTAAAGGTAATAAGAACATTGTTAATGTAAGCGAAAGTAAAGAAACACAAAAAACAGACACGCTCACAATCAGCGTAATACCGTTTGCGCCGGACGTAGACAGTCAGGATAACGATTATCACTATCCCGCCAACGCTCACTAAACCGCCGATTACACTCGCAAGCATCGATACTTGTCGCTCCAGCGAGTCCATCGTTTTCGCTACAAAAAAAGGCCTAATTAATAAGTAATACCGGTCTAAAAAATAATTTTTTATGGAATCAGCGGAATTATGAAAAAGCCGAATTGCGCATGCGCAGTTTACGTGCTACTGTCTTAATATTTTTTCACGCCGTGAATGCAACTGGGTAAACAAATGACATTCTGCTACCAGTTAAACGTGTGAAAGTAAGAAAAAACGTGTAAACGGTAGAAGCAGAAATTCAAAATTAAATTTTTAATATGCGGGCAGTTTAACGAGTAAGCCACTAAAAATGGAAGGTAAGGAAGCCACATAATTGCAGATCAGCGCTTTTACGAGTACTACCACGTGAGAAGTTAAGAACTGAGAGAAAACCGCAATCACCACAACAATATATTTTATATGTCTGTTTGTTTTACATTGACAAGCAAAATTCGTACGCGACACCACCCAAAAAATAGCAAATTTCTTTTACTCTCGGATGAGAAAATATCCATTCTACCCCCATTATTTACAAACTATTATCTTTCTAACGCCATCAAATCGCACGCAGTTCGTGCACATAAATGTTACACAATCACGCATCACTGCTGCTGGCATATTTATTCTGTTTTATCCCGTTGCTTATCAGTGGTAAGCAAATGACCCAACCCAGCGCAAACAATCACCAACGATAACCCTTCAGAAATTAACAACTACCGCAGTGTGCAATGTGCATGCTTACACATATCGGTTCCGCCGAGAAGCGCCTGCGCAACGGCATCCAGCGTATCGTTTCCCAAACCGGTACCTACAAGGTAGAATAGACATTTCAGAGTTCAGGCTGATGAGCGGGTACTAATTGTTTAGCTTATCGGTTTTCAGATTTCGGATACGACAGAAGATCAGGCCAAGAAACAGCCAAATATTGCATAATATGATTACGAACGTCCGACAGTTAAAGGTAAAATCTGCGAAAGCGCAAGCAATAAAATACATTAGTTTAAGCAAAAGAGTACGATATACTTCGTAAACAATTAACACACTCTACAAGTTGACTTTAAATTGTGTACAAGTACCTGTATAGTGTATACTGCATTTATCGAAATACCCAGCTTATTTAAAAAATAAATTATGCTCATCGCTTGCGCGCTAGAATACACCGCGATAAGCTGCTGACGCGCTTATTTGACACTTTTAAATCTGCAGGAAAAAATAACAGGTACAATAAGGATGCGACTGCGAGTAACTTATTTACAGATTTATTTAGATCATGTCATTTTCATCTATGCCAATAGCCATCACAATCATCATCATTCTGCAATTCAAGGCCAAACAAACTAACATAAACATATCCGTAACCAAAAAATTTGCATCTCTTATTAACAAATATTTATACAAATCAGATTAAAAGAAATCTTTAACTTTCAGAAATATATAAATTCTAATCTCCATTAACAGCGAAAAATTACTACGGAAAGTTTTAGTAAAATTCATGTAGTGTAGTGGCTACGCGCCATATTAGCGCGTAGCAACCCGCATGACTGTGTTGACCTGTAGAGGACGCATTTTATGTGGTACTACGAGTATTTCCATTATTATCATTATTACTCAGTATCTATCCGGCCAGAGTGGCACAATAAACATCTGTGCCAAGACGTGACAATTGGCGTGAAGTGTAGTATTCTCTGAACTCTGAAGCGGGAAAGGAGAAGAGGAAAGCGAGCGCTATATAATAAGAGATCGAAAATGACGACCACAACCGATCAATTGACCAAGTTCAATCCGGAAACCATGGACTGGAAGGCGTGGAAGTTTTGTATGATAATTATACTGTGCTGACCGACCTTCATACGGACAAGCACCGTGCCTTGCTAATAAACAGTCTGGACACGAAGGCCCTGCAGCTTTTAGTTTCGATGTGCAAACCCAAGATGCCGTCCGACTTCACACTGGGTGAACTGGTCACGAAGCTGGAAACGGCCTACGCCCCGTACACAAACCAAATAACCGAGTGGGCGCTGTTCTTCAGTCTTCGGCAGGACGAAAAGAAAGCCTGGTGGACTTCGCGACACGTTTACGTGACAAAACGATCCTATGCGACTTTCCGGCAACAGTGCTGGAGAAGAATTTAAGTGCTGTGCTCGTGGCAGGCGTCAAAAGCGACGCAACAAGACGCTACCTAATGCTGCAAGAGCTGAAGACGTTCGACGCCGCCCTCCAAATTGCTATCAAATATGAAACAAGCGTGAAAGAGGCGAGAAAAACTAATGTGGAAGAGAATGTGGTGAACAACATTAAGAAGCGAGAAATAAGAGTGAAGAAAGAGGAGAAGAGCAGTAGAGAAAAGAGACAGGAAGAGAATGATGACGAAAGTGGAAGTGAAGAAGAGATGCCGTCCCGGCGGAAATGTAAAAGATGTGGATCCTGGCGGCATACGCCAGAAGAATGCTGGTATAAAAACACCAGATGCAATGGTTGCGGCATGAAAGGCCATATAGAGGGCATGCCAGCAGAAGGACAACAAGAAGAAGGAAAAGGTCAATACCGTCTACAATGTCGAGGAAGATTATTTCGACATTTTGCCATAATGTTCTGCTTTTCACTTCTTTTAAGGGTGAAGATGTAGTGTAGTGGCTACGCGCCATATTAGCGCGTAGCAACCCGCATGACTGTGTTGACCTGTAGAGGACGCATTTTATGTGGTACTACGAGTATTTCCATTATTATCATTATTACTCAGTATCTATCCGGCCAGAGTGGCACAATAAACATCTGTGCCAAGACGTGACAATTCAGTTAATGGAAAACACGAAAAAGAGAAGCCGCTGCAATGCAGACTGAAGAAACACCGAAGCAACCAAAACCGGACGCTGAAAAAACTAACCTTTCTTCTTGCCGTGATGGGTTTTGGGTTTCTCCGTAGGCAACTTGGCCTCCCGCGCCAATTCCGCCGGATCACACCGATTTTTCACCGTCACCTTGGAGCCAATATTATCATCCAGTACAAACTTGGCAACCGGGGCATCACATTTATTTTCCAGTCCCGGCGACATCTCGGTGCGCTTAAAAGCCAACGGCCATTTGGCCAGCTCCTTCCCCACACAGCAGTAACTCAGCGCGTAATCCGCCTTTTTATCCTCGTGCCTCTCGTGCTTCCCGGGCAGATCGCGCAGAAACAGCCCAAAACGATGCGCGTCAATCCCCGGGAGCTCGTATCCTTGGAAGAAAATATCCGCAAACTGCTTTCCACTGCCGTGTTCATGGTACAGGAGGATATCGTCCAGCTTCTCCAGATTGGCGGTCCGGGCGTCCAGAAAATCCCCGGGAGCAAGGGACACTCCGTTACTGTACACCGCCACCCCCATGGTCCGCTTCTTCCCGTTATCCAGAAAACCCGCATCGTGGATGTTCTTCGATTCGACTTTGGGTACTAATTCATCGGAAGAGATCAGATGCGCTCCGCCTTGGATAACATCGGTATTATTCACTAAACGCTGATACAATCCAGGCGCGGCGATGACTAATAAAGGGGATTTTTTGGAGAAGGACTGGCCTTGCAGTTTTATCACATACTGCACTTCCACGGGATCATGCGCGGTTTTCCCTCCGCGCCACATTACAATGGCATAATCGTGCAGAGAAATAATCCCTGAAGGATCGGTAATTCCTGGTCCTGCGCAATTCGAGATGAGCTCGATAAATTCCGCATCATGGGCCTTGTCGCGCTCATTGGGCCCGTTAATATTGATCTCACTAATCCTCACGGTACATTTCGTACAGAAGATATCGGGGATAATTACAAAGAAAAGTACAACAATCTCGGGATACAACAAAAACTTGGAGCACAGCATTATTGTAAAAAGCAATATACAAGTTATTAGATATTTAAGAAACAAACTGCAAACAACATCAGGAACAAACCACAACACAGTGACGAGGCAACCGGTTTTGCCACTTTTCGAGTGCAGCAGTAGCGGATGGAAATTTAGCATAAGCAAATTTAAATGCTTTGTTTGCAGTAGGCAGACAGTTGTGTACAACCGCCGGTTGTCAACCGGCACCGTCACAGCGGAAAACGGTGAGAACGTTGCGCAATCGCTCACGTTCGGTATACGTGTACGATCGGATCAAATCATATCAATGGGAGTGAGTTGAGTCAGCCATCGTTTGACTCACCCGCTTTCGCTGGTTGATTTTACATAAAATAAAATGTTTATCAGTTCATCGCCTGGCCAACCTTGCAGTAATCTACACTTCGTTTCTAATTTTTTACTGATACTTTATTTTTCCAGATGGGTGATGCGGAATCAATTGTTGCGTATAAGCGGTCTCTGTCAATTTATCAGCGCCGACCATTAAAAATTCGAAATGTTAAATTTCACTCGACTTTTTGTACAACTTCATTATGTGTCCGTAAAATTAAGCAGCAGTAATAATTATCAAAATAGATAAAAAATTAAAACCACAGTAAGGAATTTCATTTCGGCAGTTTCAACCAGAATCGTCACTATCTACAAAAGTGTGTCGCATAGCAGCCAGCTTGTTGGAAAACTGTTGGAAGCGCTCGTGTTGTAGAGAATCCGTCCCATGTATCGTTTCCACAATACGCCGATATTTTGATAAATATTTTTCAGCCAGTCGGTGGTTCATAACTCTCGTGTGATAAACGCAAATTGGCTGTACGGTGTTGATGATTTCTTCCAGGTATGGATCAGTATGCAACCTGTAAGTACACAAACGCTTCCGTGTCAATTTAAAGGTCAGCACCAGCTGCTGCTGCACTGTATAATGCATTGCATTTGCGTGCAGCGCACCCCGAAGAAGATTAAATGGAAAGGTCAGTTTGCAACATACTCTAGTGGAACCAGCATCTTTTCCAGACATTCCACTGCCCGTCCCTTCATTCCAAGGATATTAGTGAACACATCCGATGCATGCTTATAAAATAAACCTAATGTGAAATTCGTCGGATGAAGAATTCGTTCGGCTATTTGTATGCAGGAATGAATATCCACGAACAGATTTCCGGTGAGGGAGGGTGGTCCGGCATCCACCTTCTCCAGCAGCATCTGAACAATGGACTTAGCGCGCTCAGTTTGATCGTCGTTGATTCGTCCGCAGTCGCTGCATGCCGAAGCTGCGCGGTCGTCCAGTGGAATGGCATTACGACATCCTGTTGTGCCACAATTGAAAGCGTTACGTTCTGCGTCTTTCGATGGCACAGTACATGCGTCGCAGTGACAGGTGGCGTATACTTCTCGGTAGCGCAGAAAACGCTCGTTTGGACTGAGAAACGGCGATCCTTGAGAAGCAATGAGCTATAAAAAACTGCCGTTTGTAAGACTGTATTTTTATATATGGTCGTAGGATCACATCAAAGGTGAGTGTGTACCGCGTCGCCTTCGTAAATATTCCTAGTAGCTTTGACAAAAAGCTGCTTATCCTGGCTGTAGGACGTTATGTTTCTGTTGCACCCGACAACTGAACCGGTGACGCCGGGTTGATACAGCGCCAACCCGATTCCAGGCTGTGAACCGGGTTTCCGCACTCCAATGATCATGGAGGTGTTGAATATTACTCTGCTAAACAGTTCGCAAAATTTCGGATAATCACTGTGAAGTCGGCTTTTGGGATTGATTAGTTTTAACTGGCTCGAGTACTGGCGGAATAAAGATCGTGCAACGGGATCGACGCTGGCCTCTTCCTGATTCGAAGTGTACTTGTTGTAGACATCCATATCTTGTGGATTGTTCTGCCGTGCAGAAAGCAAAATTATGTATAGCTCCCTTATTGCTAATGAAATATATCGAGTTCACGTGCTGCCTGTCCTCCTATAGCTAATATTAGTACTTTCCTCCTTCTATCCTTTGTCCATGTCTTCTTAGCAACATCGATAGTTTTCCAGATCAGTACAAATATTATATACAACAAAGCTACGGTGCTGCTTTATATCAATACATGACACGTAATACATACTCTATCTGCCATCATATGTACAGTAAATATACATACAAATATATAAAAACATATAAATATACAAATATATAAATATATATATGTTTGTGCAGCGCTACAGAAAAGGTCATGAAGCCTTCAGAACTTCACGTTGTTTTAAATCCATACCGAGGACGCCGGTTGGCTTCTTAATACCAAATGCTACGTAAGCGGTTAATAACACGGTTAATAATTTAATATTAATGCCCTAGTGGAATTAATATCATGGTAGTGCCATCAGCTCCACCCAAACCGGCTGCAAACAGTGAAACTTGTATGACTTACTTTTAGTTTAATAGCGGCCTTTCTTAACAGAATCCAGTACTCAAATCCCGGGCGACCGATATCGAGTACGTTTGTTTGTAATAACAGCTTGCATTCATCCTTATGGCAGGATTTCCAGTCGAGCTTCTGATACAAAAATTACAACAACCATTGATGGAAATCGCAAAACTCAAGTCCGTTAAGCTGTTGTACTTGCACAAGCTTAATGGGACCATTCGACAAACTGCGAACGTAACCTGCAACTGACGGCTGACCTGACACTGCTGGCTGCAATATTTTGTAAAATGGCACTGTGAACATCGGTGTAGGTTCATCTGTATTTGGGGAATGGACAAACAATAATGGCATGCATGCTCCACGAGGTCGGGACGCACAGTGAATATCCATGGTTTTCCGATATCAACCAAATCGCCCGGCTTGAAAGCGAGTTTTGCTGTTACCGTCTCCATTCTGCTAAAAGTTCAGTTAAGCCGTGCTGGGATGATGGAGTTTTGATTATACCGGAACGATAGAAAAAACTCGGGTAGTTTGGCTTATGGATTCGTTACGGTGTAGGTAGGCGCTTGTACTCTTTACGATGGGGTTGTCTTCGGTTTCTTGACATGTACTTTTCCATAAAGAATAATTTTCATAACTATTGTCAGTGCTAGCCTGATAACCACTGCAGGTTAATAATGCCTAGCTCGAATGATTTAATGAATACGAGTTCGGATACGGCATCAGAAAGGTTTTGTGCAATTTGTTAAAAGATGAAGATATACGAATAATTTTATCGCCTTGATGATTGTGATAATCGGAGAAGGTACTGTGCTGCGTTATAATTACAGTGTGTATGCATAGTCGCGGCTTATCCTAATTGCAGAGCGAACGCGTATGATTAGTACAGAGTCTACTACAGACATAAGCCTTCAGATACATTAATATTCGGATCAGATATATTAATATTTGTAGCAACTAGCGAGCGGTATCTACAAAGTGCAATTGAAGCACGCAGTTGTTTTGCTGGCATGAGAGACCATAATGGGTTTAAATGCAGCTATACTGCCAACAGCGCATTACTTACTGCCTTAAAAAAATTAATGCAGCAAAACTCGAATTTCTCTGGTGCCGGTTATACTTTTCTGGTTTCATACGTGCAAATTGAGCTTTCGCCAAAGTCCAGATTCCTACTCGTATAATATAATAAATATACATAGGTGCAGCATAAACCAGTAACTGGCCATCGGTCACTTCTGTTTGGGGGAGTTACGGTAAAAATGATACCAGCAGTGCATTCAAAGTTGAACACTATGTGAAAACAGAGAACACTGTTTACATGCAACATAGTTAACAGCCAGATGAATTTGTGCCACAGAATTCACCGCTTCAGGATCCGGAAGTGCGCGCATGCGTACGGCTACTTCGTGGCATGATGCCTCTCCAGGTTGTTCGTGCACGCGTTTGAATTATACAATACTGTACGTAATTGTTACAACTTATGTATGGTACACGGTACACCTACGTAAAGCTGTTTCTGCTTCCATCCATAAATTTTCCATTATATATCAATGCAATGAAAGGATTAAAATAAGTGCATTGTGCTGAATTTACATTTTATGTTCAAAATCTCACATCGGCTTTGAACGTGTGTACAATACGCCCTAGTCGTACGGTATGTCACTAATTTTGCCACTCACGATTTATACTTTTGGAGAGTACAAGTGAGTGTTGACACATCCGAAGCATAAATCTCATTGAACTGTGATCTAGATAGGTGCTCATGAAGTACAACGGCGTCGCACTTAACGACTGTGCAACATCATCATCACTAGTCATAACATGCGCTGCTTAAGCACCTTGAGGGTTTTGTCCTTGATCGCGAAATGTGCGATGCTGCATCTTGCTGTTCTTCAGCACATAATTGCATAACAGCTGTTTGTATGTGCAAGAACGGCATCATGTGGTACTTCTGCAGTGCGACTTTATCTGTTTTTCTGAATTTCGGTTTTCTGTTCCACGCATCCCATTCAGCGTTTTTGTCGCTGAAGAGCAAAACGAAAAATGTTACCGGTGCGGATCGACATTTCCATCATTCCATATGGTCCAAGTTTAGCGCACCATTGAAAACAGGACCTCGGTGGAAAGCCGGTTTGGATGAACTGGGTGGATGTGGTAGGCCGCGTCTGGACAACGACGATCCGTTCCAGCTAGTAGACGCTAATACCCGCTTGGCCCGACCGGCGGTTTTAAAGTCCCTTAACAGCGCCAACAAGGTACGGCGGCGCGGTAACTTCACTTTGGAGACGACGATAGTGGGCGGACAGGATACTATGCCGGGTGATGTTTGTTGGCAAGTATGTTGTTGCATTCCCGTCCCATGAGCATGGCGTACTGGAAAATGTTGTAGGCAAAAATTCATCGCGATGGCTTCTTCTATTGTGGAGGATCGATTATTGGGAAACGAACAATACTGACCGCTGCTCACTGTGTACACGATTATCAGTAGGTATTCTTCACAAATTATTGTTCGAAACTGCTTGATATTTTTTAAAATGATATTTGATTTTTGATATTTTTATAAAATTGTTGTACTGTCATCGTTTTCGTGTATCAGAGCGAACAAGGCCGTCGAACCCATGCGATTGTTGGTTACGGTGGGAGCTCCCTTGAGCAACACCAATAACGCAGTTAAAGGCTCCAAAGACCCATCGGGATGTGCCCAGGAATTCACGGTATCTGAGGTCATTCTCAATTCGCGATATAATAAAAAGATCCAGGAGAACGATATTGCTTTGGTCAAACTGGGCAGTGATATTGATTTCAATCGCCGCTGCGTGTGCCCAGTATGCTTGTTCTCTCGTCTCCCATTGGTTGGAGAGATCTGCTCTGTCAGCGGGTAAGCTGCGCCGGTTTCCTTTCTTTACGCAGTGTCGAATGTTCTTTGCCGTAATGCGAGAAAGCATTTTCTTCACGACAGATATGGAAGAGAAACCGAGGCAGGAGGTACATTTGCAATTTAATTTTGCACGCTTCTTTGCGCTCTAAACTGCCAGTCTGGTACTTTGAATTCTTGTACGTAGAAGGAAGAAATCCTCGACCTTTAAAGTTTGCCCACATCAACATGTTGGAGACGAAATTCGGAGACGAGTGCGCCATCAACAAAGGTTACGGCGAGCCGCCAAATCTCAACAATCTCCTTTGTGCGGGTAATGTTGTGGGCCAGGATTCGTGCCAAGGCGACAGCGGAGGTAATCATATCGAATGATGTCATTGTATCAGAAGTACGAAAAATACTTAAGTCAGTTTTTCAACAAGATTTTTATTTTTGAAAACCTTAACAAAGGCAGAAGAACCAATACTGAGCCTGTGTCAACTGCAAATCTGTTCCAAATTATTTGTAGGTCCCGCAGTATGTTTCGACCAAAAATCACGACGTCATTATCAAGCGGGGATTGTATCATACGGCCGCGGATGTGGACGAGGTGACGAGAGTTACTTGTACAAATTTGTATTACCCATTGTCGATTTTCGCAAGGCACGTTGCAGGTATCGGTGGGATTTACACACGGGTGTCAAGTTTTTTAAACTGGATCAAAGCCGTAGCCGGTGGGGACGTGTTGGGAATGCAGATTTGATTTGATTCATTTGAATATGTCATTTGACGTTTCGAGCAATAAACTGTACATACACAGTTTATCTGATAAGCAGAAAAACACGCTTCTTTAATTTGGTGCTTTCGTCCCTCCCGATTACCATTCCTGCCACAGCTTATTGGATTACTTGTTAGTTAGCCTGCATATCGGTTATACGCGGCATCTTGACGTCTGGCATGGAATAATCTCCAAACGCAGATTTCCATAGAGTAATAATTTGTCTGAAGAGTTTTCCTGACAGATTTTAGACGAATTTGAAGTGTCTGCACAATGCTACCGGAAAAATAAATATATGGCTTTTGAAAAAGTTTTGCTAGACTGCTATATAACTGTGGTAATAGTATTGGTAAGCACTACGTACACGGAGTATAGGGGTATAGGCTACAGAGATACTGAATTCAAACCCACGAATGCCCAAACGACTGCCGACTGCAGGATAAACACAAAACCAATAAATGTACTATACTTGCATCTTTTCCTCAAACGTTCAATTGTAGCAATTGCTTTACGTACACAGAGTCAGGGATAAAATCTTGAATTCGTCAAACTACAATATTCATCCTTTTTTGGCACAATAACCATCACGTTGCATCCATGAGGTATGAATAACATTCGTCATGTAATTATTGTCAAATTAATCATCTAAAATCCCTGAAGGAATTTGACGATACTTGTCGATAGCGATAAAAAGTAGATTTCTAAATTGCTTACAAACGGAAACGGGCGGCCCGATACTTAGCAGTGGTTACACTGAAGTTTACTCATCTGGAGACACGATGGACAATTTCACTCTGGGACCGACACTGGACTTCACAGCGGTTGACCTTTACCAGTCAGCCACATGTCTGTATTCCGGTGCCGGCAGCTATGTTCTGTCTCCGTTGAGTATTTTGTATGCCGGTGCCCTGCTGTACCTGGGATCGAATGGACCAACCCGTGATAACCTCAATACGGCGCTGCACTTCCGCAGAGCATTCGGCAATAAGAGCGATATTCTCGAGGGTGTGTTCGACAATACAGCCAAAATGTTGTCGCTTGAAGAAGTGCTCGATCCATCCAACAAGCTGCCCCATATTCCCAATAAGGCTCCGACCGAGGTGGCTCTACTCAATGGTGTTTTTCATGACCCGTCCATTAAGCTCTGGGGAAGTTTTGTGAAGAAAGTGACGAAAACTTTGCATGCCGGAGTGTACGAGCAATCGCTTTTGAGGAATTCCGATGAGGTAAATCAACTGAACTGGTTGTATATTAACTGGTTGTATATTCTGGCATTTTACGAGCGTTATCTGCCTATTTATAGTCACACAAAGAGTTACACCTCGGTGTGCTTAAAAATTTCTGCCTTTCAAGAAACAGCAGTTTTAATCTATTTTTGGAATATTACTGGACAAAAAATTTAAAATTGGCCGGTTACGACAGAATATACGTTTCTTGCAGGACCACAAGTTCTTGCAGGAACGAAAAGTTTTTGAAACGTGTTTGCGTATGTATTCCAAACAAAGTACTGGTTTTACTGCTTCCTCTGCACGCTGACATCGTCGCAGATTTCGACGTCTGAATAAACAAAATTTCATTGCCCAAAGCATTCGAAAATTTCAAAGGTGCTCAATCACTTTTTATGACATAGGTTGACAACTTGACAGGAATAATTTGCTTTTTACGAGGTTTGTCAAAAATTTTAATTTCCCGGTACTGATATAGAAATGTATATATAATATAAATGTATAATAATAAGCATTAAAGAGATGATTCAAAATATTGTGTATTCTACGTAGTACGTATAGTGTGCTTACAGATATCAGCGTCAATAACATTTTGTTAAATAGCAATAACATTCTTATTTTTTAAAGGCAATTAAAAGCATGAACGACTGGGTCACCACAAACACTTTCGGCCAGATCACCAAACTCGTCGCCCCAAAGTCTCTGTCGCCGACATCCACCGTGGCGCTGGTCAACACGCTTTACTTCCGTGCCGCCTGGGACTCGCACTTTCCTACGTCCGATCCGAATCTCGACCGCGACTCCTTCTACCACCTCGATGGCAACGTCTCCCAGCCGCTGTACATGTGGGCTCGTCGCACAATACCGTACGCCGAAGACGATGATTTGGATGTGCAGTATGTGGAACTGCCGTACGTGGGCGATTTCTACATGCTGATTATCCTCCCGCGACAGAGAGACGGCATTCGCAACTGTGAACACCAGTTTAATAGTCAAGCACTGCGCAATATGCGAAGCAAAGTGCCCATGCTGAAGGCAGCCAATCAGCGATTGGTCAACCTTAAGCTGCCCAAGTTCAAGATCGAAGGCACGTTTGATATGGCCAAACTCTTTGCCAAGGTGGGCGTAACGCATGCTCTGGGACCGAAAGCCGATTTCTCGCGGATGGTGGCCTCTGGCAAGCCGGACTTCGCTGTTATGAACCACAAAGTCGTCTTCGGTATACTTTAAATGATTACTTTATTCCTTTGTTTCGCTGGAATAATAAAATTTTTTATTGAAGTGTATTGTGCGTTTTCCTGTTTGACAGAAATCGATGAATGGGGGACAGAAGCCGCTGCTGTGTCTGCTCTGCAAGGTCCAGCTCCTATGGGACTAATGCAGTCGGACGCCTCTTGGGTGCCTGACTATGCTCCGGTGGATTTCACCGCTGACCATCCTTTCCTGTTCGCTGTACTGCATCGACCGACGGAGTCACTTCTCTTCATCGGACGCATGGAAAGTCCTAACTCCTAGAACACTACAATGGGTACACGAAGCAGCTGTGCTGAGACTGAAATTCGATCCTGTCAAAAAACTAAAGTAAAGGATGGTAGCAGGCTAGCAGTAGCCCTTGACTAGCCCATTCAATGTCATTGACCCTGTCAGTGGACGTTTACGTCATAAACTTTTATAAAGCGCGAAACCCACAAACCAGTTTTGACGCAAAATCAGTCAAAAGATGGTGCCGGCCTGCCGGGCACTTTGAATACTTTTGAATGCCGGCTATCAGTCGAATGACGTCCGTTTGTTAATGTGATGTTTTATTTCATAAACGCGTATACAGTACAGATGGCAAATTGCAACGACAATGCGTGCCGTAGTACGATAAATATGGCCATTGGCTTACGATTTTACTTATTGTTAGTTTACTAGACAGCAGTGACAATAATATATTATTAGTTATAATTAGTACTCGTACAACTTAGGACAAAATGGTCGCATACCCAACATCTCCACATTCAGTACGCATGCAGCGGAGTGCACTGTACGACTGAGTTCAAAATATCCGTTTCATACAAGCGCACTGCACCGCTTGCGTACAGAATGCTGGGTATGGGGCTATGCGACCATTTAGTCCTACATTGTAGGTAGTGCAGTAAACAACTGCTTCCTCCGCCCACCAAACCAATCTGAGTGACGGAAAGAGCCATTTAGATATCTCGTCACTAAAAGTCTGCAACGACGCCAACGAGCAGCCACGGCGGATGTATCGTTGCATCCGCTTTGACTGCTTCCAGCACAAAATATAACTTGTACAGTGTACTTACCGCTTTCGTATCCGTCTGCGATGCGACCGTCAGGCGTTAAACAAGTTTGCAAAGAATTTTTGTCATCTCAGCGTAGATAATTTTTTAAACGACAAATTAATGACTGCTCATTCCCTAAGGGACATATTTCACGTGGTGTTTAAATCAAATCGAGGCTCAAGCAAGCAACTACCTTCGACTTCAACGTAAGTACCTTTACAAGTTACGAGCAAATCCAATATCCACCACGCTGTAATTACTATTACCTGCACAATGTCTTTTGGACCACGACTGGACTTTACGGCCGTTGATCTGTACCGCTCGGTTACCTGCCGGGTGGACGATGCCGGCAACGGCGGCAATTATGTTTTGTCTCCTTTTAGTATTTTGTACGCTGGTGCGGTGTTGTATTTAGGCGCCCAAGGACCTACCAGAGAGAATCTCAATACGGCACTGCATTTTGAGCCACCGTTTGGTAATAATAGCAAAGTTCTGCAGGACATCTTTGAGAACACCGCTAGACAGCTTTCGCTGAAAAAAGTCCTGCCACCATCCGAAAGACAGCGCCGAATTCCTAAGGGTTTGAAAACGGAATTAGCATTATTGAATGGTGTGTTCTATGATCCTTCACTGCAAATACGAACATCTTTTGCGAATTCTATTTTGAAGACGTTGCATGCTGGAGTTTATGAACTGCCACTTTTGGCACATCCAGAAGAGGTGAAAATATAAAAGCGGGCAAAGTGTCTGTTTGCGTAGATACGCATTTTATAGGCTTATAGGATATTATGGAGCTAAATAATTAATCATTTTGCTAATTTAAATGTGCAGGCGGTTCGCAGTATGAACGACTGGGTGAACACAAACACTGTCAACAGAGTTACCAATCTCATCCCACTGCCATCCGGATCAAAGCGTTCCACGGGCAATCTCGCTCTCGTGAACACGCTATATTTCCGTGCAGCCTGGCAAATGCGCTTTCCTGACTCCAGTGAAGAAGAAGACCGCGCCCCTTTCTACCACTTGAATGGCAACGTGTCGCAGCCAGTGTACTTGATGGCGCGTCGCTCCGTGGCGTATGCCGAAGATGATGACCTAGACGTGCAATACGTGGAACTACCGTACAACGGCGACTTTTACATGATAATCGTGCTGCCAAAAGAGCGCGATGGAATTCGGGATTGCGAAGACCAGTTTAGCAGCGAGGCACTACGGAGTCTGCGACAGAAGGTGCCTTTGCTAAAGGCCGGTAATCGTCGTTTAGTCAGCCTGCAAATTCCCAAATTTAAAGTGAATGGAGCGTATGATATGGCCAAACTGTTGACCGATGTGGGTGTTACTCATGCATTGGGACCGAATGCGGACTTGTCGGGGATTGTAACCTCTGGAAAACCGAAACTCACCAGCATGTACCATACAGTATCTTTGGGTACGAATGGTTTCAGTTTCCACTGTACTTTCTTTATTTTGCCGGCATTTTGTGTCATTTGCAGAAATCAACGAAAGAGGAACTTTAGCCGCATCTGTGACCGAAACAGCTCCGGTTACGATGGGTCCCGAGATGGACGATTGGTCATCCGATTATTCGCCCATTGATTTCATCGCTGACCATCCTTTTCTGTTTGCTATTCTACATCGACCAACGGATGCACTTCTTTTTATTGGACGGATTGAAGATCCCGAAGCTTAGATCTTGTAATCTTCGACCCAGAAAAACCTGTGACAATTTGTGCGGTTTTCAGATATAGAAGTGCGGATACTATCTGCGATTCCTTCGAACTGATGGATATACTGTACAAAATGACCTTTTTGTTAATTCAAGTTTAAAACCAAGCTGCAATTTGTATAACTCTTTATTTTGTAGTAAATTTATGGGTTCTTGTAACATGACTGCAGAGTACTGTGCCTGAACTGCCCTGAAGGTCATGAGAGATTCAAAAAGCTCGTTCGAACAAATTGCTACCTCGTACATTAGTGAGCGCATACGCAAGCGCATTTACAGACAGTACAAAATTGTTGTAAGTACTTAATGTTTTTGTACGGAATGCTCACGACCAGCCCAAAGATAAGAGGCCGCGTTGTAACAACTAACAAGTAAGTTGTAAATCACGTAGACGAAACGGGTTCATAAAAGTGCGTGAGGCGTTCCAGTACCGGAGTACTCATTAATTTTATGACCTGGCTTTTCCGCTTCATAAAATAGTTGGTTTTTGCAGTTAACTCAACTGCTAATGACGTTGCAGCATTCTGTTTCTGCGTTAATTCGCGAGTGACAGATGCATTTTATTCTCACATTTTGAAACAGTAATATCGTATAGTACTTCTGGTGACACAAAAGTAATGTCTACAGTAGCCAAATCACCGAAACTGTTCAAATGATGCTATTTCTTCAGTTCCAGGTGTTTAATACAAACAGTACAGTATTCGTTTCGTTCCCCACTCGGATGTCATGGACGGTTCTTTGGAAATTGGTGCGAAATGATGACTTTGCCATTTTTCATAGAACAGTTTCCAGTAGTAAGTTTGAATAACGAGTTTCGTGTTGAAATGAAGATGAGGTACGTACGAACAATAGCAGATGCTTTTTCGCCAGTATCTGTGTTTCGATACGGTTTCTGTCATCTGTCAGGTGTGCATCCATGATTGGCCGTCAAGGTGGTCGCCAGTATGTCTATTACACTCCGGGCTGTCTGCGACGCTTGGGACAAATTATCCATGAGGTCATGCACAGTTTGGGATTCTACCATGAAATGTCCCGGGTAGATAGGGACGACTACGTCACGATCGTTTGCAGTAATATTGGAAGACGTAAGTGCGAATCCACAAATTAATGTTAAGGACTGTCGTCTTCTGCCAACTGTTATGTTAAAAAATGAGGTGTGATGCTCATTGGTAATGAAGGGTTGCAATTGCAGGCGACTGGAAGCAGTTCGTGTCGTACCGGGGCGACTTGCAGGGACTGCCATACGACTACGACTCCTTGATGCATTATCCCTTTAACGCCTTTGGTAAAGATCTCCAGTTACCGACCATCATTCCCAAGAAAAAGGGCGCGCGGATAGGCCAGCGTGACAGGATGTCGGCGTTAGATGTTGTACGGATTAAACTTGGCTACAAGTGCCCTTTGACCGCCAGTGAAAAGAAGCTGGTGAAAAAACAACCTGCGGACCAATCATGGGAGCCCAGCAGCTGCAAAACCGCTGGTCAGCGCGCTTGAATCAGATTATCAGAGAATCACAATCTGTTGGGTCTGCTTAAATTTAGCTGTCATTTCTTAACCAGATACTTGCATGTACTCGTGATTGCATGCCATTATGTCAGCTTTACAATTAGCAATGAGCAAAGGATAGACCATACATTAATTATAATGTTAAATATTCGGCAATAAATCAACCGATTAACAATTTAAAGCTAGAAATACATAAAAGAAACAACTGCATATTAGAAACAAGAAACGCAACAGATACAATAGGTTTGCCTAGCTAGCGGTTAGGTGGTGCTGAAGATAGCTGTGTGCTGGTCCCGTCGATTTTGCAGAGATCGGGAAACGACGGCTGATTATGCAGTTCTTAAACTTTTGCAGCAATTACAGTCAGCATGGCAACCTCAGACAACATACACTAGAGTATGGAAAAGTTTGACATTTCGTGTTACTACGTAATCAAATCGAAACTTGTATTACAGTATAAGCATCACTGAAGTCTGAGCAGAATAAACGAAACATGCCAAAATAATGGAGGTAGACGAAACGAAATTCTCAACCTTTACTTTTATCTACTTGGTAGCTACTAGCTACCATGGGACTTCCGGTGCGTTCCGTTCCCAACCTGGGCTAATTTGGCTACCCTCGTGCTCTTGGCTGTGTTCGGTTTGGTGTTAAATATGTGACCGCATAAAGCGGCGACCACCTAAATCGCGCCTTGAATCTTCTTTGTCACGCCGACGAATCAGCATTGCTGCCGTCTGCGTGGGCGTGCCCTCATTATTCATGGCATTTCATGCTGTGCAGTTGAAAACTGCAGTTCAGCTAGTCAGCTGATGCTATTGTACATTTGTACTCGTACTTACTTTGTGAAAGATGAGAGCGCCGCATTAGACTGTGATGATACGATTCGATGATATCTTGTTATTTTTAATGATTTTTTAATATTCTCAGTGGACGTTCTCGGCCCTGTTCTCTATAAGACAGCTGTGGCTGATGCTTGCGCTTACTTTTGAGCAGCAATGCAGGACGAGTTAGAAATGGCTGCAGCTGCGCAGCCAGCCCCATCTCCGACATTCCGCTGCGTCAATATTCCCAACGCAGAATCGGAGAGCCTGGAGAATCTCGTGCGTGAGTTTGAGGACGCCCATCCCGCTCTCACCCGCGCTGTTCTCCGTGATATCCCCTATGAGGAGCCAGTAACGCAGCAGTTCGCGGTGCTGCAGGTGATAGCCGTTCAGGGCTACACCATCAACGAACGCACTAAGGAGCGCCAGTGGAAAATGGATGTCCTGGAAATCCAGCCTGATGGGTGTCGCAATCGGCCGTACATGCTGGTCCTGGAGGAGTTTCAGGATGGTATGCACGAGGTGATGCCCATGGAGCTGCGGATACGGCTGAAATATTTCGACAACCTGCGGGCTCCGGTTATCGTTGCGACGGGATTCGTCAAGGAAAAATGCTCATGGTTCGCCACCGATGACAAGCACACGTTACGCTGTTGCATCAAGAATAATCCGCAGGTTGTTGTTGGTAAGTTTTTTCGAGATTTGGCTGCTTTTGCCGAAGTCCGTGGTAACGATTTCACTGAAAATTCTTACCATTAGTCTCGGTTCTAACTGCAGGGTTTACTATCGCCGGACTCCGTAGCAAGTCACTGGATTTGATTTTAGAAATAAATAAAAATAATAACTGAACGCAGATAAAAATGTTGGTTCTTGCTAATTTGTGCCCGAGGTAAATAGTTAATTTTGTTAATTAAGTTCAGTATAATTCTTGGTAATTTGTCAGTAATTGTAGCAATTTTTTAACCAGATTTAATGTCTGCTTTTGAGTTTTGCGGTTTTGCCTGTCTGTATTATGTACCTGTCAGCAGTGTTAATGACGTAGTCGAATCATAGTGTAGCGGACTGCGAATACATCAAGACATTACATAAAAGCATGTCATGATTCTAAATCCTGAGAAATATAAGACATTTCGTCTGATACATGGTTTTACTAATTATTATGTATTTTTTTTTAAGCCTGTCTTTTACTGTGTAGCGACATTGCCGCGTCCCTTAAGTCAGCCGTCCAGCTCCCAACGTTCATCTCAGGACGCTGAAAGCGATAAGCTGTGTCTCCCAAATTGTTCCTACAGTCTCCCCGCCCAGACCGATTACCGTCCCTTTCCCAGCTGACCGTGGGCGGTCCGTACGCCCTGGTGGCCGTCGTGCGCTATGCCGTGCCTCCCAGGATGGTCAGGAGCCAGCGGGGACGGAACGAGTGGATGCAGAACATCGGCCTGGTGGATCCCAGTCTGGATATTGTCGGTGATGCCAAATTTAAGTTGACGCTGTTTTCTGCGCAGCAGAATTATCTGCCTGTGTTCGCCAGTGCCGGGGATTTTGTAGTGGTCCGCAATATGTATGTGAAACAGCCACCCATGCGTCTGGAAACGGTTGGGATTGGATATGCGGATAGCGTGAGGTGATATACGCGTGCACGCCGTGCAGTTGTTGTTCGTCGTTACTGGAATTTATATAATTATTTTGTCGATGGGGTTGCGCGTTCAACTACCTTATTTGTGCAGTGTGCACACTGTTATTCATAAAAACTAAGTAATTACCTAAATGAAAGCATAATTTAGTAAAGGTAAATAAAAAACATAAATAAAAACAAATTTTATAGCAAGACATTCCTAAAATATACAAAATTATTTTTGTTTAAATAAAAATTAAATTATCTTTGCTAGTCCCCTCTTCTTTGCTAGTCCTCTTTGCTCGCTTGGTTCGTTTCGTTGGCTTTCCATTTTTATCCTTAATCATTTAAGTACTTTTTGTATTATTCATTTACTTTTTGTAATCAGCAGTTTCGTGATTATTGCGCTGTGAAATGACTGGATAACTAGACGCACTTTATTTTGTACAGATTTGCCTATGTGCCAGCTGCATCTGCAAACATGACACAGACTATTGTCAAAAATTCCTCCACGTATATCTTGCAAGAAGTGGACAAGGATATCATCAGAAATCTGCGCGACTGGTATCAGACCGTGGCCAGCGTTATCGATGGACTGGAGAAGGCATTCCCCGAGGCTGGCAAAGGTGTTTCGGAAACCGATATTGGTCAAATTGCAGCGAAGCCGGCGGTCACGGTTCTCCCCAAGAAAATCGGTATCGGTGGCAAAAACCGGTAACCAAGCCGCCGTCTGTTACAACCTTTCAAGGCAACCGCCCGCACTGTAGGGAGTCCTTGAAAGACGTTGTTCATGACAAAATTGAACCTGTACAAAACGACAAGCAGGAAAAAATGCTCGTCGTTGGTGATGAACAGGAATCTGATCCGGAAGTAATGGAATATTCTGAAAAGCCATTGGAAAACGTTCCGCCAGTGCAAGATGGCACTACCAAGGCCGACAGGGGAGAAAAACGAACGCTATCGGAGGAAGAGGCGGACGAGGAAATGCCGCACACCATGGAATTCGCGTCATGGAATACGCCAACCGGCGTTCAGGATGATCCAGCAGAAATTACCGAAATAACCGGAGGAAGTATTTGGAGTGAACAAGGGATGTTTGTGGAGAAGAACGCCGACGGTAGTGTACGGCCTCGGAAATCGGTTCTGGAATTGGCCGACGAACCGACACTTGAAAATACAGAGTTTACCGATTTTGTTCTCCGACTGCGGAATGGAGGACGAAATGGTCCCATTGATTTTAAAAATGGAGATTTGGACGCATGCATTACACAGTGATCTTATGAGTTTTTTCTTTTAGTTTTTCTTTCTTATTTTCCTTGTTGATAATATGCTAGAAAAAATGTGAAATTTAATGTATAATATACATGCCTTTGCCTGAAATTAACTGAAGAATAAGGGGCCTATCTATGGCTTTCGTTTATTTTCAAAAATTTGTAAATATAAGTACGGTACAGTAAGTATATGAAAAATTTAAAAAAATTAAATGACTGCCGTCATGGAACATAAGGAAGATAATTCGTTAAATGCAGTTAATACAGATAATATTCAGATCAACCACTTAAAAAACTAATATTAGTTATGTATTGTTAACATATTCTATTCTATAGTGAACCGTAAAACTTAATATTAATGCAAGATTCAGTATGATTCACTGCCATCTCATCACTTCCTGCGTTTGATGGTCAGAACGATAAAGTTTGTCAACACAATTTCCAACGCCGGTGCAAATTGTTTTGGTAATGGCCATGTCAACGCTAAGCTTATACCTGCAACATGATTTTCTAAAGACTGATTGATTAGGCAATAAACACATTTAATCAGCGGGTAGGCACATCAGCGGTGTGAAACAATTAGCGTCGCAGCAAGACATCAACCCGGAAGAGCAGTTCTTGATTACAAACCAGATACACCAAAATTTAATAGTCAATGATCAACATTTACACCGGGAATTTTGATAAAGTTTTTGTTACCTTATCGTATGCAACGCTAGTCGACGTTACAACGTTGTATCAACATCAAATTTAAAAAGAATGTGGCGGTCCCGTTTAAAATATGCAGATGGAGCAATTTTGTTCGCTTATGCGGCGCTAATTTTTCTGCTCTCTCAACCTGTTTCCGGTTGGAAAACGGCTGGGAATAAATTGGGCTGGGATTACTGGAATAAGTTCCTGGGTAAAACCACCGCGGCACCCACCACACCGACCACGCGAGCACCGTCCGATAACCTGAAGATACGCTGCGGTGTGCCGCGACTGGACGACAAGGATCCATTCGATCTCAACAGCTTGAATGCGGACCTCTGGAAGACGCGGAAGGAAGACCGGTCGGGATTTAAATTACCTCCTGACCTAACTGTAGCGGCACTGGGCACCCGGGAGAAGCCGGTGTTGACCATTGTCGGTGGGCAGGATAGCGATGTGAGAAACATCTGCTGGCAGGTACGTCCCAGATCGCTATAGCTAATTATACGTTGCATAGCACTAACAGGAAACTGCATTCTGATGGAACCGGCAAACACCTACCCTACTGTACATACGAGACTCGTAATATTGGGTGCTTAAACTGCTTATAATTTTATGTATCTAAACTACATACTCATCGTGCTTTTGCGTGTTACGCAATAAATGTTTTATTTTATCGGTTTACTTTACCATCACATAAGGCGTAAAAGCACGTAACATATTTAATCAGAATTGGGTTTATGATAAAAATAAGCGCTTTTATGTGTCTTGTACTATCTCGTAATATTATCATAACAATTTTTATTCACAGAACTATCATTAACGATAGTTCTGTGACTAAAATTTTATCAATTCGCACTCGGTTGGTTGCTCTTATATACACTGAAGTGAATTGTAGTAAATCTAAAAGTTATTTATTTACTTCTAGGTGATTACAGTAATAACGATTCCAAATTACCCTTATATAAAGCAGCTGCATGCAGTATATAGACTATATGCCCTATTAATTATAATTAATTATAATTATTAATTATAGTTCAATGTTGCACACTATAATTATAGTGTGCAACATTGAACTATAATTAATAGGGCATATAGTCTATATACTATATATTTAGGTTCCTACGTATTAAAGATATCTCACAAATCAATTTTTGAAACGAGTCCGAATATTGGATTGTTTAGTGTAAAAAAATGTGATTTATTTATGCTTCTGTAGGCTAAAATCCATTACAAGCACTTTTACATTTGTGGCGGATCGATTATCGGAAAGCGGACCATCTTGACAGCCAGCCATTGTGTGCTAGATCTCAAGTACGAGACGACATAATTACTGACCACCCGGTAATTATTAGTGCCGGAAGCTGTCCACATGCGCGCCATTGCATTGACAAAAACAAATTACGAATACTGACTGTTCTTACTGACTGTTGACAGAACTGGTGTCATCAACAAGCCGTACAGCTTCAACGTGACTGTGGGTGCTCCGTTCAGCAACACCAACGAATTCCTACAGCATCCTGATGCCAATCACTGCGCGCAGGAGTACGGGGTCATCCGAGTGGTCAGCAACTCCAAGTACCGGCCGAAGGGCAACAATGAACACGATATCGCTATTTTGACACTGGATCGGGATATTGATTTTACGAAGCGGTGTGCTTGTCCGGTGTGTATCATTGATAGGAAGCCGATGGTGGGAGAAATCTGCAGCGTTAGCGGGTTAGTGCGCAGATTTATTGGACCGTACAGTTGTAATACGTGTGCATTCTCTCTGAACAAAACAGGCCACATAACTGTAGAATAGAATAATATTTAAGTACACAAAGATCTAGAACGAGATATGTGCGCTGCTCAGTTTTGATTACAAAATTGAGAGCAATACAATTTTCATGATAATGCTTCTACAATTTAATGTATTCTCTATTGTGAACAATAATACTGCTATCGAGTACAGTACTACCAGTCATTAGATGATAAATCTATACTGAAGTAGTCCAGGAAAATTTTGCAGTGCTGCCGAGAGCACGAATTTTTTGGTAAAGAGGTTTTTGTTAAAAATTGATTTTATCTATAGGTACGGATCGGAGTCGGAGGATGGAACAGCCGGTAAAAAATAAAGTGATGCACTTTAAATTCCGTTAAATGGAAATTGCTAAATAAGATAGTAAAAGTTTAGGGTATATGGATATTAGATGTATCTGTAGTTGATCGTGACCGTTAGCTATAGGGTAACAGATCGTGGCCGTCAAATTAGAAAATTTTCGGTTTCGTTAGATCGCGACCCCGTACCGCTGAAGTTCGTTCACATTAACGTGATGAATACCACATACGACGCCAACTGTCCACTGCCACAGCCAACGGACACCCAGGTTCCGGATCTGAACAACTTCCTGTGCGCGGGAGATCACGTCGGTGAAGATTCGTGCCAAGGAGATAGTGGAGGTACAGAAAAGCTGTTTACTACAACTCTTACTTTATTTTATGGCTGTACAGGGAAAGTACACTAACTTTTGGAAGATTACTGGTTATCTTCTACTACAAAGTATTTCTTTCTTTATTCAAAGGTCCCTTGGTGTGTTTGGACCCAAAGACTCAGAAACATTACCAAGCCGGCATTGTATCATACGGTGCCGGATGCGCAAGAGGTATGAGGAAAGTTATGATGAGAGTTATAGCATTCAGTCGATCGTCAGTCGATATGTCATTGGTTTTAGGTGTTGGTGGAGTTTACACCAGAATATCAAGCTATTTAGAGTGGATACATGTGAACTCCGGCGGAGATATGTATAGACGTTTCGTATCTTGATCTCCAGCTGATACTTGGAATTCTTGCAATATTTTTCAATAAAACCGTTATTCGAATTCAGACTAAGCACTTTAGTGAGTCAAAACATCCTAGAAGAATAGTTTGATATATTATATCCTCATATCATGTGTAATCCGTTCGGTGGAGAGAATTTTGATCACAATGTTCACCTAAATTACTGAAGAAGTATACACATGTACTGCAGCTGACAGGTCAGTTTAGCGGTCATCAATGCAAATTTATGAGAAACAATTGGACCTTTGATCGGCTATTGAACGCTGGAAACCGTATTTTAATACAGAATGCGGCACAGTTTTCTGACAGGGATTTGCAGAGTGCTGGTCAGTCAGAGGGAATGGAAACTAGCCAGCCGAAGGAAGTCAATTAAAACGTTGACTTTGGATGTTTTTTCAATGTTTAAAATTCGGAACATTTATTAAAACGATCAATAAACGAACACATAGCGATAGCAGTACCAAACCGCCCCAACGAAAGATCGTTCCAGTTATTCCTACATCACACGGGCGGCAGTTTAGTACGCTGGTCTGCTCGGGCAGTGAGCAGTGAGCACTTGCTGTACTTGGATTTCCGTTGCCTGTCGATTCCACTTCTGCTTTTCCTCGTCTCAATCATGGACTCACAGCTAAATAATTTAATCTGTTATTACTGTTAAAATATTTAATTTGAGTTTTGCTCCGTCTGCAGGCTGTTTGTGTGTGTATACAGCTGCTGCGTTGGCGTTGATCACGAACGGATCTCTCTTGCTGTGACCATTGTCCTCTGCAGCCAGCACAACGACCATGGCTGGTCCCCCAAACGATCAGAACGATCCACCGCATCTTGTGGCGGCCGGGGAAGTCGTTGTAACCTCTGAACCCTGGGTCTGGTCGTTCCCGTACAACACCCACAAAGTCCTGTGTGCCCAGTGTTTCACCGAAACCGCGGGGCTGCGTGTGTGCTCCAGTTGTAAACTGTACCGCTACTGCAACAAGGAATGCCAGGTAACGTTCAGTCCTCTTGAAGGATCAGTGTATCAGCCACTGTATCTGTACAGTCTGTATGATGGCATAACTGGGCGTTTCCATATTGCTTCTCGCTTCTTCTTATTATTGCTTCTGTTATTGTAAATTCTAAAGTTGACTTATTTAGCAGTATTATTTTGTTCGTTAGAGTAGAACCTTATGGTGCAGTCAGTAACTTTTCAAAAGATTATACATACCGTGCATTAGCCATCTTCTTACACGAAGACGCGTTTGTGCTCACGAGAATGGATACTTCTATACCAATCCCCATGGGCGACTATGTAAACCTTGATGCTGTACTGCTTGTATGTTTTTGCAGGTTTTTTAAAATATAAGAATGATTTGTTATGTGAAATAAATACAATTTTTTCTTCAGTGTAAATCGAAGTTATTTTCAGCTGACGAACTGGAAGAAGGAGCACAAGCATGAGTGTGCCATGCTAAAGAACATCCACAAGAAACTGCAGCCGTTTCAAGCGGCTGGTGCTTTTGCTCATGACTGCGGACGGCATCAGTGCTGTCTATATGGATGTTGCGCTGGAGAGATCCTTGTGGCCAAAATCATCAACAAAATCACGGTGATAATTGAGAAATGTAGATACTGTTGAAGTTTGTCAATAGTAAAGGTCAGTATAGAAAGAATACATATCTGTACTACCTAATTATAAAAATTAATAATAACGAATGCAGAGAAAGCGATTCGGTTACTACAATTGTGTTGTGCATCAAACTTAAATGGAAATAGTCTTTAAACTGGCATACAGTGATGAGATTGTCTGTGCTTAGAAAGGTCTGGTGGAGAAAGTGTCCGGATTCCCCGGAAACGTCACGGCTCAACAAGTCTTGGACGTGCTTCCGCTCCAGCCCATTTTTCCGAGTGTTACGGACGTGTAAGTCGAGTTATATGGAATATATAGGAGTAATTTACCGAAAAATAGGTCCAGATTCTATTTACGACTGTGAATGGGTCAGCTAAAGGTGTTTCGCGTGCGTTGTAGGTTTGAGCATTTCAATCGGATGTTCTGCGCCGTTATTTGGCCGGATACGGTCAGCGAGCGTACTCCGCATTTTGAGGAAATGGTGCAGAAGCTGACGTACAATATACTGCCGGTTTTTAATCAGCGCAACAAAGTGACGGTGCAGATGATTGCCATCTTCCCGCGGGCGCTGCAGCGGCTGATGACCCCGGTCTGCTTGGACAGTACCGTCACCATGGATCTGCAGGGGCGCACCATGATGGTGCGGGCGGTTCAGGATATTTACTACACCGGACTGCAAGATGTGAGGATTATTTATTATCGGTTAGCCTTTCCTTTTGAAAGACCGAAAAATGGCCAACTATTGTAAATGTTAGCCATTTTTACGGTATTAGGACACTTCCCATTGGTTCCGAATTTTATAATTGTGCTACGTATCTGGTTTAAATGAAGAGTCTCAAGACTAACGGGGTGTATTCGTAATTTTTGCTGATTAGGGAAGTTTTCGACGTCAATAAAATACAAACCTGGTTTGTAGTTCAAATGCCTACCCGTTTGTCTAATAATCTACCGTATTTCAGTTGCGGCAGAATGAAGAGTGCCACACAAGTTATTTTACGTCACGGATGCAGCGCCGCAAGGATTTCGAGAAACTTTACGGTTACTCCTGCAACTGCAGCAAATGTACTGCCGAATATGTGAGTTCTCGATCGGAATTTTTCAAAATGTCTTGGTTCGAATAAAAAAAGCAGCTTTACGTGAATTATTCGTCATCCCCTGCAGATCCCGTCAACCCTCAGCCAACAGCCACGGTGGCTGTTGGTATGGCAGTGTAGCTTATCTTAATTACGATTCGTGCCGCTAAATGCTTCCGGCTTTATGTTTCATGCAGGAAGCATCCATGAACCCCTTGAGATGCTGCACCGTGGGATGTCCGGCACGTATTCCCAGCGATAAACGGGCTCAACAACCGTGTCCGCAGTGCAAGGCTAACAATGCGCCCCAGTTGCACAAAATGCAGGCTATTGTCGCGGCGTGCGAAGAAAGAGAGCGTGATTTTGATCAATAATTTTGAAATAATTGTCTTTGTTTCTGGGCGGATACCAGCCAGCTGCTTTGTTAACCATGAAATTAACATCCAGCGGTGTTTGTTCATAGAGCAACATCACGGCTGCGCGCAGATCTTGAAAGTAACAAGGGTCATTGCTAATGCCCGGTTTGGTCGTCGCACGAACAGTCGCGATCACCTATCAGCGTGATCTTAAGCGTTAACGACATAGAGCAGTTTGTGTACATATTTTGTGCAAGTGCAAAAGCATCATTCTATGTACTATTCAAATAAAATACTGTATATTATTAATACAGGAATATGGAATATAAAGCAGTTACAAAGAGTACTCTGGTCAGTACTCACTACTCAGTCGACAGTCAGTACTGTAAGTACCAAACAAAAGACTCCGGTCGTTACAACACCTTGCGAGTGGCAGTTTGGTTTGGTAGGCTGGATACAGGTGGCCATGTGGCGTAAAGTTCGTTGGTGAGCCACTGAGCAGGTCTTGAGCGCAGCCAACATTTTCGTTGCCATTTTGCATTGCAGCCTGTCGTCAGATAATTCTGTTTTCTCCTGCCAGTCACAGTTTGTTGATTATCTCTATATATTAATAAAATAAGCCTTAGCGAATTCCATACAAAGCTCCCTTTTCTGAGCGACACACTTAACGAAACTTGGGTGTCTATATATCATTCGATAGCGCCAGGTTTGCAGATGGCGCGACAAGAATCAGTTTTTGAGAAAAATGTAAAGTTTAAAAGAAAAGTTTAAGAAAAGTTAACATACAAAGTCTATGGGAAAAGTGAGGAACCCACCACTGCTAAATCGACCACCCCACCACTGTCTTGAGTCGACAGCTGAAACGCCGTTATTCAAGCTCTTCTTCGAATGGGGTGCTTATGTAATGACATGTATCACCTTATAGCCGTGGTTTATATATTTTTTACCAGAAATTTTTGTTTGCAAGACAGTTAGAGCTGAAGAAGTCAGAAAGACCAGGCAAAGCAGTCCGCGAGTACGGAATAGCTGCAAACCCAGTTTTTCAAGTAGCTGTCCTTCGCAGTTGTTCGAGCTTTATTGTAGCGCCTCAAGGGCGGCTGCGCGTGCCGTTATCACTTGTATACCGTACAACTGGTGTTACTGTATACTACGGTGCCACCGTAGTACGGTGGCACCGTAGTATGGATTTTACGCGGTTGTATTAGAATGTGGTGCTAAGTAGCGGAAGTGCGAATTATTCACGACGCTGCTGTGAAATTAAATGATTATTATGAATTAATTAATTAGTTAATTTAAATTATTATTCACGACGCTGTTGTGTAACGACGCTATTGTAACAGAAGGCGAAGCCGCAAGTGACCCCTAACTCCGGCGCTAGGGAGCTTGCGGAGCAGCAATACAGATAGGACTCATATGTGAATGTAATAAGCGAGACACAATCAGACACTGCGATCTGGGCATTGTTACCGGACAAACCGAAATTTAAAAAACCCATGACTGGAAGTATGCTAATGACTTGATAAGTGTGGCCGCACTGGCTGGCCAAAATTCTAATACATAACAACGGGCAATATTTTACAATTCAAAGAATAGCAGACTGATAAAGAAAAAAACTCAAAGGAATTTCTATAAAACAGCACATACTATATAAACGGCAAGTTTTGAAGTTTATTACGGTTTTTTCTGCAGTGCACCGAACGGGAAAATGTTAACACAGAAAGATCAATATAGAATCTTCGGTAAAACAGTGAACCCAGCTACGACTACGAGTACAGTAGCAGCACCTTATTTTAAATTATGCGAAATTTTAAATTTTTAAATTTCTAAGCATGAATGAATCCAACGGAGCGTAGAATATATCTGAATTTGACAACGTACGTATCTTAGATGTCACGAACAACGATGAGCTTATATATTTCTCAACTTTCTTTGCATTTTAATCTATCACTGATTTATTCCGCGCAGTTTGCGCGGGGTCTACTAGTTTAATAATTATTCCTATTTGTTTTATACAATCATAAATCTCCGGATTTCTCACTTGTGTGTGTGTGTGCACAGGCTACTGGACCGACGCTGATCAGGAACGGAGTGTACGGTTTGCAACTTGGCACCGTGTTTGTGACCGTTGTCCGTTGCACGAACCAGAGATATGGCGGGTCCCCCCAAGCGATCTGGACATTTCACCGCGTTCGGTGAAGGCCGGGGACGTTGTTGTTACCTCTGAACCCTGGATCTGGTCGTTCCCGTATAACAACCACAAAGTTCTGTGTGCCCAGTGTTTCACCGAAGCTGCGGGGCCAGCGGGGCTGCGTGTGTGCTCTGGTTGCAAACTGTACCGCTACTGCAACATGGAATGCCAGGTAAAACCACTCAGTCACCAGTGGATCGTTTCACGCTTCGTCTTGCTGGTTGCATGTCGCTGCTTCATTTTTCGCTTTTATTAAACTCTCCAGTTTATAATCAAACTCAGTGCCTGCATTTTTTTTTATTCGCGATACAGTAACAGAAACGTAATATGAAGACTCTTCATAAATGCGTCACTCATCTTCTTTTTTCATGCTGTCGCAGTTGTATGTGTAAAAGTTAATCTCGTTTTGCTTTTTTGCTTCGGGTTAGTGACGTGAATAGTCTGCAAGATGATTTGTACTGCAAAATTAATACAATTTTTTCTAAACAAAAATTTTTTTCAGTCAGCTGACTGGAAAAAGGAGCATAAACACGAGTGTGCCATGCTGAAGAACATTCACAAGAAACTGCAACCGTTTCAAGCTGCGGGTGTTTTTGACCACGACTGCGGACTGCAGCACTGCTCCCTGTTCGGATGTTGCACTGCAGAGATCCTCGTGGCCAAAATCATCAACAAAATCACGGTACTGAAGTTCCTGTTATCAATAAGCAACAACTGATTAATTTTGCACAGATTCATAAAATGACGGTGATTTTACGCTGAAAAGTTTTTCATTGAAGTGAGGTGTAAAAAGGTCTGCTAGACCGGCAGTAACGCGATTGTTTGTGCTTAGAATGGCCTGATGGATGAAGTATCGGGATTCGCCGGACGCGTCACGGTCCAGCAAGTCCTCGATGTGCTTCCACTCCAGCCAATCTTTCCGAATATTACGAACGTGTAAGCCGTTTTACGTAACAATTTTGGCGATTAAAATCACAAAATAATACTGTATTACTTTGACCATCTGTGCGCGCTTTATAGATTTCACCACTTTAACCGGGAGATCAGCGCCGCCATTTGGCCATCGATCGCGACGGTCCGCGACAGTATTCCGCGCTTTCAGGAAATGCTGCAGAAGCTGGTGTGCAATGCACTGCCCATTCCGAATCAGCGCAGCAAACTGAAACTGCAGATGATTGCCATCTTCCCGCGGGCGCTGCAGCGGCACATGACCCCGGTCTGCCTGGACACCAACGTCACCATGGATCCGCAAGGACGCACTATGGTGGTGCGGGCGGTTGAGGATATTTATTTCACCGGAATGAAAGATTGAGGGCGAAATCCGCGAGAGTTGGTTAGAAAAAAATTAATTGACTGTTTCTTATTGTACTATACAAGACACGCATTTCCGTTACTTACTAGTAACGTTTTAAGAATCTAAACTTCTACGGAAACCCTCAACTTGATGATTACATATGTACTGAGCGTTAAGGCTGCAGTTTTGTTGGGAGACTAACAGCATATGTTACCACATACCTGCTTGTTGTTTCCTATGATTTTTCACAGCAGTCGTCTATTTTTTAGTTGCGACAGAACGAAGAAATCCTCACCAGTTATTTTTCGACGTTGATGGAGCGTCGTAAGGAGTTTGAGAGGATTTATGGTTATTCATGCGGTTGCAGCAAATGTACTACCGAATACGTAAGTGCTCCACCTGGACTTCTACATATAAAAACGTGGTGTACAATTTCCTTGGTTGAAACGAGCAAAATAACATCATTTGAATGGAATTATCGGAAATAAGAGTTAAATTTTGTGGAGCTTAATCGTGATTTGTGCCGCTGATTTTTTTTGCCGTTATGCACCAGGACGCGGACATCAATCCCTTGAAATGCAGCACCGTGGGATGCCCGGCTCGTATTCCCAGCGACACCCGGGCTCTGCAGCCGTGTCCGCAGTGCAAAGCTGACAATGTGCCGCAGCTGCAAAAATGGAAGGCTATTGTCACAGCCTGTGGAGACATGGAGAATAATTTCGATCCCCATGATGATTTGAACGAGGCGGTCAAGGCGATGGAACGGGTCAAGCGAATGGACACTGTTGTGCATCCCGACGCACATCTGCGTTTCGTCTGCGGTATGGATGCGGCTGACTTCGTACAGGCCATGGGTGGCTATGAAGACGCCTGGAAGCTGGTTGTGGGGATGATCGACTGTGTGCGGTAAGGAGTGTTGTCTTTTCTAAGGCAGGGAGATAAAAAAAAGTGTGAAAAATGGTGACATTGAGGAGGCTTAAAAACGCTGCTGTATAAGCCATTAATGCTGAAAGCATTAAATGTCGTAGTGATAATTTCGCGCAGCCCTCCCACCCGGCCCGTGTTGGTTCAAACCCATTCAGCTTTGTTGTCATATTGTCACACTTTTCCTGTGTGTTATTGTCACATTTCCTCCTGTGTGCTTTGCGATTTGTGGTGAATAATGGGGTGGCTTAAAACGCTGCTATATAATAGGGATTAGGGACTGATTTTGAAATTTCTCGGAGTTCACTTGTAAAGACCACTTCTCGGCGAAACGCATCGTACTTTACTTCTGGAATAATCAGAAAAGTAATGTTCAAATGAAGATTTCATGAAGAAGATACGGTATCCAAATCGAATACATTCGGGCGTGCAAATGTAGTAGTTTCGGTTCTTTTATTTTAAAAACGTAAGGAGACGGAGAAACGAAATAAGTAGTCTAGTACCTTCTCGTCGTTCCAGTGTCATATATCCGGACTACCACCTGGGCCGTGCCCGCTACATGGTGAAGTCGGCCGCGATACCGTACTTGTGGAAACGCGCCGTTGATGAAAAGGAACAGCAGCGCCTAGCCCCCGTATTCCAGGAGGCCCTGCCCAAAGCGCTGGGATGGTTGTGGGAGGCGGAACGCATCTACCAGAAACTGAACGGAGAGGATTCGGTGTGGGCGCAGGCGGTGGTCGATTTCATCCGCATCCATGCGCCGGAGGAAGTCGGAGCGACGGAAAACGCCGTACCCTCAGCGCGGAAGGCCAACTGGGACTGGGGCATGGGGAAGCAGTTGTTCTTTGGTAACGACGATGATTTATAGTTCTGGAACAGATTTCGCATATTACACATGCATTATTGTGGACTTGATAAAATTGTCGCCTCTACAGACTGTACAGATAGCTTCATCAAAAGAATTTTTGTTGTTGTTGTATACAATTTTATTAGATCGCACTTATACGTTCCTGGTTTGTGTTCGTTGTTGCATTGTTCCAGTTGTCAGAATTTGCATAATTATAGTACATTCTCATATTACCTTTATTGAGCTTGCTCTGTACAGCAGATATTAAAACAGTTTCTGTACAGCACACTTATATTTTCAGTGTTGTTCTTTTATTCTATGTACTGTTACTTGCCATCAATGCCATGTGTACCATTCGGTGTTAGTACTCCTAGTGTACCATATTAACATTAATAACTTTCTGCGGAAAAGTAACAACTTAATTTAATCGTGTTGCCGGTTCCATGTTCAGATTAAAAATTTGTTATCCTTAATTTTTTAATTTTTCCCTTTTTTTAATTTTTAAATAGGAAACTGAAATTGAAATCATAGATTTGTCGTTGACCTTTCATATCGTTTGGCGATGCGTCACGCTTGCAATTACCGCTAGACGGTAAGAAACCTTGACATTACAGTACTTACTGCCGGCAATTCAAAGGTCTTCACAATAAGAAAGCGCGCAGATAGAAGACAGTAATTTGAGCAACAGCCTAATTTTTGCGATATATACGAACGACCGGCATAACAATATCGAGCGGAAAACAACAGAGCGACATCGCGCACAATTAACCGCGTGTATAATACACCTGCTGCCCAATGAACTTACAATTAAGAAACTGCATATTTTTGTACATTGTAAGTTCTTTCCTGCTGACGCTGAAATACTGTACAAAACTCGCTAAATAGCGAAGGTGAATTCTCGCTTGCAGGCACTCGCATGACAATAAATTATTAATCGCGCACGCTAACCTGTCTGAGCTTGTGTACAAAATGAGCCCTCTAAAAAACCTGCCGTTATGTTGCTGCTTCCTCATTGCGTTTCTCCGAATATGCCGTTCGGATGATGCACCGCGTCTTGGGTGGGATTTCTGGCTTAATCCGAACCGTCCGAACATTACCGGGCCGTTACATGTTTCCGATTCCACACCGGTGATCGCATCCACCCAGTTATTTCCAACTCCGGCAACTACTCAAAATGCTGGTCAAACGCTCACCACTTCGACAGTGTTACCGGCATCATCTACCGCGCGGACGACGACAAATGCTACATGGAATGATACATTACGCTGCGGGACACCACGTGTGGGATTTTACGATCCGTTCGGTTTATCCGATCTCAATATCGCCGTCTGGACGGATGCACTGCAGCTGCCGGTTCCCAAAAGTAGGCTGACCATGGCGCTAACTATAGTCGGAGGACAGGACACTGACCCCGAAAAGATCTGCTGGCAGGTATTTTCCAAGTTTCCGTTCGTAGGAGCGTAACCATGTTTGATGCACATGCATATATGTACAATGTATAAAATCTGATCGGGTTGTTTTGATATAGGCAAAGCTGCATAAGGACAAGAAGTTCGTCTGTGGCGCCTCCATCATCGGTAAACGGACGATTCTAACTGCAAGTCACTGTGTCAACGACTTCCGGTAAGCGGTTAGTGGCGCAATCATGTCCGTCACGGCTTTTGTGCACGTGAGCGGAATTAAATAACCAACATCAATCTTGCTTTTACTAATAGAAATATCATCATTCTTTCTTTCCCCTAGAAGAAATAATAAATGGATCAACTTAGAATTAATATTGTTGTACGTTGTAAGCGCTTTGAATACTATGTGATACGCATACTCTTACCTTCTACTTATTAATTTATTGTGCAGCACAGCGACGACCATGTCTCCAGATCGGTTTCGCGTTGTTGTTGGCGCGCCCTTCAGCCAGACGCTGGAGCGGGATGAACATGGTTTACTGAAAGACAACAGCAGCAGCTGCGCGCAGATCTTCAACGTGACAAAGGTCATTGCCAATCCCCAGTTTGTCCGTCTCACGAACGACCGCGATATCGCCCTGGTTACCTTGAGCAGTGACATTAATTTTGCCGACAACTGCGTGTGTCCTGTGTGTCTTAGTCGGATGAAACCGAAAGTCGGTGAAATGTGTGCCGTTAGCGGGTGAGCACCTGTGAAGCTGACAGCAAATTGTAAAGTAAAATCCCACTAGCTAGTAGCTACCACACACAACAGCTGATTTGAACACGCCTTACTATGTACGGCAGTAGTATGTACAATGCCGCTTATTGTTCCTTATGTATTACTATTATTTACTAGTAATACATAAGAAACAATTATATGGTTAATCTTATACTGACCTACCAACAACAAATTAAACATGCAGTAACTTGTACCAAAGGGGTACCAAAGTAATTGGTACCTTGTCAAGTTGTAACAAAGTAATTAAGTTTTAAAAAGATCTGTTTTACACTGGTATTCTGTAAATAAGTATTAGAACACTTGTTACAGATACGGTCTGGAGAAGGAAGGTGGCGGCATGGGTGGTAAGTCAAAAACTTTTTGCACAGTCGACATACGTAGAAGCACTAGTACGTATCTTGATAGTCTACGCATCGGAAATCAAGTACTTAATCATCTACTACACTCGTCATCACCTGCATCGAGTTAATGACTTTCACATTAAATGTGAAAGTCATTAGCGTAAATTTTACGCTAATGTAGACGAACGTGACGTCACACACGTGAAAATTTGCTCACATATCTGAAGAGTGAAGACATTATCTCCTGGTTACGTTACAGAAAATATATATTTATGCACAGGAAGAAGTCCGCGACCATTAAAATTCGTACGAATCAACATAAAGAAAACCGTCTACGATAACAACTGCTACATTCAAGCTCTGGGAGGCAAAAAACCCAATCTGGATGATTTCATCTGCGCTGGAGATGTTTTGGGTGAAGACACATGCCAGGGCGATAGTGGCGGTAAGGGAATGGCAAACTAGTGTAGGGTGGTTTCAGCAGAATTTAGTTTTACACGCACTGTCTCCCACTGCTAACAATAAGATTGTAGTGCGCTGGCCCGACCAAATCAATGCCTTCATGCCCATAAAAGAACTGTAGCCAACAGCTAATAGCAACAGAGCAAAAAGTTTTAATTTTTGTAGCTTTGTTTTAATAGAGCTTATCGTAGTGGAGGTTGTATTTTATCTTGCAGGTCCCGTGGTTTGTATGGATCCCATCACGCATCGACATTACCAAAGTGGGATAGTTTCCTACGGAAAGGGATGCGGACGCGGTATGTACTTATTCGTCAAATTCTTAGTTGTGAAAGAATTCTTTCATTTTGTTACTCTGTGGTCTTAACAAAAAAAATATTATATCAACCAAATTAAAACAATCTAACGCATCACAATGAAGAAACCGACAAAGCAATTTGATTCAGAAATTCGAACGTCCCAATCGCTCGAATGAAATCAGTTTTTAGTTTTACATAATAAAGGCTACACACAGTAGTATTCACTTCCCGCCCAACCTGAAAATAAACTTACCTGAGTCCGGTTCGGCTAACCGTCATGATCGATCCGAACACGCAAAGCAATGTATCCGTCCTTTATACAAAATGCGCAATGTTCACATATACGTAATGCGCGGTTTTTTTATTTCTTTGAGCATACGGCATAAATTCTGCTACTTCTATCTATAATTACTGTTGTTGCTTCGTGTTTAGGGATTGGCGGCATGTACACAAGGGTATCTAATTTTATTGACTGGGTAAAAGACAATGCGGGAGGTGACGTTTTGGGCTTGGTGGATTAGCTGTTCACACGTACGAGGCTCGTCGCACCATATCTTTGCGGACTGTGATTGCTAAACTGTGCTAAAGATTTTTTGTATTTTAAATATACAGAATACAAACAAGGTCAGATCGAGAATTTGTTCTTCGTAATATTGTGGTTACCGGAATGCTGTAATATTATTTGTAATACTTAGTGACTACTTACTGTACCTACGTCAAATTGCTGTTTATACTTTATGGCAGTCATGCTGCCGCAATATGTGCCTGATCCGTTTGAAATGGTGTAACTGCATAATGAGAGTAGACGTCTTGATCCTTAAAAGTAAATAAACATCGCATAAATCATAGTTATTCATGAATGAGTGTACAGAAAATCACAGCACTAACGGACTTGACCTCCAAAAATTTCCATGTCCAAATCCGCGTAATACTGTCACAATCATCGGTCGCAAGGTAAAAAACGCCGTAAATTTCCCCGACACTTAGATCATCCTCAGCGTAACCACCTGTGCAAAATCACGCGCCGGTATAAAACATTAGCCGCTCACTAAACACATACACACCGTGATCGTTTCTCACCAACCATGCGCGGTCTCCCCACGACGTTCTTCGTCTACATGGCGCTGTGCGCTGCTTCGGCCTGGTCCCTGGCGGCCAACCGGACGAAACCGACAGCCGGCAAGACCAGTAACAAACTGGACTGGGCGTACTGGTTCAACCTCCTGCACCCCGGGGCGGATGTCCCTACCGCGCCGCCACCTGCTCCGGCGCCGGTGCTCATGGAACCGGTGGTGGAGGATGTGTCGTGGACCATCTCCAAAAGCGATATTTCCAACGCCCGTTGTGGGGTGCCGCGGTTGGGCGGGGCGGATCCCTTTGGTTTGGCGGTGGCTAATCGGGCTTTGTGGTCGGGACAAGGCGGTACCCGGGATCGGAACCCGAATGGGACCGTGGAGGATCGGATTGTCGGGGGAAAGAAGATTGATGTTCGATCGGTGTGCTGGCAGGTAAGAACTGCTAGAATGTTTCGCATTAAACAATTGGCCAATTGCGCGAATCGTTACGAAATGTAAAATATGTCAGATGTCAGTCTATGGTTACTTGAACGCATACAGTATCTCATAAATTTTCAGATTTTTATTGACTTGATGGGCTTCAAAATTGATTTATTTAATTACAATTTTCGCATGCACTGGAACCGGTATTTGGCTGTACCGACCTTTGAAACTAAAATTTTTTAGGCCAAGCTGCAGAAAGATGGGTCTTTTATCTGTGGCGGGTCTGTTATTGGCAAGCGCACGATTCTGACCGCTGAACACTGTGTTAGGAATCCCCGCGGGTAAAATTCGTAGTGCCATGGCTACAAAAGTACAATAACTCTGTTCCAATATGCTATTTGCTACATGGGACATGCACTTTCCCTTTGAGAAAAAAATTAGAAATTTAGAAATTTCTTTTTCTGTGAGATAATGTTGACGCAGACGTCTTTAACATTTTTCATTTCCAGTATCGGCATAGTTATGCATAGTTTGATAAACATCGTGTAATTTTTAATCCTCTTAATGTACAACTCTCGGAATATCAGTCCAGGTTAAATCGGCTGACGGCTTCTCCAAAATTTCATAACTCAGTTCGTATATTCGCCTTTCATATCTTGCAGACGTTATCCGAGTGAGCCCTACGACAACAACCGTTTCACCATTGTTTTGGGTACAGCCGAAAGGGTTTTGTAATTATAAAAATGGTTAGTATACGTGCTTCTTATAACACAGGTGCGGGACAAAGTGACACTTTGATATCAAGCGACGATCCCAATAACTGCGCTCAAAAGTACAATGTGGTGCGCATCATCACGAATTCCCGCTTCAGTTCGTCCACCAATGAGAACGATGTCTCAATCTTAACGCTGGACCGGGACATCGACTTCAGCAAACCGTGTGTATGCCCGGTGTGCCTGCGCAATCAAAATCCAAAAGTCGGTGAAATCTGCTCGGTCAGCGGGTAATTTTTGCTACTTGAAAAGTGTACTTTTAAGAATATCACAATCTAATCAAATATTTTCTGGGACAGGTACGGTCTTTTGCAAGAAGGCGGGTCAAGTAAGTAGAGGATGTGTTTATGAACTTTGCTGCTTAAGTCGCTTTGGCCACTAAATTTAGTACGCTGGCTTTGGTGACCTTTCACACATTGCCCTTTTTGATCCCGCCTTTGTTCCTTCGTGTAATTTGGTATTTATGCAGGTGCCGGAGCACGTCCCTTGAAATTTGTACAGTTGAATGTTCTCCCGTCGGATTTCAGTGCTAACTGTTACATCGTGGGACAACCGACCGACCTGAACAATTTACTGTGTGCGGGAGATGTACTTGGCGAAGACACGTGTCAAGGCGACAGCGGAGGTGAATACAGTATACTATTGTGTTTTGAATGAATATATTTTGTCATTTCCGAATGCCTCATATAGGTCCGGTGGTCTGTCAGGATCCGGCGTCCGGCAAACACTATCAAGCGGGTATCGTCTCCTATGGAAACGGTTGCGCTCGAGGTGAGGTTTGCAATATACTCGTAATATTACGAGTAACACGAGTAACACGAGTAATATTACGAGTATTAATTATTGATATTAACACTCGTGTTGAAGACTGACTCAAATTGAAAAACTTGGTGCAGGAATCGGCGGCATTTACACACGGGTGTCGCAGTATCTCGAATGGATTAAGATTAATTCCGGTGGAGATCTATTGACCTTTCCATCTTAGTGGTCGACCATAAAAATCAGTCAGATTTGGAGCATAACAAATTTGTGTGCTGTATAAAGGCTGATTTTGCTTGTCTTCGCCGCTACGGTACCAGTTGTTAAATGTAGATTTTTTCCATGTATAAAGCAATGTTAACTAGGTTTATCGTGCAATTGATATACAACTTCAATCTCCGGAATATAAAAATTCTGTATATAAACACGTGACCGAGTGTTGTTTTGATTGCCTGCTTTGTCATGTTTGTTTCTACATAAACGTGAATTACGCGATCAGCACCGGCACACCGTTCGTTCTTGATTTGTATGTTCTTTTACCTGCGTCCGGATTTGACAAGAGGCGAACGAACAAAATATCAGCTGCACTTCATATCGGCCTATACGAAACATTTCATGCAAAACAATTTGGTCACACATTGCCGCTAGTTGTTGGCAGCAGCATCCAGCACTATCGGATTGACCATATATTGTTTTTCTACTGGATGCAATCCCTATATACCGGAAAACTTTATACCGGAAAATTTTGAAGATGACAGGAAACATATTCCTCATACTCGGTATTTTCTTGACGTTTGATAAATGGTTCTTTGTTTCTGGAGTTTATATAAGGAATCCCCACTGGATTCGAGCTAGGCCGCTAAAACCTCTAACTAAACCGCAACCGAATGTTAACCAAATTCCTCTCTTACATCCGGTGTTGACGAGTGAAAACAGTGGGAAGGTCGACAAGGCCACGCCCTCAGGGGGCGTTCGTTGTGGAACTCCGTTGGCCGGAAGTGATGATCCCTTTGGATTGGTGGAAACCAATATACAGCGGCTGAATCGGGCGAATGACGGGACCGATCGGGTTTTAATTAACGGGAAAAACGCTGATAAGATTCTCGGAGGAACGGTCGCGCCACCGTCAACAATATGTTGGCAGGTATATATCTTCGTTATTTTATTACCCTACTTAAAAGGTACCTTATGTATTGCCGATATTATTTCATAATTCTCCCAAACTTACAACAATAATTTTGTTATTATAGGAACTCTATGAAAAAACATTTTTAGCAAACGAACTTTTATGTGGATTGTATAGGCTAAACTATCAAGAGATGGATCTTTTATCTGCGGCGGATCGGTGATTGGAAAGCGGTCGATTCTGACCGCCAGCCATTGTGTTGTGCGATATTAGTAAGTATAGTGATCAATCGAGTGATCAGAATTAATTATACATATTATACGAGGAAATAGCTATTGTCACCCCCCTGCACCCCCTTTTGACTATTCTCACCCCCTCGCACCCCCTTTGGACTACTGTCACCCCCTTTATTTTAATAAAATAAACACCCCCTTTGACTATTGTCACTCCTTACAACACGCCCTTTTGGCTATTGCCACCACCTCTCAATTTATTCTTATAATTTTTCCACCAGCGGTTCTTTTCCAACTCTGTTTCTGCCATCACCGGCAGGCCCAGGAGAATCGAAAGGCGCCAAGCGAAGGTTACTGACACTTAATACATCGCTAAGATGCGGCGTCATTTTTTTTAATATTAAACTTAAGGCCATGGCTATTTTGGCTTTAATGCTAAAATGGCATTTTCCCTAAAAAGTCATACATACTAAATGAAGACTGCTCTGTTAATCGGAAGAAAGTTCAAACCTGTAACATCAGTAGACTTCGAAATATGAATTTTTAAAGTATGCGACCTAAAGTGGTCGACGCTGCACCTAATGACTGCCTTGGCTAACCATTACGTTAGTGATTGCAAGCTAGCGAAGATGTGATATAAAGTCAATGGAAGCATAAATTTGCAATCTACATCTTCTGTCATACCGAGCCATAAAACGTCGCCGGACAGCGGTAGAATGAAAGCAAACACAGAAAGACAATAGACTTTGTCCACACGCAAGTGTGGCTAAAGCAGACACTCGGCTGTCTGGATAGTCTATGTGGCGGGATACATGTGGTGAGTGGAATCAGCCAACATGTGCACAGGAGACATAAACTTGCATGAACTATCGAAAGGTGCCGCTAAAAATGCAGACAAATAACTTTGAAAATTAACTTCTAATTTCGGAGTTATAAGACTTTTTTGAAACTCAGGCAATAGATGGGAGAACATCTCAAAAGCTTAATTGCGAGAGCGAATTTAAAAATATTCGGTTTCACTGGAGTTATAACGATAACCAGCATTTGTAAAAGTGTTTTTTAAAGGCGGCAAATTTAAAAATTTGTTTTTCCAAAAAAGCCCTCGCAAGGTGCAAGAGGACTATGTTCTGGATTTTGTGGTTGCTTACATGGAATTTTCCCACTAGCGTGTGTAGACTAGTTAATTTTTTAGGGGAATTATCTTATTTCAAATTTTAAACTACATCGTTTAAGTTGCGTTTGGGCTAGTTCGTACTGATTTTTTCTTATTTTCCACTGGATACGTATATAGACCTAAATGCTACGTACGTTTCGAAACAAAAGGTAAAACTGCTCACTTCGTAACGATTAAAGCCAAAATAGCCATGGCCTTAACAGCTTCAAGGGTTTTTTTCTGATGAGCTCCGCAGCGAATGCGATCGCAAAAAGTCCACAATTATGACCATCCCTTTGATCCTGTATGCACGGAAAGAAAACTTCGGTGTACTCGCTTCCGATTGATCTCAACACTTTCTTAATCACTGGTGCCGACGCCGGTGGTACAATTATAAACAAACGGCTGCCCCTCTTTCCGCGCTAACAGCACTCAGTGGTCGTTGGCACCTCTTTGTAAGTACCTTTCCGGTAGTTTACAGTCTTACTTAAGTTAGCTGAAAGGCCAAGCTAGCAACAACGTATTTTTATAAGAAATGGCCAAAGAGTGGCAGTAGTCAAAGGGGGTGAGAAAGGTGGTGACTATAGCCTAAAGGGGTGTTCACTTTATTTAAAAAAAGGGGGTGACAATAGTCAAACGGGGGTGCAAGGGGGTGACAAAAGCCAAAAAGGGGTGCGAGGGGGTGACAATAGTCGCACCCATTATACGAAGAATATTGAGAACTAGTTTCCAGTTAAAGTTTCGAAACGGAAATTATAATTTGCATACGCATATCTGTAAACGTTATAATTAGTATATGAACGTTTACAGCGATGTTATTCCCCGTGATGCAAATCGCTTCCGTGTGACGGTGGGCGCGGCACTAAGCCACACGGACACGGTGAACAAAGTGACCGATAACAGTCGCTGCGCGCAGACCATCCAAGTAGCCAGCATCCAGACCAACTTGAACTACAGTCCCACCACACAGCAGAACGATATCGCCATTCTGACGCTCGAGGAAGATATCGACTTCACTTCCGGTTGCGTATGCCCCATTTGTCTTGAGTACCATGACCCGGAAGTGGGCGAAATCTGCTCCGTTAGTGGGTATAAAACATTCTTTTCTTAAGTACATGTCTGTTCTCTACAGTTTCTTTAGTAAAACTGTATTTCGCAATAGTGTACATGGTGGCTATTAAGAATTTTACTTTTCTAGATACGGTCTGGAGAAAGAAGGCCAAAAAGGTAATAACAAAAATGCAACGTGTTTTCCCATAAAGTAAAATATTCCCATAAATTAAAAGCAACTGGTCGAAATTCAAAAATCTGGTGAATATTTTTTTACGAGCGTGCCGGTACTGGTAGCGTAGATGTTGGTATATTACTGCAGGTGGACCACCTCGTACTCTGAAGTATGTCCAACTCAACGTCATGGACCCTAACGCCACTACGAACTGCTACATCGACAACGAGCGGAACCTTCCGTATGATTTTCAGCGAATAATCTGTGCTGGAGACACTGTGGGGAAAGACACTTGCCAAGGAGACAGTGGAGGTAATTAGGAACGTAGGCTTTTAAGCTTCGCTAGTTTGTGGTTATCAGCTAAGCAGCCCAAGAAAAGCACATCAAAACGGCCGCACATGTTCGCGTCGATTAAACGTATTAAACGATTAAACGCGTCGATTAAACGCGTCGATTAAACGATTAAACGTATTTCAGGACCCTTTGTTTGCTTTGACCCGGAAAAGCGCGTACATTACCAAGCCGGAATAGTGTCGTATGGACTGGGATGTGGCAGAGGTCCGTGCTGGTACAACCAGTAATACGTAGATGTGGACAATGCTTATTAATTTTTTACTGGTACATTACTAATAAAAATATATGTAAAAGCAGATATTAAGCCATATATTGCCGCCAGTTGTGTGTAGGTATAAGTATCTGTAGTGACAGTCTGTGCATGTTGAATACAGGAGTCGGTGGAATATACACAAGAGTATCGGAGCAATTGGATTGGATCAATTCTAATACCGGCAGCGATGTTTTGCTGACATCGCCTTAGCGGGTGTGCATAAAATTTTATTCACTGCATTATCACGTATGTGGCGATCTCTGAGATTTATTTTAAAGAGAAAAGCTGTTTGTAAGGCAAAAGCGCTTTGCTTGTGTAAAAAAACTGTTTGCACCGAAAAAAAATTGTGCCTAAATTACGCTTACCGTAAATTGCATGTTTGCTTAGCAGGATGATGTACGGTATTTGTGTGACATCTGGTTTTGTGGCTGACTCAAGAAATAAACATTTAAGGCTATATATAATGCCTTTGCAGTTTGTCTGACAATTTTTACGTGTCTCAGTTCGTGCAGGATGATTTTTGCTCATCAAGTACGTGGCGCATCAAAGTCAGAAAAACGCTACATAACGACATATAAATATGTTCGACACAGCTGTGCACTTAGCGACATTTACGGTAATAATTCTGGTATCGCCCTTTATACCGGCGGACCGCGGTTTATGAGTATTTTGCCATACATACGAGTACAAGGAAATATTGTCTCCTCAAAGAAAATCAGCGTCGGTCAAATTTCACTGCAACATTGATTTAATAAAGCTAGCAACAACTGAATACCGCAGTCGGTAAAATTGCCAGAATGTATCGTGTTATTTCACTTGGTGTGGCTTATATTAGGTTTTGTCTTTGCATTTTATTATTTGTCCAGGAAGCATTAAGCCAACAAGGTAGCCCAACCAATGCATTTGGCAATCCGCCTGGTTCGGCGCCTTTTTTCTTGGATCAGCCGCAGACCAGGATCCGCTCGCAGATAACGCAAAATGACCCCAACCGGCTTTTGTCCATCCGGGATGTTCCCTGTGGTGTGCCCCGTACCGGCTCCGATGACCCCTTTCGTCTGATCGATGCCAATTACAATCCGCGCGGCACTTCCGATATTCCGTTTTTAGGCCGTACTGTGTTCCGGTTGGTTAACGGATCGGCAGTGGAGGTGAAAATCAAAGATGATATGCGCATCAGAAGCGGTCAAAGTTGCTGGCAGGTATGTAGCAATCTGTGTGATATACGTAGCAAAATGCCGCACAGATAGCGAATGATTTAACCAGTATTTAAAATTAATGAGAAACGCGCAGACTTTTTAAAGCGCTTCTAACGTGGTAAACTTTTGCAGTAACACATGATACACGCTTTTGGTGGGGAACAGTAACCGTCAATCTTCGCAGTGCTAATTTGCTCTGTAATCGAAGCCAGTTTTTGTACTTAGCCAAAAGTAGTAATAACCGATTTTGATAGCATCACATGTGTAAGTTGTATTATTTTAATCATACGTTGCGTTATGAGGATCTACTTTCCTTGATTAATTTAGGCTGAAGTTGTGCGCGATGGCAAAATAGTTTGCGGAGGATCTTTGGTAGGAAGTCACACCGTGCTGACCACAAGTAGCTGCGTGATCGATTTGGGGTAAGAGTACAATTACCTACATTACTGCAGTTACATAGTACACCACTCGTTTACGATATTATATATTCATTTATGCTACTGGCCGTTAATTATATGAACATATGTAGTCGTATTTTAATTGTCCTTGAATGGTTGGGTGGTCAACGCAGCAACAGGACCGGCGGAATGCGTCTGTTCGAAGCACGCCGCTTCCAGGTGACCTTGGGATCTGTTCAACTTAACGATGATGACGGGTCCAGTGCCGGCTTGTCAGCGTCATGTATTCAACGCTTTCAAGTGATGCTCATTACCAGCCATGGGATGTTCAATCCGGAAACAAATGAGAACGATATTGCCGTGTTGAAGCTGGACAGGGATGTGGACTTCACCCGGCCATGTATATGTCCGCTGTGCTTGTCGTCTGATCTGCCAGATTTCACTGAAGTTTGTGCGGTAACTGGGTAAATCCGATAATCAATTCATTTCCTGCAAAATAGCTTTGCTGTTTCATGCAACGGGCCCACATATCATATTAACTTTTTTACTGAACTTGATTGCGACACGGTACACGAATTGTCCTATTGGCGTGAGATACATAATTTTGATTAAAATGCGTAGTAATCAATATTCCATGTAAACTGGGCTTCACACCATATATACTGTAGTGTTGACTGTACTGCTATGCTGTATAATAACGCATTTTAAGCCCTTTAAAAATATATTTAGGTTTGGCCTTAATCGCGAGGTAAATCCCGACACGGACAACAGCTTGAAAATGTCGCATATCAGCATCCTCTTCCTCCGCCAAACCAATCCCCGGTGTGGAATACGAACCGGAAGCCATAACAGCACCGCGCCAGATGTTAATAACTTGCTATGTGGAGAAATTCTCCCGGATGAGCAGCCATGCCAAGGGGACACTGGAGGTGAGTTGTGCTGTATATTCAAACCATTAATTAAATGGAAAAGCTATGTGTCTACAATTGATTTGTGCGTTTAGGCGCGCTCATTTGTTTCGATGCGGAAACACGTAGCCACTATCAAGCCGGTATTATCTCCTACGGATTTGGTTGCAAAACAGGTACTAGTACTCGTATAGATCCAGCCTTTCTTGAATGTAAAATATAGATATGAGCATAATTAATTATAAATTAAGTGCATTAGTTTTGTCATATTTGCATCAAGTAGTTTAAACAAGATTTTTTCTCGTCGCTACACTGGTAACATATTCCGAATTGGGCGTGGTAACACACGGTTTGTTTTGGCTACAGTTCTTTCGCGTTCTAACTGGGACCGCTTCCCCAATTGATCTTGTTGACAGTATTTTAGTGACGTTGTCCACTTACCACTATACGCAGGCTGAATTAATCGTAAGTTAAGCATATCCCGAAAAAAACTTTAATAATTTTTCGTGCAGGAAGCATTCCTGTGGGGGTTGTCACACGTATACAACCGTATCTCCAGTGGATTCACGAGTTTTCCCAGGGAGATGCTGGCGTACAACCACCTACGCCGGATGTCAGGCGCATCAAGTTCAAAATTTGGCGCCAAGATAATTCAACGCAGTAATTTAATGCTCACGAATTCAGATATACTTATTCATGTGCATAAAACACGTAGCACATTTCCATGCCTAGTCATACAATACATGCAATAATGGCCTGTTTTAATGTTTTTAAACTTTCACAGTAAAACACCCTGTAGTTCGGAAAGTAAAACCCAATAGAACGCTGAGCGTTGCTTGGAGCAAAGTTTAAAATACCCTCCAGCATTTATTGTATAATTAATGTGCATATCAAGGAAAAGAATCTGTATTGCAGTTGAAAACCCCGTACGATCTGGTCAGAACAAACCAAACAACTAAGTAATCGAAAAACTGCTAACGCCATTCGATTCAGCAAACTGTGTCACATGCATGCATTTTGGTTTAGAAATTATCCGCTCCGGATCCCGTGCACAGATTCCGCTTGCCGGTAGAGCTGAAAGCTCAAGGTGACCTTGAAAAAAATATCAGAGTCCGGTTGCATGGAGCAAAAAATCAGTAATTTTAAAATTGGTCCTACAGATACACTTACCGTACTTAGATCAGCAAATTAAAAAGATTTAAAGTTTTACTTCTAAAATAGCCAGTTAACAGTTAACACAGGGTGCTGCTAGTGAATAGCTTCATTTCAGTAACTCGTACAACTCAAAGCGCTCAGAAACATGACTTATAAGAGCGCTTGTTAAAAGCCATTTGAAGGCAGCTATAGAAGAAACTGCAAAGTAATCGTTCAAACGGGCTGACCTTTCATTATAGTCCGAGCAAAGCCAAGACAGTGGTCAACCAACATACACGGAATAATTTAGTTTTTTCAGATCAGAAGATGCCAAACCAATTGTACTGCCCAGATCTGGAAATTTGAATTCCCTACAAAAAACACCATAAAAAAAGGCGTCGTCGTGGGGTGCTCGCATTGAAACAACCATATATAGAAAAAATTGGTTGATTCCATAATTACAGCGTATACCACGTAAACTGACTCAAATAAAAGTTTAGGAAAATAAAACGTGCTTCGTACAACAACTACCGTTCCTAATAAATGGGTATTAGTCTGGAGACCGCGGCCGCTGCGGTCGCGGGGGTGCGCATGAGCGAGTGACCGAACTATCGCTGCTATTTAATGTACTAGTGACCAAATTAACAGTATGTAATTACTGATTACTAGTAACTGAGTGACCAAATTATTAGCCCGACGGGTGACCAATTAACAAGCACTTCTGCTCACTGCTCATGGTGACTGACCAAATTTCTAGGCCGCAGTTAATCCAACAAGCGCCACCACTTTAGATAAGGCAAACATAATTCCGTCGCTATAAATACATGTACATCCCATCCGGCATTCCCACGGTCCGCACTTGTAACCTTGCCATCGCAAAAATTCCCATGGTTTTATTAAATGGCTATTGCTAACCTTAGTTACGTCCAGCAATGGTTAGGCCGTACTTTCTGCTGGTTTCGACTGTAACAATACTGTTTGCGGGAGGAGATCGTGGCGTAACGGATGGCAAAGCCACCATGTCTACTGGCGCCGGTAACGCGTCTGAAAACAACCTTAGGGCTACTCCTTCCGCCGCCAGCGTCGACGTCAGCGTTATTTACAGCAGCGCACCCAGTACGGACGCTAACGCGGTTAATAGCAGTATTTCGGAAGGACCAACCTCCAGGGAACTTTCTCCAGCGACCTCCAGGGCCGCCAGACCGTGCGGTCACCAGCGCCGGCATCGTTCCGGGAGACTATGTCGTAGCCTCACCCGGTCGATCAGCCGACGGTGGCGGTATATACGAATCAGCCCGTCGCGCTGTCTCCGCAAATGGTTGTCCGACCACTCGCACCGATTTCGGCACCGGCTTTTTATTAATTAAGCGAATTTCACGCTTTTAAGTAAACCTAATTGTGATGTGGTTAGCGCTCTGTAGAATATCTTTAGCATATGAGAGACAAATATTTACTGGAATCAGAATCTGTTTTTTTTTGCTGCAAAACTGAAATTACTGCACAATCATGAACACCATGAACATCTCCGCGGATCCGTACGCCGATCTTCCCTACTACACGACATGGGTTGAATTAATCACGTTCCCCTGTTGACAATTCTGTCCACTGTTGGAAATTTTGCGATCTGGATAAATGTAATGCGAAGCGGAATATTACGCTCAATGGTTGCTTCCGGCATAATTATCTTGTTAGTAAGTAAACGCACATGCCCAGCACTGCCTCTCCGTAATATTGTCGTCTCATTAAAAGGTACCTTTTCCAGACGGCCGGAATTACCTATTTTCGGCGTAAACTATGCGATTGCGTTCGAACATCGCATTAACTGTCATTTCGCTTTAACCGGATTCTTCCAGATCTTTTATGCGTTTTACAAATTGGGAAACTGCACCTTCATTTTGCCTATTGGTAATTATTGACATTATTGACAAGCGTAAAAATGTATCTATATGAAGTATTATAATTAACTTCTGTGGACTGTGGTCGTTAAACTACTACATTACGTTTATTAGGCTACTGGTAGGTAGGATTGGAAGTATTCTGTGCACGGAGGAAAAGGTCATGACATCGGCATCCCGCTGACCTCGGTAACTGCTTTCTTATTATTAATGCTGTCAGCATTGCTATTAGCGGACAACATTATAGGCTTTTGCTTCCGTCTGGCTTTGGAAAGGACTGGACGGGTAGTTGTCGTTCCAGGGTGATTGGAATATTGGGATGAAATTGAAGCCAATTGCAACACAATGGTGCACGCAAGACAAATCGCAAATATCCAGAAATTTTGCCTGTGTTTGTTATCGTAAACGAATCACCGTAACTTGTGTAACAATATTTCTGTCTTTTATTGGTAATCCGGAAAGTGTAACTTTTGCAGGTTGTCAGGATATTCTTCCGCTATGGAGCCGTAATCGCGGATTCGCGGTGACCGTCGGGCTAGTTGTATCCAAACGTGTTTTACCGGTACCTCCGAGTTCCGACAACAACGAAAGCACCAGATCCATCCATAATGGATGCTTTTTGAACAGCGGACTAGAGTTGTCGACCGAAGCAAAGCGAAGGTCCTCTATGTTCAAACAAACGGGACTTTTTGTCGGTCATGTCGGTCACGCATAATTCTGTCCGTCGGTCACGCACGAACAAATTAAAAGTTACCACGTAGCATAGCGAAGTATGTACATAATAACGACAAATTACACAGCATCTGAATTATTTTACGCCGAGACCTACAGGGGCTCATGCTAACCATTCGTTTTCTAGGGAGCCTCTCCGACTCTTTTGGGTCAAATAATATCTAAACTATCGCAATAAAATTTGCAAGTCTTTTCACGCCCGTTTTTATATCCACCCCTTTTTCGCACCCTGTTTTTACGGCATAAGTAACTTTTTTTGTTGGCATTTAATTAGATATGCATTCCGCTGTTGATTTTTACAGCCACCCGTTTTTTTAACTCTTTAAAAAATTTATGATAAGTTTTCCTGCATTTGGAGGCAATAATAGTGATATTCATAGACCTTTTCAGTAGGAGAAATTATCATTTCAATAACAACGTATGGGTTTCCGAAACAGATTTCGCTTTGCTCGTGATTTGCATTCTTTAGCTTTGCTCTCTCGGTCAGTTACTTCCGCTCTGATGCGAATGTTGGTGATATCGTTAACTGTGACAGTTTCCTCCGTCTTTCCTCAGCGAGCGGGTGGTAGTAGGTTGTGACCAGCATCTTTGTCGCTTATCCTTAGGGCTATAGCACTATTACAGCCAAAAATTCTGGTGGGCGGTGTCCGTGGGACACACAGAGATTCAATGCGGAAGAAGTGCTTTCTGCACCTGAGCGATCACGAGCGACTACGACCACTTTTTTCACCGTATGTAAACGCACATACGTATTATAGGTACAACACTGTTCCCTGAAACGACTATTATCGAGCTGATCAAAAACGCACTTAACTGCAAAAGGGGTGACTATAAAAATTTAAGGTGCCTGAAAACAAATTAAAAAATTATTATAAAAAGAATGCTCATAATTAACGGAGTGCGGAAAAGGGTGGCTGTAAAAAACGGGGGTGTTACGGGTGGCTATAGTGTCACCCTTTCTTTTTTGCTGGCATTTTCTTCTTTGTTTTTCTAATCGATGTTGGTGTCCTAAGTGCGCCGTTCGTTCACAATTTTTAAATTACCTTATCTGAAGTACGTATTAACTAAACCAGATAAAGTTGCAAATAAAATCGACAACTATGTACAAGTAATTATTTACCTATATTTTGGCGCTTCGCTTCGGTCTTTTAGTGCCAGCCTATAGCGGTGCACTTCCCTAGTATATTGTTACTCAACTACCAACGGTGGTCCACACCGCCCTCGATCTGCTGCACTGCCGGGAGTGCATATTCAGTTCGGTGCTGCGGATCAGCATTTTTCGGTTGAGCTACATTATCAGCTATGCAACAACTACGCATTTATTTTCTTTCTCCGTGTTTTGTTTTGTGTTTTGTCCTATGTTTCGGTTTTTACTGTTTGGCCGGCCACATAAGGCTTCGACGGATAAGGTGTCGTGCTATAAAAGTATTCGATGGTGAATTATCCGACTTGTGAATTACAGTACTCATTGTCAACATCCTTTGTTCAGTACCACAAGACCTGATTATGGCACAGCATTTGTTCGAATTAGCCCTATGAACAACAACAAACTCCATTAAAGCTTACAACAAAATCCAAATTGTAAAAAAGGGACTTCGCCACGGGGGGCAATCGTTATATCCTCAACCTTTAGAAGCGCCCTTTCCATTACTGGCCTGCAACATTTTAGCCCCTGCCGGCTGCCTGTACTGCGCTTCTAAGTGCTCAATCGTCAGCCGACGCACCTCCTTCAATACTGCGTTTATGACACTGGGGATGTTGCTGTCAATGATATGTTTCCAAATTGTAATTTCCTTAGCAGGAGCCTTCAGACTTTCTTTAAAGAAGAGTTTTCCGTGCAGATTCCACATGGCAAATCCGTATACACCTGCACGTAAAAACCTATCACAAATTTAATTTTTTTTAGGCTTGATTAGAATCAAACTTATTGACAAAGCCGCACTGGACGGAGCTGTACAGAGTAGTTAAAGTCCTGTAGTGTATTAACTCTTGTGGCTTGGTTTCTCTCAAAATTATAGCGATGTAAATACTTACCTCATCGCCAGAAACGGTTCTGACTGTTTTCCGGATTTAAAGTATGACGAAAAGATGTGCTAAGAGTGCTAAGAGTGCTAAGTTGCTAATACGAGTATATAGTAGCATAGTGTAAGTAAGCCAAATGTCGGTCTGATTTACCATGGTGCGCTGAATCCGTCCAGTGCTTGATTGTCGTCATCTTAGTTTAGTTTCATTCGAAAGAGCAATGCTTTCAAGTTTTAACACAGGAAATTTTAAGTCAAACCAAGATTATCTTAAGATTGAACTTTTTTAAAATTATTTTAAAAGACTGGGTATACCGATTCTAGGATGTCCTGGAAGCGGGAATTTGAAATTACCCATTCCTACATTAAAAATTGCTGCTTTTCAGTTATCTCAAATTAGTGTTTCGGGTTCTTGCTTTCTACTGTAAGTTTTTTACTGCAAGTTTTTACAAATTCGTTTTTGTTTTTTACTGTAAGGAACAGCAATATTCTATCAACCCTGTTTGGCCAGTGCACGGAATAAAGAAAACTCCGCACGAATAATTCTCGTTCAATCCGCATGCAGGATTTTTGAAAGCAAATGTGTGATTAACGCTTTAAAGCTGAACTGTTTCAATCTTGTTCCTGCAAGAGCGATGGGTTAGCTACACCGAAATATCAAAGCGGCATTTGTTATTGCAACCTGTCATGCAGCGAAAAATTTTAACAAAAATTACCCATAAAAACCAAACAAAAAAACCGGCATTTTTTGGAAAAGCCACAAATTGCGCCGAGTGCATAACTCGCCCAGCGCAAGCAGCTTGACCCAAACTGCAACTGCTTTATTATAAAAATAAAAGGTATTTCTCTAAATAAAACAGTTGAAAATATTCGAAGCGTACATATGTGAAAGGAATACCACGAGATAACAATGTTTTGAAACCTGGGACACAAAACTTTTCACTCGATTTTAACTAGCAGCGTTGCAAACGAGCCCACCTGAATTTTTTCAAAAATGTTTTGTTGTTTTTACGAGCTAACAAAATTCTCTATCGAACGAGCCTAAATAGTTAATGGTGCGGCAACCGGCTCGTAAGAAAGAAACCAAAACGGTAGACTGACATTCTGTTCAGCCATTTAGTCAGAATAGCAGTTGGCCTGCGTCTCGAAGTATCTGTACCGATCATCACTCCACACCAAATGCTACTGCGGTGAATGGGTAAACTCACGAGGATACCACGGCCTCAATTACAAAAAAAACGCCGGGGCCGCAAGGCCAGACATAGCTGCCTTAATGTCACTTTAAAGCGCGGCTTCGCTTCGGCCGGTATTGAATCGGAACTGGAACCATCCGGCATTTGCCTAACTCATGGCAAGCGCCGGCCGGAGTGACATTGGCTTCGTGGAAAAAAGGAAAAACGGTGACGTAGCATAGTGCTAACATGTATGCACTGTAGTGTTGTCGCATATCGCGGCAACACCGAAACAAGCGGGAGCAGCCGCGGCGCGTGCAGAGCAGGACAAAGTGGCAATATATCGTGACATCACACCAAACTACATGTTCCGTGCAGTAGGAGTCGAAACGTACGGACCTTTGGAACCAGACCGGAACCTTTGGAGCCTCTCATGGTTACCGCGCTCAGGCAGATGATACGCCAGAAAACAGGCGAGATACGGGCTATCGAGTATCTGCGCCGCGGTCTTGCATCGAAATCCAATGTGGGAATGCGGGCGCTGTCACGGGAACAGCACCAGCATCGGCTAATCTGGATGAGATGTTCTGTATAATTAGACGGCCTGTTTCTGCTGTCGGCTGAGGCTGTGGAATCAGTTCTTACATTTTTACTGTGATTGAAAAATTGTGACTTTTGTATACCGCCATTGTGATATAAATTTGGACATAGTGCATCACTACGAGTAATCATCTTGCGACACTAAATTTCGTGTCGAGTTGTCAACCTTACCTACTGGTGACGCACGCCCGGACTTGAAGCACTCATCCAGTTGCTCCAAGAGCTGCGAAGCAGCTTTTTCTTGATCGTATTTCTTAAATTTCACTTCACAACACATTAGGATGAAACGCTCCTTTTCCAGGTTCGGAGGAACTACATAAATAAGCAGGTGCAATAAATAAACGCGATAGGGTCATTTTGCATCCCTACATGAACACAAATGTAAACAAAAATAAAATTCATGATCAAACAAACAAGTACTGCATAAGAACAGTACGAGCATAAGAACCCGTATCTATGTATGCATGACAGTTGTAATTACATGCAGAAACGCGAATAATGCATAAGATGATGTTGAACAATGAACGGATTGTAACAAATCTTTTTGTTTGCATAAATATCTGTGGATCCATGATGCTAATAAATTTATTAAATCGCTGACGCGCATTTCCTAAATATTCAAGCACGAACACGTTCAAATTCACACGAGTTACAAAGCGTCAAGAGCCCTCAATTATGCGATCCATATATCTGCTTACAAATTCATGATGCTAAAGTGTTGAAGGGAATAAGCTCACGGCACTTTTAAAACTTCAGTACAGTACCAACATGAAACCGAAGTGAACGAATTATCTGTACTTAATGTCGGACTTATTTCAATTCGTACCACTGTACCAGTAGCGTGCTAAATGCTAATCAGCTGTACCCTACGTACAGGGAAACATAGAAATGAAGTGATACGCGTAATTATGCGCGGCGCCGGGTATTTGAAACGTTTGCGATGTTTCAACTAAATTTACAGTTTTAAGAAACAGCTTTTATTTACACTAAACTAATTAAAGCGGATGAATGTTGTCTAAGCGGTTCACTATGTGTGACTACCTGTTCTGACCAGCTCACCACGAACGTAGCCGGGTACATGGTACCAACTTCGTGTGCGTGCACGAAAACTTCACTTTCGCACACTCCTAAACACTTCTGTGTTTTGTTTTATGACATTCTGTAGACAGATGATTCGTACACATAAGCGTGAAAACCGTTTGTGCGCGCAACATCCGGTTCGGGAGTTATGGCTGCAAGAAAGTACGTTCCCAAAAGTTTAAATGCATTCAGGTGTACGAAATTTCTCATTATGGACCGATCTCTTTAAATTTTGCATATAAAGCACGTAAGTATGAAGATCGTTTTTTATCGTACCAATGTTAAAAGATTTTCATAAATTTCAAACTGAATTTCAAAAATTTTAATGTTAATTTTAAAATTTGAATGTCGCTGTTCTTCAATTTTTTTGTTACAAGTTTGGGCCTGTTTGGCCGACAGTTATTGGCTTATTGCAAACGGTTATTCTAATTTGTTTTAGCATTGAGAGGACAGCAATGACAGGATTAGTGCATACTGCCTACTATCGAAAGCCTGTACGTTTTAGAAATTAAGGGAAATAGCTCGGTACATGGTGTCAAAAATGGGATACATACACTAAAACTTCCGCTTCCGCGCACTCCGATTCACTTTTCCGTAATACTTTATGTCATTCTAAACCTAAATAATTTGTATACATTGTTCTGGAAACCGTTTGCGCGCGTAATATCCGAGTTGCCGACATGTGGCGTACTAAAACGGGTGAAAAGTTTAAATGCACTGCTGTGCACCAAAAGCCTGGTTATTGCCCGATCTTCTTGGAACTTTGCTATGAAAGACACATGGTATAGCATTTTTTTCCGATTTTAAAATAAATTTCAAAAATTTAAAAATTCATTTTACAATTATTGATATCCCATGGTCGAATACGGATCGGATATTTAAATAACTGTCTTATCGCATTCAGATTTCAAATTCGAATCCGATGCCCATCTCTACTGCACGGAAAACGCAATCACTTGTAAAGTACTGCGTGACATCTCTGTATTGTATTACTTATCAGTCTTCACGGTACTGGTGTTACACATTCGATACATTAAACTTCTTAAAAGAATGCTAATCCACGCGAGACCTGCTTTGCACGACAAAGAAACTGTACACCTAAGTAGTGTATGCGCTAGTTTATTTGTGCAGTTCTAACCTGGCCCTTCTTTGGCCGCCATTTCGATCAAGCTATCCGGAATTTTCCTCTTGTTCTTCGCCGCAGAGGATATTACGCCTTGGGGCGTATCGTGAAGTCCTTTGGGCACAGTGAACTGCAGCAGCAACATTAGAAACTCGTACAATTTCGCTTCGAATCTAATTTCTTCCTCCTTTGCGTTGTCGAAAAACTTGAAGAGATCCATCAGGTGTGCGTAGTCGGCATTGCACAATTCGCACGTTCCGTTGGACGGGCGGGTGACTCCCTTTGAGGTTGGCAGCTTGTGCAAGTACCTTGCACTTATCTGCAGTGGCGAAACCGGACAAGAGAGGAACTTTCCACCAGTCATCGAAGCCTCGACCATCCAGCTTCCGACTAGATTGCTCTTGACTTTTTGGTTCTTCAGAGCCGCCTTCACAACCTCCCCACTGCATTGACACAAAACTTTGAACAATACATGTACAGTAAATTTAAACGGTCCAATCGATCAACAGCTTTTTATAAATTTTAGTACATTGCACATTTTATTCACCGCACGATGCCTTAAGTAAAGAGTAAGGTGAAAAAAACATAAACTATCCCGAATTATACTTCGCATACTACGGTATTTGTATTAAAAAAATACGGCGAAGGAAAGACTTACTCATCGCATAACAAAAATTAGCATATGAGATTAACATTCTAGTACGCAGGATAGTTAAAACTGAAGCGCGACATGCAGACTGCTTACCATTAATAATTTTATTCAAACACATTTTTCTATCTTGCGATCTTACTGACCAGTGAGTGTTTATGTATTCCGTCCGCTGGTCCGGCCTCACAGTATGTGCTAAAAATTCAATCAGTATATAAGTACGATGCAAATAATTAAATTTAGATTGCAATAATTATTAATAGTGATGAACTGGAATCCAAATGCAGTACTAAAGGAGTCGAAGGAATCGCATACCAAAGCTATGGTTTGTTATGAAATGACGATATTCGTTCGTTTTCTGTCTGCTCGGAGAGTGAGCAACTTACATTGCATCTCGTAGATGACACCTGTCTGGGCCAGTTTCCGCGACTGTGATTCGCGGCCTGTTTCAATCGTCCTGTGTTGCTCTTGAGGCAGTTTCTCTGGACAACTTTGACTAACGGAAGAAGAGCTTTGGGCAGGCAGGGGAGGACGCCCAGGCTCATTGATTGTGTTCTGACTACCGTGCCTCTGCTTCGATTGATCGGATGCAGCACCATGTCGTCCCGGGGTGTTAGAAGGGGCGAATCTGCGGATAAAATGAATTCATGCTTACGAGTTACGTTTACGAAAACTAAACGAAGCGGAGCGTTCCTGGACATGTGAACTGCACACTGTAAGCGGACCAACCAACCTTGCTGCACACACTGCTTTTAGGGACTGAGAAGCAACTGCTCGATTTACGGAGTACATTTTTCAAACAGCCCTTAAAGATTCACAAACAGACTGAAATTAAAATATTAAACCTCTTAACACGAATTTAAGCAAAACTGATTAACTTAAGCTGATTCTGTCAGAAAAGCAAAACTGATTGTTTTGCGGAATGTCGAGAGTGTACAGTACTTGTGTAGTTGTATTATTATCAATAATAATACAAACACGGTAAAAATTAAAAACTGAAAAGTAAACCGGAAAATTTTGCCGTTAGAAGCGCAGGCAACTGCCGACATTGGGTGAAGTAACGCCGCCCGGCGCCGACACATAGGCTGATTTGCGCGCGCTTTGTATTATTTGTAACCGTCAGTAATACCGTCTACATCTGCCGCCCTGGCCGGTGAGCCGGTAAGCACTGCTGTACAAGACCAGGCGACTGACCGCTTGACCGGTCTATTTTCTAGTTATATGTTACTATAAGAAAAAATACATAACTGCATTTCATGAAACGACAAAAACATTCTCAGAATCGTAGGACCGCTGCGTAACGAAATTATTGATTTAACGAATTTAACATTAAAAATTTGCGCTAGTCATCGCATTGTCTACTTATCGCTTATTCTGCAGTGCCTTTGTTTCGCTAATTCGGCTGTTAATCCCATATTTATATATGCCATATTAAGTGAAAATTTTAAGCAGAGCTACGCTAAAGCCTGTTATCGCAGTACGAAAAACAAATCCGACGCACTGGGCACACCGAATCTGATGCTACCGCGGGAATCCAGTAATCGGCCCGACTGCTTATTACTGCTCCAACTATAAATTGTCACAACAAAAACTTCTCTCCGCCGGAATACGACAAACGCCCCAATCTCTGTCTAGATGTAACATGCAGCACTCACCGATGCCATCAACGCCTAACACGAGCAGCACCAAGTGCGGCCCGACGACCAGTGTGGCGCCGGTCAAAACCGATGTCGACCGTGTGTGCACGATAGTGACGCAGCCGCAAGTCATTAAGGGCGAGGTCATCGCGTCCTTTCAGATAACCGCCGGGGCGCCGCTGATGCGCTACCAGGAACCGATGGTCACCCGCAAAACTGTGATGACCACGTTTGAATTAATGTCATGATCACCAGAATCCACTGGCTCCAACATGTTGCTTAATATAAACCCAGCTGTCACTAAGCACAATAACTCGCACTATTGTTTACGCTCCCATATGTCGCTTGGCTAAATGACTTTCTCATTGTTGTCACGGTGGAATATTGTCGTGTCATATTGTTACGAATAAGCGAGTATAATACGAAGCATTCTAGTTTTCAGTTAATTAAATTAATGAACGTCATATCTGGTTTGGCGACATGCAATGCAGTACCACTAGTTTTTCTTAAATTACTCTATGCTTATTTTTATTGTTAGTGCTGTTTTCTCTACAATTTGTACTGGCAGCTGTTCACTGTTGCGGTAGTAAGACTGGACGGGATGCCATTGCCTAAGCGGCCATACAATTATAACGCTTTTAATTCACGTTCAAGCATCTTTAATAAATGACGCTTCAAATCGGGTTTTCAGGATTCGAATACTAAATTAGCACAAGACATACTCGCTGCGATTTCGAAAAGCTTTATGCGAATTCTGGCATAGTTTCCGCATAACCGAATCATTTATGGAACTACGTACTGTACTCTATATAATATTTTACGAGTACGAGCGCGTTTCTATAAAATTGACCGACTATCATGTCGTGCTCCGCTTCACTTGAATTTAGTGCGATGCTCTCTTCGGCTCTTCACGCTTCGAGCACTGCTTAAAATGAAGCTCTATCAATCGTGAAGGTTGCTGTAAATGAGAATAGTAGTTTTAATAATCGTATTACTTAAAATTTTCAGTAAGCAGCATACATTTATATCTATGTACGGCGACGATAGTTCAAAATACGCTTCGGCTACGAAAAACGGATGTGCTAAGTGCTGTACTTTCATGTACGTTTTCCAGATGGGGGGTACTACGTTGCCCATTGAAAATAAAGGCAATTCAAATTAACAATTCCGCAATCTGCGATTTTAACAATTTAAGCTTGATCATGATGGGTGTATAAGCGGAAGGGTCTACGGCAGAAGCGGTTTACCTGTCTCGAAAATGTGTCTGGGAACCACTTGAGTCGCTCGTCATTTTCGATTTTTGTCGCCGAAAAGCAGGCAGCATTTGCATTCTGTCGAACGCAGTGCTTTCTTTGACTGATTTATCCGAAGAATTTTCTCTGTCTCGCAAATCGCAGGTTTGTCATGTTTGAATGTTGAAAATTTCCTGACCATGAGAGAGGTGCGTCTCCGTTAGGTCCTGTTTTGGTTTGGGTCAATGACTGAGAATTTTTTCGCGCCAAATTTGTAGTCATTGTTCACTAACAGCGAAAAAATATTTAATTTTTAACTGAATTATCAAATTTCATAATGCATACCTAATTTGGTGGCCTCACCATATACATAGAAGCCGAAAAAGATAACATTTTTGGCACCAACTCACTATGTCCGCACTAAAAACGTCTTTGAGTTTGTGGTTTAAAGGTTACTTGAAAGTTGAAACCCTACCCAAAGTGTAAAATTCTTTCATTCAGATCACAAATTTACAATTTTGTTGATTAACACACGGCGTTGGTTTCCGTCAGCATAGGCCGGGCGCTCCTTGTCCATCCAGGAAAGATAGTCCGCCGCCGCTCATATTCCACCGCTTAATGACGCCTAAGCGCTGAGCAATTCTGCAACGATGCCTAATACCACGCTATAGCGAACTTATTTGTTCAGCACCAGAAAATAGTTCCTGGTGTACTTTATTCAAGAAAAGGAATGAAGGCGTACGTTCTAGCTGCAGCCGATATCGACGTGGTCGTCGAAGCGAATTAAATGGGCGTACCTAGTACGGACTACGGTAGGCGTTCTGGTAGAGTATTAATACCGTGGGCCACAGCATCAGCCAGACAATTTACAGGACACATTGCAGGTTTTTATCAGATATGTGCTATCCAGAGCTGGTCCGATAAGTCATCGGAGGCCACCGATATGTCCGATAACTCCGATAATTCCGATGTTTTCATCGGAAAAAGCGGTATCGGAAAAATTCTGTATCGTATCGTAGCGGATCGGAAAATCTGTTTATCGGGCGGAGCGACAAAATCTTTAGCGTAGCGGGATTTTCACCCGATAAGCACGAAAAAATGATTATTTTAACATTTTTGGACTCAGTTTTTAAAGAAAAAGTGAATTAGAACGTTAATTTTTAGGCTGATGCCTTACTAAAAACCGCTAAGAAATCGTAGAAACGCAATTTCAGCCAATAGACTACCGGTGATTTTAAAAAAAATCGTAAATTCGGTTTTTCGGTATGCTCCGGTGAATGCCGCGGCCAGTGCGAATTTTTACTTAAAAATTTTTTTTTATCGGAATATCGGATTTATTGTATCGGAAATTTTGGGCGAAATCGTAGCGGTATCGGAATCGTATCGGACAGTTGAAGTATCGGAGCGGTATCGTAGCGGTGACGAAAAATTCATATCGGACCAGCTCTGGTGCTATCTAATTGGTAGAGCTTGGTTCTTTCGCAATTTTCATGCGTTTGTCACCTTAGTAAGCTAAGCAGAATAGTACGAGCGCGCGCGTTTGTGGATTAGAACTATTATGGACTCGATAAAATAATTGATACGTACTTTATTGAATTTTAAGGGTGCACACTTACCGTTATTCATCTGTACTACAGCAAGTGAATGTTCCTTTTTGATTTTCTAAAGTGCTTCAGTCAATGAACAATACTGATTTACTTATGGCGAACGCTATTACCACTACAGTTCACACCAAAGCACTATATACTGTCACTAA